TCACAAACCCACAAAGGAAAACTTGTTAAAAAGAATATTCAATCCAATCCAATCCAACTCTCAAATTCAGGCATTCAAGATTCACCTATATATTGGATGAAAATCCACGTTATCCTAAGGTCAAACTTTGGGGGGATGATATGCTGAGATATGGTCACTAGATGTGTGTGGGTTTTGTACGACGAGAAAGATCGCTCGACTCAAATTCTTAACAAAAAAATTAAACGGTAACAAACCTTTAATTTGTTATTCGTATGGCAAGATCGTCAGCGTCTTATGATCTCTAACCATGTTGGAGGATTCAATAGGTACATACTTTGCAGGTTGGAGCTTGGATCGTTGTGAATTGTTGACGCTACAGGTACATATTTACCCGATGTGCATGCTAATTTACGGTGTTATATATCGAGTCAATAATATCAACTAAACGAACAATTGAATATCAGGTATTTAATTAGAGTTGGTTTCTCCTAACGTCTTTTTAAAAACATTACATTGGTTGTCGAATCGCATCGATCGGGAATAAACAATTCAATTTTCACTAACAATTTAAAGATTAAATAAAAAAAAGTTATGACATAAACTGGGAGGTGACAGTAACAAATCAAAAATTAAATACGATAAAATATCACAATACTGCACTTCTCTCGTAATCGTGATCGATCTTAGGTACCATAAAAATATCACAACTACAAACTATTTCATAATCTTCATCCATAAATTCTACTCCTTGAAAATTGAACACCATCTATATGTAATAGTTTTTTGCTATAAACAAAAACCCTTTTTGTTTTTTTTTTACAATACTCGTGCCATTTACTTCTTTCAAAACCTTGCACTGAAGTTGTTGTTGTTGATCACATAATTTATACAAGTAATTCAAGACCTAGCTATGTAGCTACACGTTACGAAAATTTTCTAAGTTTGTTAAAAAAAATATATACGTTGAAAGAGAGATTTACGAAACATGGTTTTCTGTGACGTACAGCTAAGAACATTCAATTTAGCAGCAGAAACATAAATAATATCAAGCAGGTTTCTGTGTCTCTTCTTTTGCTGGTACGACAGGTTTCTGTGTGTAAGTACAGAAGCAAAAAGAGTCAGATATGTACGGGTCGGGGGGGAGAAGAGGATCTTGTTTATGTAAAACAACTTCGACCATGTCCAGATTATCTTCAAGAAATATCTTTGGTAAGGTATATGTCAAAAAATGAAAGAAAACAAATAAAAAGAAGTGTTTGTGTGAAGGAATCATTCAAGTTCAACAGAGGATCAGAGAGCAGTGGCTAATGAACTTCTCTCGAACAACTCGATTTACGAGATTAACTCGTTCTTGATATGGTACAAATTTTTTTTTTTTATTATCGATAGACCTATGTTTAAATCCCCACGATAGGACATGTATAAATTTCAAGCCCTTTGGGTTGGATTTGATTTGAAGGATTTTGTCCAACCCGAGTCGACCCATCCTTGCCGACTCGAGTCGGTTCGGCATGCTCCGGTCCATCCGCCCCGTGTCGGGCCCCACCTAGTAATTAATGTGTTTCTAACACCCATTTAAACGTTTTAGTTCTTCATGCTACCAGTAATTTCTACATCGTAAATGTCATGATCACTCAGTCTCGTACAATCATGGTTGAGCTGTTCGAATATGCATACGATATCAAGCACCTGAACCTTCACCTAGTATACATGCGTACGTTGAATGGCTGGAGATAAAGCTTTGTTGAGCGTATTGGTTAAGGTTCCCCTCTACAATTTTACATTATAGCCCCCAAAATTTTCCAAATTCCCAACTCAAAAGCAGTAGTACTCACTGATTGCTGCAGTTTGCAGGCCAAGTGCATTGAATTGGATGCCACACAGAAAAAGCAAAAAAAAAGTATCACGCAATACGCCCCATTCTTAGAGGATATCATGTCAAGAACCAGTTGATCCCAATAACTCGAATTGTTGGGAGAGGTTCAATCGTAGATCATATACCACAACACTAACACGCCCCCTCAAACGAAAACCACTCACAAGGGCCTGAAGTTTGCACAGGTCTGAAGACAAGAATACCATGTGCTTAACAAATGGGGGTCACCGGGAATCGAACACAAGACCTCTCAGCCACAGAATGCTCTGATACCATGTCAAAATCAAGCAATAGAACAAGAACACCGGGTTTAACGTGGTTTCCCTAATCAACAGGACTAGTCCACGGGAGAGCAAGCTCTCCAAGTCAATCTTATTCTTCTTGTTTCTCAGCATACACGAGCCATATATATATACATATATATAGAGGAATCATAAACCCTAAGGACTAAGGTCTTAATATGTACAATTACATTTTTGGTACTTATATTTTCAACAAATTGCACATATAGTCATTAACACAATGGTCACTTGAATTTCATAGCTAATTTTAATGTTTCGACATATTTGAACAATTTTTTTCTTTTTCATTCCACCAAGAATATAACTATCCTCCAATAATATATGGTAGAGTTTTGTGTATTTTTCTCCATTTCGAATTTCCTGCAACGAGAGTGAAAGTAGGAAGGACAATTTGGTCTTTACAATTAATTATTTATTTCATATAGAAAAATATCAATACAAGGATTTGAACCCGGGTCTCTTCCCGAAAAGACAACAAATACAACCAATTACATTAAACAAATTTATTATATCTTTTTGAATAAAAAACATACACGAAGTTAAACTCTGAAAATTTGAGGACTTTTTCCATCATGATTAGCAAGCCCACTAAGTCTACCGTAAGTATTTTTCAATTTAAATATTTTGTTTGTGCCTTTTTTTTATCTTTGTTCTTATCTCTTTCTAACTTCCTCCGAAATTCCCTAAATCGTACAATAGTTTGAACCCCTTTCACTTCACAGTACAAGGTCGTCTTTGAAAAATCAATCTTCTGGTATCTCTGGGCACTATGATTTTATTGTTGGGGATTTAAGCTGGCAAGTAGAAGATTTCGACTCCAAAATCAACCTATGACGAATAGAATCGAGTTCAATAAATGGAGTTGCAGAAGGAGGATTAGAAATAGAATTTTTGGTTGAAACATATGCCTCTTGAAATTGACGATAGAGTGAATAAAAATTTGGTTGTACGACAAAGAGTGGTGACTAATGGATCTTTAGGTTTATGGTTTTTGCAACTATCACAACCTATTTATATCTTAAAACAAGGAACTTATAGAGAATGAGTGTCTAATTTTGTGTCTCATTACTTTGATCGAGTCTATTAGTACATTGGAGGTAACTCTAATTTTTCGTTTGCTCTCAAGTTTTGATGGTCCACTCTTAGTTGAGTTGTTAGTATATAGTTGACTTAAATTAACAAGACAACAACTCTCCATTTCTTTTTGATTAGTGGTGACATATTTTTCCTAAAAGGAGAGCATTGAACCCTTTATGTAGGATTGTGAGTTTGATTTCTATGAGTCGTGTGGGAATTCGAGTGAGCTTTTATACTCTATCTTTCTTGACAATCAACTAACCAATAACATTTAAACAGGGCTTAATTATCATTATGAAAATGGAATCAATGATACATTTTTATATTTCATATTCTTAAATGATTGTGATGTTTCTCTTAATGTTTGACCTATATATTATTTCTTTATGTATCATTTCGATCGAAGGATTATTAATAAAATTAAACAGGTAGACAGACTTAAACGTAACATAAAAATATAAATAATCAAATATGAATATTCCGGCCAAGAGGCCGAGTTATAAGCTAGTGATAATCTATTATCATTAATTTTAATGTATCTGACATTCTCATATGAACACATCAGTACCAGCGTTCAACAGTGTGATAGAAGAAGTTATTACCACATAAGTTCTATCATAAAATTGGTTACGAATAAATGTTCAACAAACCACTAGGTGTCAACACTTTTGAAATGATTATAGCAAAATTAACACTTGAGGAGACCAAAAAAAAAAAAGTTGATCGAATCATAACTTAATAGGTCAACAATGTTCTTGAAGTGTTGAAAAAAAATTGATAAGAGGAAGATTGAATTTGTACACGATACTAATTACTTTCTTTGCTATTAACTCTCTAGCTCCACCTACACCTATACGAAACCTAGATATTGCCCAATTCTATCATCGTTTTGTATCAATATCTATCTGACCTTATTGAACCATGATGTGCGTCTACAATATTGATCATCCCAAAATCCAGTCACTTTACTGTTAAATCAAACCTAGGGGTGTCAGTTCGGGTCGGGTCCGGTTACCCAAACCAAAATCCGAAATCGAAAATCACTAAACTCGAACCCGATAAGGACTTGCGGGTTCTGGTTACCCGAAACCCGAAAATTCCTTATCGGGTTCGTGTTCGGTTAAAGCAAAATCAAAACCCGAAAACCCGAACGCCTAAAAATACGGGCTGAGTTCTATTCATTGGAGGTTTTTAGCCGGAACCCAAAAACCCGATAAACAAAATCGAACCCGAAACCGAAAAACCCGAAACGTACCCGAACCCGAAAAACCAAAAATGTATATAATCGAGTCGGTTTCGGGTAAACCCGAAAAACCGAACCCGAAGCGACACCCCTAATCAAACCTCATCCATCTTCACAATTCACCCCAAGGCTAGCCTTCCTCCACTAGAAGAAAGAAGAAAAAAAGCAAACGGCGCCACCGTTTTGTAAATTTTTATTTCCTTTTGCGATATACCACTTTATAATTTGTATCAAAATCGAAATCGAGGAAAGCAAAAGAAAGCGCCCCCATAATCCTTTGTCTTCCAGCGTATCGGCCCGCCACGTAGCACACCCTCCACATTCTCTCTCTCTCTCTCTCTCTCAGTAATTTCCCGCCGTATGACGTGGCACCCATCCGCCACCTTTTTCGCCCTCCTTTATATAACCCACTCTCCCCCTTCCCTTCCCCTTTCGTCCTTCCTCCCCATTCTTCTCCAACTCTCCAACACCCTGTTTGGCTCCCACCTCAAACCAATCCCTCTTCCCTCACTCCATCCCAATGGAAACTCAAGAACCTCCCAAACAACCCCTTAGCAATCCCACTCCCACTCCTCCTCGGGATTCCCCCTCCCCCGCCCCCGCCGCCGCCTTCCTCCTCTCCTCCGTCTCCTCTCCCATTACTCTCCAGGTAATCCGCAGCGCAACACGTACTAACATCGTTGGATTCGTCCTAGTTTCGTTTTACTCGAATCCGTTGACTCAATTTTGACCCCCTTTTTTTATTTTTTTTCTGTTGGGGGATGCATGGGCAGTTCGTGGACCTGTGCTACAGAGTAAAACTCCCCAACACTTCCCCCACAAGCAACAGCAGCGCCGCCATCATCCGACGGCTGATATCTCCCCACGAGAAATCATCGAATGCGGCGCCGGTGGAGGAGGAGCGGACCATACTCAGCGGCATCACGGGAACCGTCTCCCCGGGGGAGATCCTCGCCGTCCTCGGCCCCTCAGGGAGCGGGAAGTCCACGCTCCTCCACGCGCTCGCCGGCCGGAACCACGGCGGCCGCCGCCCTGCCGTCACCGGCACCATCCTCGCCACCACCACCACGACGACGAGGAAATCGCGACTGTCCGCCAGGCAGGTGGCGAGGCGGACGGGGTTCGTCGCGCAGGACGACGTGCTGTTCCCGCACCTGACGGTGCGGGAGACGCTCGTGTCCTGCGCGCTGCTGCGGCGGGCCGCCGCATTCTCCTCGAGAAACGAGAAGGCGGCCGCGGCGGAGTGGGCGATCGCCGAGCTGGGGCTCGGCAAGTGCGCAGACACGATGATCGGGAACGGGTTCGTCCGGGGGGTCTCCGGCGGGGAGAGGAAGCGCGTGAGCATCGCGCACGAGCTGCTGATCAACCCGAGCCTGCTGGTGCTCGACGAGCCGACGTCGGGTTTGGACGCGACGGCGGCGTACAGGCTGGTGGCCACGCTGGGGCAGCTGGCCAAGAAGGGCGGTCGGACCGTGGTCGCGTCGGTCCACCAGCCGTCGAGCCGGGTGTACCAGATGTTCGACTCGGTTCTGGTTCTGAGCGAGGGGCGGAGCCTGTATTTTGGTAAAGGTGGGGATGAACCGATGGGTTATTTCGGGTCGGTTGGTTACTCGCCGTCTTTTCCAATGAACCCGGCCGATTTCCTCCTCGATCTCGCTAACGGTACGCTCGAATCTGACTTCTTCTCCTTTCATTCTCATATATGATTTTATTAAAACATAAATAAATAGTCCGTCATTTTTTTGTGTGAAATAATTCGCGACTAAAAGTAATACGATCTAAAATTTTCGACTCAATTCGATATGATTGTTAAGGCTTTGGATGACATACGTACGTATTTATGAGGATTATGGTTTTGCAGAGAGTTCTCCATAATTTTTTCTTCCTTCATGACAATTATTGTGAGGTTGAGCTTTTACTACACATAACAATTTGTTCTGCCAAGATGTCGACTCTGGATCCCATAATAGAAGATGGGGATACAGTTGAGATTTGCTCATCATCTAGATATGATTTTTGGATATTTGAAAATATTATTATAATTAATATAAAAAAAAATCTAGGGTTAAGAGGAAATAGAGATGGGCCAAGGTCAATGTGGTATGGTGACCTACACTACAAGAAACTTATTGATATGGAGGCATTTTACTGCTCATAACTAACCCTACTTTCGTATACGAGTTGAATTTATATCATAACATTGAAATTATAAATTTAGTTTGTCTCATAAATGATTTTTTTAATGAAAAAATGTATGGGTAAATATTAAATGTAGAATTTCGGTTTGTACCATGAAAGGTTTAAAGCTATTTATAAGCATAATAGCAAAGCTCAAGAAAGGATAAAATGCCCTATTAGTAATCTTCTTATGAATTTTTTTTAAAACATAATAAGTATAAATTACTCTTCTAAAACGATAAGAAAGGTTAAAAATGCCCTATGAGTAATCTTCTATTGTGAGTGCACAGATTTTTAATAATAACTTTTGTTGCCCCTAAAGGAAAAAAGTTAGGGCATAAATATATACTGCTTGCTGGAGACAAGTTAAGGATTAGAGAATAGAACAAAACCAAAAAGCTATGTTAGTGGAATTTTGTTTAATATATTTTTGTTATTCCTGATAGGTTGAAAGAAAGCTACAAAAACCAAACTCAAACAATTAAAATGTTAATAACTTAGGATCTTGATGTGATTAGGGCATCTTAATTTAACAATTACTAATCCTGATGTATGGAGGAAATAATATATTAAGTTGTTAATTGGAGTCCAGGTGCTTTGTTTTCTTGGAGTAGACGGTCCTTTCCTTTTTTTTTCCTTTAATTGGTTGTCCTTATTAAGCGTATATATATAATCGCGTCTTAAACGACCTACAATCGTGGTTGAACCGTCAATCCTAATTATCCTAGATTCAAAGTAGAGTTTATGGCGAGGATACGATTTTACCGTCAATCATAAAAATCGGGTTTTACAGAAGGATCCATGAAGAAACTGAAACCACACGACAAAAGCAAATTAATACGACCTTCCGGAGTCCAGAAACTCTAGTTTGAGTTGATTTTTATCTTTCAAAAGGAGAGTCATGAAGATATTATTAATAAAGTCATATTATTTTCGAACCGTTTCTTTCCGTCAGTACTAGCTCGTATACATATAGAGGACTGGAAATTTGGATATAATTGCAAATAACGAGTCAACTTTTTATCTATATATATGTGTAGGAGCAGGAAGATTTTGTTAGTTTGCATATATATGGCAATTTTTTAACTTGTGGTGCGTAGTAAAAATTAAGCAGTGATTTTGATGATGATTGGTGGTTGGTTTTGGACCTATAATACATTAATAGTATGGTAGATGTGTACAAGTAACTAATACTGTAATTGTGACGTACCAGCGGGAAATGATAATAATAGTATGGATAAAATTAGAGGAAATCAAAATCTCAATTTAATTAATTAACTAAAATTCATTGGTAGCAAGAGAATTTGGTCATTCCATTATTATTATGATATAAATAAAATGTGGGGTTCTATTTTTCATGACGACATTCATGGCGTGAGAAAACATTATTGGATTGGAAAAGTGGAGAAAAAAAAATAATTGAAATGAAATAGTTGAAGATTTTTAGGTTTGGATCATTGTTTGGCTTTCATCATTGGTCTTCTCCTCTTCCTCTCAACAAATTGTATATATATATGCATTATTGCTTTCCATTTCCATCTCTTATATCTATTTATGGATAGTTTTGTTTTGTGGCGTGGAGGAAAGGTTGATTTCTAATGGCAAAAAATAATAATATTTTCCCCTTCTATTAGATATATGATACATAATTGTTGGGTTTCGGTTTTCACATTGCAATGCCAAGTCTTCTAATAAGCGTACATGGATCGGTATTATGACATGGAATCTAAAATAGAAGTTTACGCTGTAAACCCATAATTTTAGTATTAGATTCCATAACTGTTACAGATAACTAACATATGACTAGCTTGTTGACCTCTTTATAACGTACCAGCTCGCTTGCTTGCTTGCCTATTATTCTTATCCGATCATCGGATAGATTCATCTCGTTTTGTGCTTACCGACAGGAAAAAGAAAACATAGCTTACTAACTAAACTAGGTAGTAGTTTCTAATGACACTAAGCAAACTTTACTTAGCATAGAAATGAATCTCAAACATGATTTATAATGCTGTTAATCATCACATGTAGTTGGAATCTTTTCAACTATGAATGGACAAGCCATATGTGTGTCATTATACTATTAGATTCTTTTAGGGTTAGATAATTAGACTTTCTAGCTATGTGGGGGACACGTGGGGGATGGTCATGTGGATTAATTTCTCTATTGCCCTTTTCTTTTCTTCTTTCTTGCCATACTTTATAAAAGCTTTGTAGGACGTCAATTATTTTTAGTACAGTCTAAGAATTTATCCCCCTTTATTTCCAAATCTTTGAGGGAAAAAAAATACTTGGGATTTGTTGGAAAACAACACGTGTAGGGTTGCAGAAATTGTTCTTTGCCTTAGTGGGATTTCTTTATGTCCCAAGAAAAACTAAAGGAAACAGAACTTATAATTGATGAGAGTTTTAAAGAGAACACTAAATTTTGATTTGAGTGGAAGCACCCATCACTAGGAGAAAAAAAAGATTTGGTAGCTATAGCTAGTGGACTCCCACCTTATGCCACCAAGACTGGTCAGCTTTCTTTTTTGCTTTGTGTTAAGTATTATGCTAATGTTAAGCCAATTCCTAATCCTACTCATTACTAGGTTCATCTTGCCCACTAGTCCTCTTGTTTTCCTCATAATCAAAAGATCCTCAAAAGTCCCATGAGACAATGAATGGTCACTAAAGATAGTTGTGTCTTTGATTAATCAAGGGTTATCTTCACTTTTCGTTGGTTATTTATTCATTTTTAGGTCGAAACGTATCAGTATAAATTTTTAGGTCGACACGTATCTAGCTACACTAGTTAAGTATGTTGCTGTTAAATTTCGAATCACTAATGTGGGGTAAGAAACTTAAGAAATGTCAGATTTTTCGAGGTTGGGTTGCTGGGCACAATAGAAAACTTACCGAGTATGAGATTTCATCCAAACCTACTCGTAACAAATTTGGATAGGATTTCTGACTATGAAAATATAAAAGAAATAAACAAAATAATACATGGTACCGAATCTATTAAATAGCACATAATATAGTGTATGGAGTTTGTTCATGTGACATCATACATGACTATAGGTTCCATTAGCCCCATGTATTTAGCATATGCTCATGAAATGGGAGGAATGATATCAATGTCCGTTGAAAGGGTATCTTCCCCTTTTCATTTGTTAAATAATCATTCTCTTTCAATCATATGATCAAGAAGAAGGTCTATTCCCATTTGGCTTTCAAGCAAAGCATATCTACCATTCCCAATTCTATGCTCCTTTCATACCTTTGTGTGTCTAATTCAATGTATCCTAATACATTAACATAGAGCACAAATTTGGTTCCAAGATCCTTTGTTTTCTTAGTGGCCTCTACCTTTTTCTCTAGTTGCATCTTTAAGTTGTTAGGTTTTTGTTCCTTGGCTTAGAAATGATTACATGATTTGATTAGTGTGGAAAGCACTGTTCTTTATCCCACCAGCAGACAAGGAGAACCATTCTAATCTGTGATAATTAAGAACTCCCCAAAAAGTCAATTAAGAAGAACAATGAGATAGTGTTTTGAGTCTAGATGATGATGATTGTAATGGATTAAGTAATTTGATGAACATAGTTAACATTCTCATCTTTGCTTGCTGCAGGGGTTTGCCATCTTGATGGAGCCAGTGAAAGGGATAAACCCAACGTGAAGCAGCACCTCATGGCCTCATACAACGCAATACTAGCACCAAAGTTGAAAGCCGCTTGCTTGGAAGCCACGCCAAAGGAATCCACCCTCAGCAATGGCACCAATTCGTCAACAAGAAGACACTTGGGGAGATGTAGAGAGGACCAGAGAGTTGGCATGACCATGTGGTTCAACCAGTTCACCGTCCTCCTCCAGAGAAGCATGAAGGAACGGAGGTACGAGTCCTTCAACACCCTCCGCGTCTTCCAGGTCCTGGTCGGTGCCCTGTTGGCTGGCACGATGTGGTGGCACTCCGATTACCGGGACATTCAGGATCGACTGGGACTGTTGTTCTTCATATCCATCTTCTGGGGTGTGTTGCCTGCATTCAACGCGGTTTTTGCCTTCCCGCAAGAGAGGGCCATCTTCATGAAGGAGAGGGCATCCGGGATGTATACCCTCTCCTCCTACTTCATGGCTCGAATCGTGGGAGAAATTCCCATGGAGCTAGCCCTTCCAACCCTCTTCATCACCATGGCCTACTGGATGACTGGGCTGAGGCCCGACCTGGGCGCGTTCCTCCTCACCCTTTTCATCCTGCTGGGCTACGTGCTCGTGTCTCAAGGCCTAGGTCTGGCCTTGGGAGCGGCCATCATGGATGCCAAACAGGCATCCACGATGGCCAACGTGACGATGCTGGCATTCGTGCTGACTGGAGGGTTCTACGTTCACAAGGTCCCCGCATGTATGGCGTGGATCAAGTACATCTCGAGCACCTTCTACACTTATAGGTTGTTCATCAATGTTCAGTATGGTAACGGGGAGCGGATTGCAAAGGCGTTTGGTTGCTCTGGGCAAAACGGTAACAATTACGGTGATGGGGGACCGGATTGCAAGTTTATCAGGGAAGATTTGGAAGGACAGATCAGCCCTTGGGTTTGTGTTGGAGCAATGGTGTTGATGTTTGTGGGTTACAGAGTTTTGGCTTACCTAGCATTGAGGAGGATCAGGACTTGACTAACCCAATAAACCAAATAACTGGTGGGGTTTGATTTGGGTGTGATTAGTTCATTTGAGGTATAAACCTCTTTGAATTAGAGACATTGATTTCATCGAATGGTGACCAACTGAGGCAAGAAGAGAGACATTGGTAGATCGATCGGGTTACTGTGAAGTTACAACAAAAGGGTAGTTGAGATTTTTTCCCCCCCTCCCCAAAGTGTTCAATTTATGTATTTGGTTCTTTTCTCTTTTTACTCTTTTCAGTAGAGTAGTAGTAGTAGTGATAAGAGGTTCATAGGCTAACTGTAATTGAAGAATAAGTGACATTTCATTCGCATGTAATTGTAAGAGAATTTGGATGCAGAAATAATAATTTAAAAACACTTTCCAAACAAGTATCGAGCAATTTTTGGCTCACTCCTATAGTATGGGTATATGATAGGTCGAGTAGCAATTTGTGCTAATAATTTGAGTCGTATAAAATTAGATTTTGCATAAATTTATTTATACTTCCATTTAAATACACCAAAAGTCTAGTATCTCATGTGCAACATGTAAAATGAACGATAATATACGTACCAGAAATTGCGAGAACCAAAAGCATAATGCAAAACAACAACTTTGAAGTAAATTTTTTCCATCCTGCTTGTATATATTTTGTCACTTGATTAATGATATATGTGGTCTTCTCTTTTTATATCAATTTGCAATGAATGAGATACAAAAGACATGAAGTTTGATCTATATACAGAGAGAATAGGTAGGTGAGCTTGCAATATTATATGTTCATAGTTGAATTTTTTGGAAAGATATATATGATTTGTGATTGTGTGTTCCCAAATTGATTTTCCATTAATAATTTTTCCAAAAATTGGAAAAGCAATAGTATCCCCCATTAATGTGTGACGATTCTCATTTAAACATTCTAAATCTCCAACGTCCAGCAAAATTTCAGAAGGATAATTTGATATTTATTAAAAAAAATTAAATTTAAATGATCAGAATCTCTTTATGTGCAAAGGGGAAAGAACAACAACTTAAAAGGGACTTATCATTCTTATGAAGCGTTTTTTGCAACAAATATTCCCAAAAGAAAACATGTAAGATACAAATTTGAAGTCTATTCAGCCAACAATTATATAATACAAATAAGAGAAAATAACGATAGTTTATTTGAGGCGGGACCATCGAGAAAAGAGCATTTTTTTTATGACATCAAGCAGTTAGCGAATGTCGACTGGTGTCAATATTTCGAGTGACTGGAACATGCTCAACACCGAATCTTATATAATTTATTTTCACCCCAACTTGATCGTATTATCAAAATTTGAAAATAGGACACAGTTATTTATATATTAATTAGGTAGCATACTGTAAATTCTATTGGACATTTTAAACTACTCAGCGAAAACTTCAAATATTGGATCAAATTTGGTAACCGAAAAGGAGAGATTTGGGCAATACTTAGCTCAGTCATATTTTCTTCATAGTGACTCATATTTTTAATCATCTTTTCCAAATCTCTTGTGCAATAAAGCGAGGAAATCTGCATCCTGTGCTTTTGCTGCGCAGACGCAGAAACCTATTGCCCTATTACAAATGTAATGTGGTGGACTGCAATCCGCATCACTTTTGCAACGAACGCTCACACAATGTTGATCTTCGTGCCACCCCGAAGTTGTTCTTCCAGCTTCCACTCCAATATTGCTCTTCTTTCCACCTATAATAATACCCAAGATTGTTTTTTTCGATGATAATTTATAACAAATTAATTAATCAAAGTCTATGGTCCAAATGTGCAATCAATATAAAAATAACGATAATATACGTACTAGAAACAGCGAGAAACAAAAGCACAACACAGAACAACAGCTTGAAGTGAATCCTTTCCGTCATGCTTGGATATGTCTTTGTCACTTGATCAATGAGTTTTGCTGTCTTCTCTTTTAAATATCAGTTTGCATAGAATGAGATGCAGAACAACACAAGAAGTTTTGGTTTATATAGAACGACAATGGAGGTAGGTGAGCTTGCAATATTATTACGTGATTCACGTCCCTAGTTGGATCTTTAGGAAAGGAGATACATGATTTTATGATTGTGTTTGTCCAAAATTGATTTTCCTCACAATAATAATAATGAGTTTCCCAAAATAAGAAAAGCAATAGGATCCTCCACTAATATATGGAGATCTTTCATTTAAACACACTTCATTACAAAATCCCAACGTTCTGACTTCTTAGAAATATTAGAAGGACCTTTTGGTAAATTTCAACTAAAAATTAATGCTTAATCATCAAAATTGGAATCTGTTATCGGTCACAAGCTGATCAATCATATTCGGGGAAGGCCTATCAAACCATACATCCGCTACAACTCACCTCGTCTCATCATGTGCGCCATAATGTGCTCTGCTGCATTCGCCTTTCTACTAGCATGATAAGAGTTTTCCATCGCCTACTTAAGTCAAAAGCTTCTGTATACTTCGACAAACCAGAAATCTTTTAAAATACCTACTTCCTAATACAATTTAAGAGAAAAGAATGACGATTGACTAGAAACCAACCATCGATATGAGAGCATTTTTTGGTCAAGGAAAGACATTAATATAAATTGATGACAAATTGGTGGACAAGAAGAGATCATCTAACATAACAATACTGTGCAAATTGACCCCAAAAAAATTTTATTCATAAAGATTTCATATTTTCAATTCCCATTTTCGAGCCTCGTGTGCAATGAAGCGAGGAAGTGTGCATCCAGTGCTTTTGCTGTGCAGACACAGAAGCCTATTGCTCTGTTACAAATGTAACGTGGTGGACTGTAATCGACATTAGTTTTGCAACGAACGCTCACACAGTGTTGATCTTCGTTCCACCTCGATGTTGTTCTTCCAGCTTCCACTCCAATGTTGCTCTTCTTTTAGGCATGGCAATGGGTCGGATACGGGGCGGGTACCCCATATCCATCGCCCGGCCTTTATGTCCGCGGGTAAAACCCACATCCGGCCCGTTAGGCTTCATGGGCAAAAAAATGGACCAAGCCCATTATCAAGCGGGTTTCGGTGAACCCGCGGGCCATTGGTTACCCGTGACATGCCTACAAAAAATCACTCAACATGTCAACCAAGTTCCTCAAGCATGATTAATAATGATTTAAATTACTGAAAACGAAGTCACTGCAAGTCTGCAAAATAGTGTAGCAAAATCCATAACTGAAACCCACACATAGTGTAGCAAAATCTAGAACTGAAACCCAGCACTGAAACCAACATAGTGTAGCAAAATCCCAGCTAACAAACTTCGGAAATATCACTGCAAGTCTGCAACAATGTAACACAGAAAACTAAAATAGAAGCCATTCTAAACAGCAGCAATCAGTGTTGAATCTTCACTCCTAAGTCTCTCTTTCTCATCCTTGCATCTTCTTTCAATGAGATTAAGATTTTCTGAAATCCAACAACATTTACAACTTCAGATTACTATGTTCTGTAAGGCTTTAGTAAAATTCCAGCAGTAGCAAGGCAACATTTACAAATTCAGATTACTAGGTTCTGCAAGGCTTTAGTAAAATTCCAGCAGTAGCAAGGCTTTAGCAGTAAAAAAAGAAACAGAACACACACCAATAGCTAGTCGAGCAGGTTGACTGCAGCAACCTCGTCTTCATCTCCTTCCAGCTCCTTTTACATTCCAGCTCTATCTAATACATAACAGTCTGTTTCGTAAAATTCCAAGGCGAACTGAATAAACAAATTACAACAAGAGAAGTCAGTTACATGTGCTCTCTTCCACCGTGGCATCATCCATTGCCATAGCAGAGAAAACTCTCTCCAATGCTTTCAGTTCAACAGCGGACACTAGGAGAAATAGCAAGATTCAAGTAAACAGTTTAATTAGCAAGGAAATGAAACAATAGCAAAGTAAACATAATTCATAATTGAAATAAAAAAAGTCACCTTTGCTATCATCCTGAAATCCAAATCCTTAATATCATCATAGCTTCTACTGTTGCAGGATCAAGTCTGCTCCGATGGGGATCAAGAAGCCTCCCACCAGAACTGAAGGCAGATTCAGATGCCACACTAGTAACAGGTACAACAAGTAAGTCCCTTGCAATGTCTTGCAAAATGGGATACTTGGCACCGTTGAATTTCCACCAACCCAACACATCAAAATCTGGTGTTCTAGGATGAACATCCACAGCTAGATAATGATCTAACTCGGTGGTTACTGCAGAAATTTTGGTTTTCTTTCTTTCGCTAACATACATATCAAAATCCAGATCTGTAGCATAAGAAGAAGAATGAACAGAAGAAGAGGCAGCAGTGTTTTTTGTGGCTTTTCTTTGATACTAAACAACCAATTCGACCATAACTTATCTGACCCTTTCACTCACTAGATCAGTATTAGTGATACCGAATTTTCCAGCATAGTAATAAAGTAGTTCCAATTTATACCGCGGATCCAATACAACAGCCAACAGTAAATGAATGTCATCCCAATACTTCACAAACTTATTCCACATATTCTCAGCCATAGAAACAATCATCGGATTAGGATCACCTAACCATTCCACCAACTTTAACCTCAAATCACATACTTTAGCAAAAAACTGATTCGTTGTTGGGTAGTTTGAACCAGAAAAAACTAAAGTGATGTCCTTGAAAACATCAAGCTTGTCAACCAAAACAACAACAAAGTCTCACTGCTCGTTGGTAGGTATAGAATTATATTGAGGCTCTCTTATTTTCAGTATAGAGAACACTTCCTTATACGGGATAGCACCAGAAAGCATCTCGCAGGTGGAGTTCCAACGAGTGGGACAATCCAATACCAACTTCTTAGAAACAAATAATTTGAGTTGTTGGGCAATTGCATGGAAAAACTCCACTCTCCTGGGTGTGCATGTCCAAAAGACCACACTCTCCCTTATTTTCTCAGTACCATCTTTCAATACATCAAGTTCATCCCTCACAATCAGATTAAGGATGTGAGCAGAGCACCTCATATGAAGAAGTGTGTCATCCCTAATTAGATTCGATAACACTAGCCTTTGTTTAATTAGATTTATCATGGAATCATTGGTAGTACAATTGTCAAGAATAATAGTTGACAATGTACTATCAATGTTCCAAGATCGGAGGCATTGAGCTAGCTTTGCAGCCAACCTCTCACTAGTGTGGGGGCAGGGAAATATCCAAACATAAGCAGATGGTTTCACAACTTCCAAAAGTTGTCTATATAATGGGCAGTGACAGCCATGTAAGACCTTTTTTGGTTTGTGGCAGTCCACATGTCAGTTGTGACAGCTATACGACCTCGGTTTTCATCAATGACCTTTTGAATCTTAGACCTATCTAAAGCATAAATAGTAACTATATCCTTCTTTATGGTATTTCGGGTTGGAAATTTGAAGAGAGGGTTCAAGGTGCAACAAAACCTTTTGAAATAAAGGTGGTCAATAATAGAAAGGGGATACGCATGCACCAAGATCATGGTGCAGAGCTCCTTTCTAGACACCTCACTACTAAACTGATTCGTACTCATATCAGCTGTTCCCTTGGCACTATAGTCAGCCCCAAAGACCTTTTGACTATCATCATGATTTTTTTTTATGAACACAACGGTTCCTATGAGTCCTAAGATGTGAAGTACCATTACTCAATTTTCCAGCCAAAATCTTCTTACAATAGTTGCATTTTGCTTTCAAAACCCCATTAATTAACAGTCGGGTGAAGTGAGGCCACACATTAGACTTTAAGCCCCTACTAGCACCTAAGGGATTTTGGGGAACATCTTCAGGAAGGTTTTCAGAATTACCAGGTTGGGTTCCATTGTTATTCTGAATTGGTGCATTCTCAACTTGTTCAGATTCCATCTGGGTAAGAAACAGAAATAACAGAAACGTTTCAAAAAGAATTCCAATGTTGTTCTAATGAATCAGAATTCAATGATTAGACCATTAGAGATTAGATAGAAAGGGGAATGATTAACCAAAGTCTATTCTGTAATGTTGATTGGATCCTCTCACAATCTGGATTCAATCAGCATTTCAGAAGATCATGGTTAAACAATTCGATTCAAGAAGAATAACCAAGTGTTAGTTGGGATTTGGGTGCATTAGATAATTTATAGTTTATATAGTTTTAGGATTAACCAAGTCTATTATGTAATGATGATTGAATCCTCTCACAAACTGGATTCGATAAGCATTACACAAGATAATGGTTAAACCATTACATAGACTACTTACTAACTTACAACAAAGTGATCATTAGTTGTGATTTGGGTTCATTAGATGATCTAGAGTTTAGATTTGGGTTCATTAGATAATCTATAGTTTATACAGTTTTATGAATTAGCGGAAACAAAGTGAACATTAACATTAAGGCATGTTGAACTTAGCTACAATAGAATCACATTGACCATTACCTTTAACCATTACATAAACTACTTACATCTGTGGCATTTTCCAAGAACAAAATCACACTAACCATTAACATTTAGCAGACACATTCAGTTCTTAGTTTTAATGGAACATAATCAAATTGATCAGTAGTATACGATGGTTACTTCAAAGGTGATTAGTCTACAATTACTAAACTAGGGTAATAATATTACACACCAAGAACAAACATCAACAACCAAGAACCATCAAACAAGGATTGGCGATTTACCTCAGCAGAAAGCAGTTGAAGAACGAGTTGCGAAATGCGACTCCCGAATAGCAAGCTACAAAAACAAAAGATGAAATTTGGATGATTAGGGATTTATTGATTTTGTCGAACTAAGCATGCACCAACATCAATTAATGAAACTAACTAATGTCTAACAAACTTACTGAGAACGCAGCAAAGTGGGGTTCCGGAATCTGGAAGGCTAGGATTTCTGGATTGTGGGTTCGATGAACTGCATATGAACAAAATGACGAAGTTAGTCACCTATTTATACGGCTATATGCAAAATTGGATTTAGGTAATTAAGAACTAAATACTTATCTCGATCTGGGAAAGAAATCCATTACATGCACGATTCAGAGAAGATTTCTGTCGATTAAGACATTTTCGGAGTTTGGAGGGTTGATTTGTAAGATGTAGTGTTATTGATGATGGGATCGTCGATTTGCGAGGGAGAATAGTCGAGAAAGAAGGAGAAATCGGCAGAATCGATGGGATTTGGGGAGGAAATCGGCGATTCGCCTCGGATGGGTTGAGAGGAAATCGGGGGAACAAGGGCGGCGTCTGATGAAAATGGACTGTCCACAAACCTTAACCCCAAAAATGAAGCGTTTTATATGCGCAGCAAACGACGTCGTTTGCTATCGGGGCGAATACGGGCCGGGGATCCCAGAATCCATGCCCAACCCATCACCGCGCACGACGGGTCGCGAGTATACCGGCCACCGCGAATCTCACCGGCCTCGCGGGTTTAAGCCCAATACTTGCGGGCGAGCCCCGACGGATATCCAAAGTCCGCAGACCCATTGCCAAGCCTATCTTCTTTCCACCTATATATGACCCAAAATTGCAGTGTTGTCAGAACCGGACCGGTAGTCTATCCGGATTAGAAAGAGGTTTACGGTTTATCGACTAACCGAGATTAACAGGAAAACCCCGTTAAGAAAACCGGTGACCTATAAAAAAAGTAAAATAAGTATTATAATATAATAAACATAAAACCGTTTAGAGATTTGCGGTAACAATAACATAATCTTTAAATTTTAATATAATATTTCTAATAAAATAAATAATACCTAAAACTATATTTTTAAATATATAACAATGATGAATACATAAATTCTATTATCACTCACCTTTCCCTCTTTCTTTTTAGTTTCCACCGAAATAATAATAAATCCTATCCCCACTTTCTCATAAACACACGATTCATTTATATTTTCTCACTCTCTGTCTTCCTCTTTTCTCTCTCAAACTCCGACTTTTCTTCTCCTATTTCTTCTCAGACTCCTCGACTGCAATTTCTATGCATAGAAGAACCAAGAGTCCTAGATCTATCCTCCTTCTTTTCTATTCCCACAATCGAGATCGCTATTTTTTCTACTGAAACAATCTGGATAATCTAGAGCTTCACTCAATATTCAAAAGGTCCAAAAGGGAAGAGAGGATGGAAGATAGGTTTGTAGATGGGATGGATTTATAATACCGGAAGAAAACACTGGCCGGAGAAATAGTGTGGATCGGAGCTTTCAATATGGATTTTCTTTTTCATTTTTTCGTTTTGGTTCTATCATCGCACAAAACCGCCGGTTTGGGTCGAGCGGGTTGGAAGGTTAATCGCTACAACCGTTCACGACCCGGCCGGACAACTTTCTCTCTGTTTTGAGTCTTCCGTGACCGGATTATTGGCCGGGTCCAGTTTTCCCGGTCCGGCCCGGGTTTAACATCACTTCAAAATTGTTTTAAGTGATGGTTTAACAACTTAATTAATCAAGAAAATTTTGCTTTTTTCTTAAACACATCTAAGTCTATTATCCAATATGGAATCATATAAAATGAACAATAATATATACCGGAAAGTGCGAGAACCAAAAGCACAACACAACAGCTTGAAGTGAGTCTTTTCCATCCTACTTGGAAATGTCTTGTCACTTGATCAATGAGTTTTGTGGTCTTCTCTTTTAAATATCAGTTTGCGATGGATGAGATACAGAGCACATGAAGTTTGATTTATATAGGATGACAATGGAGGTAGGTGAGCTTGCAGTATTACGTCCCTAATTGAATCTTTAGGAAAGAAACATATGATTTATGATTGTGTTTAACCAAAATTGATTTTCCTCATAATAATATTAATGATTTTTTTCAAAATTAGAAAAGCAATAGGATCCCCCATTAATATATGGAGATTTTCCATCAGCCGGTGGCTTTGATTTTGGGTGGTTAATTAATTCCTTTGGGGTATAAATTATAATCCTCTTAAAATTATAGACATAGATTATTCTTCAAGTGATAGGTTGATCGGTAATTTTTACAATTCATGTATTTGGTTCTTCTCTCTTTCGTACTCTTTTCAGTAGGATAATTGTAGTACTGACTGCCAATTTAGATACAGAAATTAAAAAAAGTTCGATTTCCAAGCAAGTAACCATGCAATTCCTCTTGAGAAATTTTGGTTTCGAGTCATTCCTACAACATGGGTATTTGACTAGTTTGCGAGTAGCAGCAGCGTCCGTGCTAATAATTTGAGTTGTTAAAAATTATTTAACAACATGGGTATTTGACGAGTTTGCGAGTAGCAGCAGCGTCCGTGCTAATAAAAAGGTTGGTCGGGAGGGAGCCCTATAAGATCTTCCAAAACATGAGCAAGAATTTCGTTTTGAAGAATCTCTGTCTTAGTGAATTAAACAACCTCATAATGATATTTTATTCATAGAAGACTTCATATATTTTTTTTTCTAGTTCCCTTTTCCAAGTCTCTTGGACGTTTGGGCGAGGAAATCCGCATACAGTGCTTCCGGTGAGCAGACACAAAAACCTATTGCCCTATTACAGATGTAACGGTGTGGCGGATCGCAATCCGCATCACTTTTTGCAACGTACGCTCACGCAGTGCGTTTCTACCTCTCCCTCTGGTGTTGTTCTTCCACCAGCTTCCACTCCGATATTGTTCTTCTTTCCACCTGTAACAGCCACCATATTTACTTTCAGTGATAAGTTTAAACGGTTTAATTAAACATCGTAGTCTACTATCACTTGCGAAAATCATGTAAAACGAACGATAATAATGCATACCAGAAACTGCGAGAACCAGAAGCATAACACAAAACAACACCTTGATCAAGTGATTTTTTTCCATCGTGCTTGGATATGTTTTGTCACCTGATCAATGAGCTATGTGTTCCTCTCTTTTTTTAAGATATCAAATTTGCAGAGAAATTGAGATACAAAATCGAATGAAGTTTGGTTTTTATATACAACGAGACTAGAGGGGTAAGTGAGCTTGCAATATTAATGCTCATAGTTGGATCTTTTTGGAAAGATGTCTATGATTTATGATTGTGTTTTTCTAAAAAAATTGATTTTCCTCAGTACAAAGATTAATGAGTTTTCCAAAATTATAAAAGCAATAGTATCCACCATTAATGTGTGAAGATTCTTCATTTAAACACTCTAAATCTCCAACGTCCTAAAAAAATTTTAGAAGGATAATTTGGTATTTATATAAATAAAAAAAAGTTAAATGATCAGAATCTCTTTATGTGCAAAGGGTAAAGAAAGACAACTTAAAAAGGGACTAATCATTCTTATGAAGCGTTTTTGCAACTAATATTCCCAAAAGGAAACATGTAAGATACAAACTAGAAGTCTATTCAGCCAACAACAGTTATAACTTCTAATACAAATAAGAGAAAATAACGATAATTAATTTGAGGCGGGTTCATCGAGAAAATAGCATTTTTTTATGACGTCAAGTGTGAATATTTCGAGTGACTGGAACATGCTCAACACCGAATCTTATATAATTTATTTGCACGCCAACTTGATCGTATTATCAAAATTTGAAAATAGGACACCGTTATTTATATATTAATTTGGTATCATATCGTAAACACTATTGGAAATTTTAAACTACTCAGCGAAAAACTTCAAATATTGGGTGAAATTTGGTAACCGAATAGGTAGCATATTTGCAAAGAAAATTGGACAATTCTTTGTTCTCTCTTATATTTTATTCATACTGACTCAATATTTTTAATTCCCTTTTCCGAATCTCTTGTGCAGTGAAGCGAGGAAATCTGCATCCTGTGCTTTTGCTGCGCAGACACAGAAACCTATTGCCCTATTACAAATGTAATGTGGTGGACTGCAATCCGCATCACTTTTGCAACGAACGCTCACACAATGTTGATCTTCGTGCCACCCCGAAGTTGTTCTTCCGGCTTCCACTCCAATGTTGCTCTTCTTTCCACCTATAATAATACCCAAGATTGTTTTTTCGGTTATAATTTCTAACAACGTAATTAATCAAAGTCTATGGTTCAATGTGCAATCATATGAAACGAACGATATTATACGTACCAGAAACAGCGAGAACCAAAAGCACAACACAGAACAACAGCTTGAAGTGAATCCTTTCCATCGTGCTTGGATATTTTGTGGTCTTCTCTTTCGAATATCAGTCTGCAGCGAATGAGATACAGAGCACATGAAGTTTGGTTTATATAGAACGATGATGGAGGTAGGTGAGCTTGCAATATTATTACGTCCCTAGTTGGATCTTTAGGAAAGGAGATAATATGATTTTATGATTGCGTTTGCCCAAAATTGATTTTCCTCAATATAATATTAATGAATTTTCCAAAATAAGAAAAGCTAGAGGATCCTCCATTAATATATGGAGATCTTTCATTTAAACACACTTCATTACAAAATCCCAACCGTTCTGACTTCTGACAAATATTAGGACCTTTCGGTAATTTTCAACTAAAAATTAATTCTAAATTATCGAAATAGGAATCTGTTATCCGTCACAAGCTGATCAATTAGATTCATCGGAGGCCGAATACAATTTAAGAGAAAAGAATGACGATTGACTAGAAACCAACCATCGATATGAGAGCATTTTTTGTCAAGTGTACGCTATCCTAAATATACACACTATAGCTTGATTCAGTGGCGAAGCCAGGTGGGCTATAGCCCCCCCCCCCCCCCCCCCCACCAACTTTCGAAAATAGGTAAATTTACATGAAAAATGTGTAACAGAATTCTAAAAATTGACTAGTCGGTAAGCCACTAGCCCCCTCTCGCCAATGACCATGATTCAAACCACTCCCGTGTATAGTTTTTAGGGCCCCTTCAAATTTCAGGCTCCGCCACTGGCTAGATTAGAGCTAGTTCCATCTAAAAACAAGGTGATAACCGACATTGTCAAAGTTCATCGAAATGGTAGGTAGAATATGTTAGTGTTGTGGTATATGATCCACGATTGAACATCTTCCAACAACTCGAGTTATTGGGACCAACTAGTTCTTGACGTGGTATCGGAGCCTTCTGTGACTGAGAGGTCTTGTGTTCGATTTTCAGTGACCCCCATTTGTTAAGCACATGGTATTCTTGTCTTCGGACCTGTGCAAATTTCAAGCCCTTGTGAGTGGCTTTCGTTTAAGGGGGCGTGTTAGTGTTGTGGTATATGATCCACGATTGAACCTCTCCCAACAACGCGAGTTATTGGAAGCAACTTGTTCTTGACAAAATAGACTTCAGGAAAGTGCACTTCATCTTGTGGTACTTCCACATTCTGCAATTTGAAGCCACAAGCTAAAACACCTTTTGCAGACAATGTATGAAGTCTCTCAAATCGAATGGACAAACAACTCGATGACGGAGTTAGCCGGAGACACAGTTTTAGAAGTTTGAGGATTCGTTTCTTCTTCCTGTATGGCCTCCCTCGAGCTCCAAACAATGGCCCTGGCGCTTTCGATTTCAGCACAAGCAGTGATCTTTCTTAAGTGACCAACTTTTAGGCATCTTCTGAAGCCTGTGGAGTGTGGACACCAGGAGAGACATAAATATAAATTGATGACAAATTGGTGGACAAGAAGAGATCATCTAACATAACAATACTGTGCAAATTGACCCCAAGAAAATACATTAGTCACCTGGGAGCTTTCTCACTTGAAACTTCTCCTGAATTAGGTCACCTTCATTTTCACTGCCAATGCTTCCACCTGCAGTTGGTAGTATCAACAGCAAATAGCGGATGTAGATACAATGATGCATCAAAATCGAATTGCAAAGCATGAAGATATATCTAGCTACCACAACTGAACCAAGGAAAAGGAAATCGAGGAAGAGAAGTGCTAACCATACAGATAGCTTGCTCTGCATCCTCTTTCTGTTCGCACTGTCTAAAGAGATTCTGATGCATCCCTCAGCTGCTTAAAAAGCACATGCCCCTCAGGAGAAGCCAATTCTCTAAGTTTCACCTAATTTCTTTTTCGATGAATGGTTGGCTTTATTCATCAAATACGATCAAATCTACAAATGTGTTACAACAGAAATCACCTCGAACTAACTACCTGGCTAACCAGGAGTCTACTGACTGGAACTAAGGACAGCTACAGCATAACAGTTCATCCAAACTATACAAGCCAATATCTATACAAATTCAGGTAGAACTTCCGCAAAGCTGAAACCACAGAGGATTTTGTAACGCTGCCTGCAAATTTCGGGTCACCTGCTATCTTTGCCAGCATAACCGCTTCCATTCTTTGAACCAAACCTTCAATCTCCAGGGACTTCTTTCCATACATCCTCCTACAGCATTCTTGCCAAACCTCACTTAATAGGAGGCACCAAAGAACTCTCCCTACCACATTCTTACCAAGTTCCCTTACTGCAACTTGTGTTGCAGTTGGAAGGTTAGTGATTAATGGGAACCTCCAGGGATGGGGAAACATGATTCGCCACACTTCCTTTACATAGTGGCATGAGAAGAACAGATGATCTCTGGATTCAGGAGCTGATTGACATAAAGGACATACATCATCAATCTCAGGTCTCCATCTTTTGATTTTGTCAAGAGTGGTGATCCTATCAATGAAGATTAGCCAGGTGAGCAGGAAATTCTTAGGAATCTGAGGTCCTTTCCACACTAGTTTAGACCATGGTACCACCTCCTTCCTAGGTCTCATGCTGTCCCAGACCCTGCTGATTTGTACTTAATCATTAGGGTCCATGCTCATTCTACCCCATGATCTGTCCTCACCAGTTTGGAGCTAACAAGAGATCTGAGATTAAGGATCTTATTCCACACCCAGGACCCTTTTATTTGAGTTTCCCAGATGCTTAGATCCCCAGTCTGTATTCCTTCAACCAAGCAATCCATAGGATCTTCTGATCAGCAAGAGTGGCCCAGAGCCACATGCTTCCAAGCTAACCTTTGCTTTCTTTTCTTACTCCAGATTACCCCATAAGAATTTTGAACACGAATTACATCAAAGACGGGGAGAGGTAAATGAGATCAAACATCATTACCAAAGTGTAGATTTCTTGCGAGACAAGGTACAAAATGGCATTAGCCACAAAAAGAAGCAGGCTGGGATACGAAGTGCAGAAATATGAGAAGAAAAGGAACTGACCTCCTCGTTGTTACAGAGCGTACAGTAGCTAAAAATGAAGCTGTGGATTCTGAGGGCATAAGAGCCCCATGCGTAGAGCATCTTGAAGATGCTGGCACATAAAAATTTCAAGAATTCAGCATGAAAAACAAAACAGAAACCCAGAAAATCATTCAAATTGAAAAGGTTAAACTATCACATACCATAACAGGTGGCAGCAACTAGAAGCACACTTCATATCTACTTGGGCTACAAGTCGTTCAAGAATGATTAGACATTACAATCAGAAGAGACAACTTAAGGCCCGCACTCCAAATTAAACACACAGAAAAAGCGAACCATCACCATCGTTCTCACCCTGCATAGGAGAAAGAGAAAATTCCAATTCGAAAAGCATAACCACCATTTTTGTGTCTCGGGTTCAGCATATGTCGCATGCCATCTAATGATGATGTCGATCCCTTGGCCTAAAATAAACAAAAACAATAGTAACCAATAAAAATAATATGCATTATCTTGCTGCTGCTGGTTAGGCATTAAGCAGGATGGCTTTAGCATATTAATACAACAATGAGATATTCACAAAAGGCGCTGCATTATAGCATAAGGAATGGAGAGCGAAGGGAACAATCCGTTTTCTGATATAAAAATGTTCCAAGAGGTGTCTCGGCAGCTGAAAAAGGATTCCTTTTCTACCATTCAGGAAATAACACAAATAAATACTTGGACTGGTGAAAACCAATGAAAAATTGAACGACCTTAAACCTATTCCCGGAATTTGGAGACCTCATCCACAGTATTTTCTCCCTCCCTGATATGATTTCATAGATTCATCAGCAACTTCTTTCCCCATCGCCAGCCTTCAATACTGCAGCAACCAAACGATAGTAAAGAACATGGCGAGGACTCACTTTCAGAACCAAAAAAATATAATGAGATGACAGTTAAGAGAGTTGCTACAGATAGATCTTCAAACTGAGCTGTTGCATATTGTGGGGATGCATTCAAAGATCAAGGAGGCTGAGGTGAGGTTTCCCTTACTGGATTGCATAAGGGTATAAAAGTTTGAGTTCCTTAGAGGAAAACCCCCACAAGAAGCCAGGCAAGTGTACGCAAAAATCTCACCAGTTGGAGTCATGTTTGGCTGAGTGCCTTTTGTCCACATGACAGTAAAGGTGCTGGATAGTAGATATAGATCCGACTTTATTGACAGTAGTACTCATCAATATCCCTCCAGAGACTGCATGAAGACACAAGTGAAAATCATTAAACCGAGAGGCCGTTATGCTGATCCAAAACAGGAAGGAAGATCTCCATTGCCATCATCTGCTCTCCAAGTGGACTAAACTTGATCATTATAGATCAAGACTAAGGTTGAACTTGTCCCAAATTCATCAACAGGACAACATAAGAGCAAAGGAAAAAAGAGTTAAAATAGTGTAATAAAAAAATTAACAGGGAAGTCAGTGGAAGCAAAGGACAAGAATCTAATAAGTATGAAACTCCAATAATACTCAAAGAGCAAAGTACTCGGCACTCAGCATTCAGCAGCACCATCTCCTTCCCATGATGAATAAACTTTCAGAAGAGAGAGCAAGGCAAGGGAGATAAATAGCTTTTACTTAACGAAATGGAAAGGCAACAGAAGCATTCTTGAAGTAATCATTAAGTGATTCATTGATCCTCTCAAGAGTGCATATGTACATGAATCACATAGGCTAATCTAGGTAACAACTAAACTGAAAAGAACACGGTGACAATGGCTACAGGAAGCAAATGGACGAGCAAGCCTCTAGATGAGCTGCCCGAGCTTGACTGCTTTTGGTAAAAGAAGTCGTCGCTAGGAACTGATATATTCACTGACGACGAGCCTGAAAGAGGATGGACAAGGAGACCAGTCAGATATATAGCAGTTTGAAAGGAAAATGATTTGGGAGAAGGAAGATTCTTCTATTGAAAATTAATAAGTGGATCTACTTACAGTCATACTTGACCCACCCGATCCTTTGCTGGACCAAATCATAAACAAATATCTTGTCTTTGAGAACAAGATCTGCACATAATAACGAATGGCAATCAGAATCAGAACCACTAAACAGGACATCTTTGACTTCATGTTTCATTATCGACTTAGCATTCCCAAAGGAAAGATACATAGAATCAACGATTGGAGGGTCGCTAACCTCCTAAAATGGTTTGTCCTGGAACCTTCTGAAAACCTACGCACCACATACTACCATCCTGTTGCACGGCAGTATGTATAGCCAGTGGCCTTAAGAGACTTTTCCAGTGGGAAATCCATAAATATAAAACATAATCAAGTAGCCAAGGTTTCAATTATATTTACTTACATTGGAAAGAAAAAGATATTCTTCCGGTTTTAGCCCCAAAGAAACCCCACCAGCAAAATTCAAGCTCACCGGAGGAAATAGCCTGCATATGAGGGTCCAATACATGTCTGAGAAATACACGTTTGAGAAATAACAAACTTTAGTGTGAAAACCAGTGGTTTCATGATAGATGTCAAACCTGGAACTAATCGCGTAACACTGGAACCCATAATATATTCTAGGAGTCCCAAATTTTGATACTGCATTATTAACCTAGAATTTCAATAAGCCGTCAGGTTTAAACACATTGGAGAAAGCGCTCCGAAAGTTTAAAAAAAGCATTCTCGCATATACAGTTCTAAGGATAAGGAAGGGATATTTTCTTACAGCACTAATAAACAGATTGTAGGCTTCTGGCACAAAGTATGAAAATGTTGTTCTGGTGTCTAGAACTGTTGCATAATCAGTTGACGGTATGAAGGTTTGAGGATCCACGGGTAGCGGCCTTCCATTAACTGCAATGCTCTCAAGGTGTACACTGTAATGGGGCCTGCAAGTTTGTAGAGGGATCAACAAGTCAAGATTCCGTACTTCACAGGCTAATCAAACAACAATAACTCAGAGTTACAGAATAGATAATACTTACTGCCATGGGACGAGAGGAGTGTAGACCATCCCTGGTGCCGAAACCTCTCCAAGTACGAAGACACCGCCTCCAGTTCCCCCTCCTTTCAAACAGTGAGAGAACACTCGAGGGGTGATTCCTTTGTAGTACAGTTGGGAGAGAACGGACAACTTCTGTTTGCCGAATCCGAAGATCCCATCTACAGCTGTCTCTGTCTCGGCCAACATGCCAGAGCGGTACGTGCTATCACTATAATCAGGTGAACATTTTTTGTCAATATTAATCATTCAACTGTCCTAGTTGCCATTTGTATAACAGTTAACATTATTAATGCTTATTTAATCCTTCAGCTATCCTTAATTGTTAACAGTTGTTTGTTAGAACAAGAAACAAATGTTGTTTGTGTGCTCAAGGAGTTTAGTTAAGTTCGTCGTCGTTTAAAGGTTAGCATAGATAAGTTATAGCAGGCAAACGTGTAAGCTTGCTGAGTCAAGTTCTGTTAAGGGTTTAGTTAGAGAGTGGCAGATCTTCATGGTAGTGGGCAAGTAGAGAGAAGTTGCTGGTTTTCCAGCAAGTAGTTGGGTCAGATGTATTTAAACGTTTTTGCACATTCAATAAAGTTTGTCAACTTGCACACCGATTGGTTCCTACATGTGGTATCAGAGCCTAATCAAGCAAGCTGTAACCAAGATTTCGCGCTGAGTGTGAGTGTTTTTGAGTGATAATTCTGCTGGTCAATTGCAGATTTTGGGTGTGAGTGAAACACGAGAGGCTTAGTGAGATAAATCATTGTTGTGAGGGGTGTGAGCTGTGTGGTGAGACCATGAGTGAGAACGATGATTTTGCTCCAGTTTGTGTTCCCAAGTTTGATGGAGATTACGACTACTGGAGTCTTCTAATGGAGAATCTGTTGCGTTCCAAAGGTTATTGGGATGTGGTGTGTGCTGGTGTCAAAGAACAAAATTCTGGAGAGGAGCTTTCTGTTGCTCAATTGAAGGCCATGGAGGAGTTCAAGCTAAAGGATTTCAAGGCCAAAAGTTACTTGTTCGACAGCATAAATAAAACCATCTTAAAGACAATCACACAAAAGGACACGGCCAAGCAATTGTGGTGTTCAATGCAGGTCAAGTATCAAGGTAATGCTAGAGTTCGACAAGCTCGTTTACAATCTCTTCGTAGGAATTTTGAAATTCTAACGATTAAGGAAGAGGAAAATATTAATGATTACTTTAGTCGAGTAATAGTGGTGGCCAATGCCATGAGGAGTTGTGGAGAGCAGATATCTTATGTGAGAAATGTGGAGAAGATATTGAGAACTCTAACTGGAAAATTCAACTACATAATGTGTTCTATAGAAGAATCTAAGGACATAGACATGCTAACAGTTGATGAGCTTCAAAGTTCCTTGCTGGTCCATGAGCAAAAACTCAGAAAAAGGGCAACGAAGGATGAGCAGGCACTAAAACCAGCTAGTGAAGGTGGTGGAAGAAGTCATGATCAAGGTGGATTTCAAGGGAGAAGTACAAGAACTTGGAATCTAGAGTCTGTTGAATGCTATCGATGTCATCGGATGGGACACTATAGAAACGAGTGTCCATATTGGACCAATCAGCAGAGACATTTCTCTAATGCACCTGCAGATTATGGCAAATGACACCTATGAAGCCATGAAGGAGAATGTTTTGTTAATGGCTTGTACTAAAAATGAAGAGAGAGGAGAGTCTCAAGTCGAATTGGCGAATAAGAAGGAGAGTGAGGGTTGGTGGGTTTTGGACTCGACGCGTAGTAACCACATGAGTGGTAACAAGGAATGGTTCACCAACTTTGATAATAACATCTCTTGTACTGTTAAGTTTGGGAATGTAACCAAGATGGAAGTTGCAAGGAGAGGATGCATCAAGCTGAGGGTAAAGAAGTTGTCACTAGTGTTTCAGAATGTATACTATGTACCAGGTTTAAAAACTAACTTGTTGAGCATAGGTGAAATGCAAAAAAAAAAAGGTCTGATTTTTCTTATCAAGGGTGGGGTTTGCAAGATTTTTCATCATAAGAAAGGTTTCCTGTTGCAGACAAGGATGAAACTCAACAAAATGTTTGTGTTTCATCCTGAGTTGGTTGTATCACAAACACCCATCGATGTGCAGTGCTTGTGCATTCAAACTTATGAAGCTGAGATGGATGGTTCTGAAATGAATGGAAACGATCCCATTCAGGAAGCACCAGAAACAAATTCACAAGCAGAAGTTACAATAACGACAGTGGTAGCAGCAGTAGGGGGGCATGAGAAATATGAATGGTCATCAGATTCAGAAGTCTCAAAAGAATCGTTATGGAAATGTTGCACAGATGAGGTGTGGTATTTATTTTAAGAAACTCAGCTTGAAGCATTAGAAGGCCTAAAAAAATCATAGCATCTGGTTGCTCCATGGCAGCCTTGATGGTCAATTCACAGAATAAAGATATACTACAAAGATTATCAAATCTGGAGGAGACTTATGCAGTTGAATGTAATGATGGTGAATTATCAAAGTTTGAAGCAGAAGATATATCCACTGGAGAGCTTGCATACTCAGGAACATCATCAACTAGACATTCAATCACCATTGCTGCTGTATCAGCAACAACAACTATGATTGATGAGTACCAAAGTCATTCTTCAAGGAATTCGTATTCAAAATATGAAGATCATGGTTCAACCGATGTTTCAGGACTTCTTACAGATGATTTGAGACCAAGATTTAGAAGGTGGCAATCGGACAAAAGAAAAAATTGGTTGTCTTGCTGGTGTATAAGGAATGTGTCTGTTGAAGACTTTCAGTACTTTGAGAAAAGAGTTAAGGAGGCTAATGGGAGTGAAGTGGTAAGATTGAAGTGGCAGTATGTTGATAAGAGTGATAACTGGAAATTGGCACACTTACCACCAGGAGCTAACAAGTTTGAGATTGAATGGGCATCGAGGACTAAACTTAAAAAGCATGATGCTTTCTATGTAGAGCAACCACAAGACTTTGTGGTTGCGGGGGAGGAAGTTACGATGCACAGACTGAGGAAAGTTTTGAATAGCTTGAAGCTGGTTTCAAAAGCACGGAACAACAAGATCATGAGGTATTCTCTAGCTTCTGAATTTCGTAGTCTGTTTGCCAAAAGGCAAAGGCCAGATTGGTTGATAGTTACTTTATGTGTGGATGGTACAGAAATTGATAGTCAGAGGTCGTTTGAGATATTCTTGAGAAGGAAAATATTTCAAAGTAACAAAGTGGTATTCACTTGTTGGCAAAAGTATACCAAAGAGTTGCTTGATATGTTAGAGCTTCTGGAAAGTAAGCTGGTTAAACATCCCATCATACCAGGTGCTAAGTACACTTTACAAGGAAATGGAGTTATGGTGGAAGTGAATCCAACTCAATTTGAGCAGTGGCAAGTTAAGCCTGAGATTCTGGGTTTAATGGCTTTGGTAGAACAATCACAAGGCTTGTGGATAAGGGTTACAAGTTCTATAAGCCTGGATATGAGTTGTTGCAGGCACCAAGAGCTAATAAGTGTTTAGTTGAAGCTGGCTTGGTACATTTTGCAGCAGCTTTTACAACTAATTTGCATCACGGAAACCCTGTTAAGAATCCCATGATTCTTGGAGCAAAAGTTACAGCAGCTGGGGATGATGTACAGGTGGATACCTATTGCAAGAAATTGTTTGAAAACTAGTTGTACTTCAAGGATATTCTTGGCTGTGATATTGGTTACCAACGGGGGACTCAAGAAACATGCTTGGAGGGTTGTACCAACTGCCACTATGCTGCTAATATGGATAAAAGGAGACATGTAAATGGTCATGTATTTCGATTAGCAGCAGCAGTACCCAGGATTTCCAATGAGCATTCACTTATTATTTTGTTCATCATTGGGTCTGAGTTAGCAGCAGCCGTATTTTGAAGAAAAGTACATCTGGGTGAGAATGATATTGAAGCTAATGGGTTGGTTAATGTGTTACTAGTGGAACAAAAAAGGGTGATGACTACTCAACTATCAGATTGTCAAGAAATCAAGTTCTACATAACAGGTTCAACCATTTATTGTGAAGGAGTCGTACCACAGGATAATTGTGAAGTGTCAGGTACCTTATATCATGGTCAGGCTTTTTGAAGAGCTATGCAGCGTTGTTAATGGTTAAACTGAAACGTTGTTTTCAGTACAGGGGAGGCTATGTTAGAACAAGAAACAAATGCTGTTTGTGTGCTCAAGGAGTTTAGTTAAGTTCGTCGTCGTTTAAGGGTTAGCATAGATAAGCTATAGCTGGCAAACGTGTAAGCTTGCTGAGTCAAGTTCTGTTAAGGGTTTAGTTAGAGAGTGGTGGATCTTCAGGGTATTGGGCAAGTAGAGAGAAGTTACTGGTTTTCCAGCAAGTAGTTGATAGGAGGTCAGATGTATTTAAACGTTTTTGCATATTCAATAAAGTTTGTCAGCTTGCACACCAATTGGTTCCTACATTGTTAACACTGAATCAAAATAAACTTCAACAAAGATTCTCCAATCCTAATTTACAACAAGATAAGCTACACAGGCTCAGACTCCTGAACGGATAAGGGTTCTTGGCATTGAATTGGTGTTCCTGCTAGACTTGATCAGCATGCATGTTCTAAATTTTCATCACCAATTACAACTCAAAAACAGCAGGAAATGTAATCTAGCTAGGTGAACATTCTTTGTCTACTCTTAATCCATTAGCTATCCTAGTAACCAGTTTTGTACATCACAACCAACATTAATGTTTTATTTAATCCAATATCCATTCTCAAATTGTTATCAGTTGCTAAAAAGAAGGGACATTAAGAGTTTACCCAAAAAGGATTCCAGCTGAGGCATTTAAGGTGTTTGAGCTGGACGAAACTGATTCAAAATGAAAGGTATCAGCCACATAAAATCCCGATGTTGTCGACTCATCCATGTATTTCATAACGTAGCCACAATATTGGCCGTCGATTGAACATCTAGTTGCATCCCCAAGAGTGATTGCAGTACAACTCTTGTCTGAACACGGAATAACCTTTGATGTGGAAGATGCTGCAACGTCATAGTGGCTGAGCTCAATCTGCACAATAACAATCAATAAAGAATGAGGTGAGTGAACAACAGCTTTAGAAAACATAAACTCAAATAAAAATCAAGTAAAGAAACATAGAAAGCGGAATTCACCCCGAATCGGCTCGAGCGCGGACAAGAGGGGCATGACTTGGAGCTGACCCATGTCAGCTCGCTCCCCGTATCAATTTGGAGATTGAACTCCTTTGGAGGAGTCCCCAATTTCACTTTCGTGAAATAAATCCTGTCAACAGAAAAAGAGCCAACAATTTTGAGAAAGACAGACAAGGATAAATTTGAAGGGTTGGGGGGCTGACAAACTAACAACAAAAGTGGTAGGCAATACAAACATGAACACCAATTAACTAAACTAAACCGGCCAGGGAAATTGGCTGCTACTGCTGTATGGGACTAAACTAAGTTGGTGTAGAACCAAACACTTAACAAAACAAAGATGTTGCTGTTATACTAAGCAGCTTCTGTGTGAAAATTTCTGCTGCTGTATGGAACTAAACACCACTAAAGTGTATGAAAGTAAGCTGGTGCTGTCATACTATCTTTTCTGCTAAAGATATTGCAGCAGCCCAAGCCCCAGCAAATTGCTCATGGGTCTAATGGGAAGAAACAAAAGGCCATAATTTAAGACAGTATACATCAAATCCCAATTTGAAGCAAACGAAAGGAATTGCCCAGAAATGTTCTAACAAACAGAAGAAGGAAAGAGCCTTTGAATGTTTTTAAGTAAATGAAGTAGGAAAGAGCCTTTGAATATGCATTATCAAACACAACCCCCCCCCCCCCCCCCCTGCTAGACTTGATCAGCATGCATGTTCTAAATTTTCATCACCAATTACAACTCAAAAACAGCAGGAAATGTAATCTAGCTAGGTGAACATTCTTTGTCTACTCTTAATCCATTAGCTATCCTAGTAACCAGTTTTGTACATCACAACCAACATTAATGTTTTATTTAATCCAATATCCATTCTCAAATTGTTATCAGTTGCTAAAAAGAAGGGACATTAAGAGTTTACCCAAAAAGGATTCCAGCTGAGGCATTTAAGGTGTTTGAGCTGGACGAAACTGATTCAAAATGAAAGGTATCAGCCACATAAAATCCCGATGTTGTCGACTCATCCATGTATTTCATAACGTAGCCACAATATTGGCCGTCGATTGAACATCTAGTTGCATCCCCAAGAGTGATTGCAGTACAACTCTTGTCTGAACACGGAATAACCTTTGATGTGGAAGATGCTGCAACGTCATAGTGGCTGAGCTCAATCTGCACAATAACAATCAATAAAGAATGAGGTGAGTGAACAACAGCTTTAGAAAACATAAACTCAAATAAAAATCAAGTAAAGAAACATAGAAAGCGGAACTCACCCCGAATCGGCTCGAGCGCGGACAAGAGGGGCATGACTTGGAGCTGACCCATGTCAGCTCGCTCCCCGTATCAATTTGGAGATTGAACTCCTTTGGAGGAGTCCCCAATTTCACTTTCGTGAAATAAATCCTGTCAACAGAAAAAGAGCCAACAATTTTGAGAAAGACAGACAAGGATAAATTTGAAGGGTTGGGGGGCTGACAAACTAACAACAAAAGTGGTAGGCAATACAAACATGAACACCAATTAACTAAACTAAACCGGCCAGGGAAATTGGCTGCTACTGCTGTATGGGACTAAACTAAGTTGGTGTAGAACCAAACACTTAACAAAACAAAGATGTTGCTGTTATACTAAGCAGCTTCTGTGTGAAAATTTCTGCTGCTGTATGGAACTAAACACCACTAAAGTGTATGAAAGTAAGCTGGTGCTGTCATACTATCTTTTCTGCTAAAGATATTGCAGCAGCCCAAGCCCCAGCAAATTGCTCATGGGTCTAATGGGAAGAAACAAAAGGCCATAATTTAAGACAGTATACATCAAATCCCAATTTGAAGCAAACGAAAGGAATTGCCCAGAAATGTTCTAACAAACAGAAGAAGGAAAGAGCCTTTGAATGTTTTTAAGTAAATGAAGTAGGAAAGAGCCTTTGAATATGCATTATCAAACACAACCCCCCCCCCCCCCCCCCCCCCCCCCCCCCCCCCACACACACACACACCACCACCACAGAAGTTACATAAATTTGCAGCCACAGCGTCGATCCCTAATGTGCTTCATCAATTCCACAATCCAATTGGGAAAACTAATTCAGCCATGGCTATTTCAATAACCAACTATTGCAAAATTCTATCAGGAAGGATTGCATAATCAGCTTGGGATAACAACTACGGTTGACAGAACGAAGTAAAATCAGCAAGCAGCAACAACAGTAGTCTCAACTCTCAATTCTCTAATGATATGAAGATGAGGATGATCAAGCCAAACATAATAGCGTAGGGCAATGACGGTGAAGGGGATGAATATGGACCAAAGAGAAGGCTCTCTTAACTAAAAATTACCATATATGTTTGACTAACGAGCTTCTTTGATGATCATCATCCAAACGAGCTAACTCCATCGATTTCTTAATCTACCCTTTCGGCGCCTGGACTCAACAGTTGAGGTGGAAGTAAGAGGGAATAGAAAAGACATAGGAGGGGATAGCGGCGGGGAGAGAGAGAGAGAGAGAGAGAGAGAGCGACCACAGCTGAAGTCTTTCTCCATCCGATTGCGACGCCGGAGGTTTGTCGGCGACGGCGGCAAGCGGAAGGGATTATATCTGGAAGAACAGATTGAAGAGATGGCGGGAATGGCAGCTGCGAAGGAGATTTGCCAGAGCGGGATCGAAAGAGAGAAAGGCTTGAAATTTATCCGCAGCTGACGTGGCGAAAACGTTTCGGTGACGTTGGCATCTCCACAAAAAATAAAGTGGGCTTAAAGCATGTCCGGCCCGTAGTCCGTCGGTAACTAAACCCACAAGATGGGCCCTTTTAACGGATATGGGCCTTTTTCCTTGACTGTGTTGCAAGTGATCGGGCCTTTGCCACGAGTTCTGTTTCTAGAATTAGTATTAAACGGCGTCGTTGCACACACAACCTTGGCACCATTCATCTTTGCCATTTTTGCCGCCAAAATTAAAAAAACCAGGCAAGTTCCAGAGGCTACCCCTATTTATAGCATTCAAGCTTTGCTTAAAAAAAAACAGAGCATTTTCGAAGATGCAAACAAAGCCGCAGAAACATACCCGTAGTAGAAAGAATCAGCGGATCCGTAGACGGAGAAATTGACGACCCCATTGAAGAGGCGAGCGTGCCTGGCTCGGTCCCTAGCTCGGTGATGGTCCACGGAAACCACGGATGAATTCAGAGGAACCATCCTCTGTAAGTGGAGAACAGCAGAGGCGGCTTCGGCGGCGGCTTCGTAAAGAATCACTACCGCTGTGATAAAAAAACCCATCCGAGAAGAAGTGGAAAGCCGCATTTTTTTTCTTTTCCAAAGGAGCTGGGAAATGCCGAAAAACAGAGGAAGCTAAAACAGGGGATCACTGGAAGAATTGAAACAAGGGAAGATTAATGGTTGAATAGATTGTTTCTTCCCTTTCGATTTTGAAATCTTTGCTGTTTCAAGGGAGGTAAGGCAAAATCGCCAGGCTCGTCGACAAAATGAGAAGAATTGTTAAGTGGGTGTCCCTTTTTTCCCCATTTTTGGTTTCGGTGGTTCTGCTTGCTATAATAAGCGGAATACTCAGGAGAAGGCAGAAAAGATTGGACAACAGGGCATCTCACCATTTTTGTTCTGGTCACCTGCTCACTGAAGCTGTGAGTCTGTAAAATGGCATTTGTCTTTACTTAAGCGGAACCCACTAGAGTTTTAAAGATACACCAAATTAGGAATTTGGTTTGGGGCCTCCCCGCGAGTGAATGTGATCTCTTTACTTTCTTCTTCTTCTTCTTCTTCACCTTTAACATTTGCAGTGTGCCTTCGCAAGATTGCATTGCATTCGTGGCTGACTGGTCATCTTATTGAGACCAAATTAACAAGAAGGCAAAATTGTAATTCTTTTTTTCTTGGATATGAGCAGTCTGAAGCGACCGTAAAAAAGAAATATGCCAAGAGTTAGCTTGTAGAAGATTACAGGCCCTTTATCAGTTAGCTTGCCTGGGAAAGCTGTTGCTTTGGGTTTTCTTTCGTTTGTGAAAGCATACCTTATGGGCGGTTTGACCTCTACTCGAGAGTAAATTTATAGGAGAGTTTTTGGTCGTATAATAATATGATTATACCACAATTCTAACACAAAATACACTATCGCCAGTACAACTTCCTCTGATACAAGTTTCGGTATGATTTCGAGATCGTTGATTTCTACTCGGTGCAATCTCATGTACTATTTCGCAGTCCTTGCTTTTTACACTTGTGACAAAAAGTCTCTTTGCAAATCGATTAGCTATCCACGTCCATACGTGTTTCATTTACTTCATGTTGTAAGCCTGCGGTAAAAGGATCGCATTTGAGGAGGGGAAAAAATAACGTGGCCATTTGTGTTTTTATGATATCCACAGGGAGTGCAAATCCAACTGCTTGAAATCGGCGAACTTAAGGGACCTGCTTAGGTTTTAGGCAGACAATTAGGCGTTTATAATGTCTAAGTGAAGTTTAGATAAAAATGAACACGATTAACCAATGAGAAACGTGATTAATCGAAATGAGTCGCACTTAATTGAACTAGTGCACCAAGGATGCAAAGAATTGTTTCTAATCTTGTTAAAACAACATCATCTCTAGCTGCCCTATATTCAACACATCCCCTATTCATTCCTCGATTTGAATTACAATTTTAGGTTATGACTTGTCTACAAAACACTATAAGGCAATGTCAATAAAATCGTTTTGCCACGTCAGCTACTCCTGAACAACCCGCACAATGCGGGAGGGCCTTTTGGGTAAATCCATAATTTTCTCTTTCTCGCCATCCTCTCACCGAACCGCCCCAGCCATCAGTGCAGAGTTCAGACCCTTCGTCTCTCTCACCTTCCTCCCTCAAGAAATCCCTACCATCATGCGTTCTGCGTTGCCCTTTTCCCTTTGGCGTCGTCGCTTATGTGTTCCTCTTCAATCACGTCGCCGCTTCGTCCTCCCTACCTTCAATCCATTCCCATCGCCGCACCGTCAATCCCGAATTCTGATATTTATATGCAATCCGAAGTTCCTTCCTCTAATTCTACTAAATAGCAACAGTTCCTCCCTCAACCCCGCTATCGGGAATCATTTTGCATTCAAGCATCGGTGAGTCCTCGCCGCCCCTTGGCCTTCCTTTTCCGCTGCTAATTTCTTCCTTCATGCAATTTTACTCAATAACATAGCTTCTTAGTGAGCCAAAAAAATGCTCCAGGAATGATTTATGTGGTAAAATAAGCTTCCTTTTGAAATCAGCAGCTTTGGATTTGGTGATGAAGGATCTGGGTGTCACGAATTTCAACCAATGGACTTGGTGTTGATCAATTCAGAGGTAAGCGTTCTTTAGAATCAATTCAAAACAAAATCTGACATCTTACTTAGGCTCTAGGTTCTTGTGGGTTCTTTGTGTTCTAGGGGAAAGATAGTTAAGCTATAATTTCTCATCTCTTGATTCGTAAATTTGAATCAAGAATGAGAGAGCAAGAATTCTATGAGATTAGACATTTCAAAGTTTCTCTAAAATAGAACCAATTCAGGCACGTTTTCAATCTTTTGATGTTAGAGTTTGATTTAGCCACCTTGGTACAATTCAAATTGTCTGAAGCATACCCTCCATCAATTTCAACCTTTTCAAACACTCTGAAATAATGAAGAAGTTGTATGATGAGAAGAATCCATCAAGTAAGGTGGTATTTCCTGTGACGTTCATCGATAAATCGTACTTATTTTAAGGTTCTAATGTTCCCCTGTACCCCAGATGTGACTGGGCAATCGGTTTAGTATTTTCCAGTCACCTCAAAAACATCAAACAATGGAAAGATACCGCAATCAAACTAATTTTGTAACTTTAACTCACTTCTTCCCTTTTTCATTGATTTCGTAGTGAACCATCACCAATTGATTTAATTGCTTACTTTGCTTTACTGTGGTTAGTTAATTGCTAACAGAGGGGAGATGGTAAAGATCACTTTGTGGGGAACTGTTGGAAACCAATTGGATGAAATTATATCTCACAGTGAAGGGCAACAATTCTTATGCCTGTTGCTTTTGTGTTGTTTATGAATTTAAAGGCTTTAGTAAATCAAAATTCTTTTTGCCATCTTTCTTTGAAAATCTGAGAGTCGAAACTAATTATGTCATTACTTTTATTTAAGGGGAGATTTGCATGTCATCAATAGGGCGCTACACTTTCGAAGGCAAAGATGGATATTCTAGAAGTTCATCAATTTGATATTGGGGTTGCCATTCTTTTGTTACTTTGTTGCATGAAATCATAATATTAATTTGAATTATGATAAGAGGTCAAGACCATGTATGATTGTATTCTGGGGATAAAAAGCTCAATGCACCTGTTTTGATTATTGATAAACTAGCTCTTAAGGTTCTAAACATTTACATAGCTCAGCTCAATGAATTCAAAAATATGGACGAGCGTATTGTAATCTTTTTTCTATAGAATTTGGAATCATTTGAACACTTCTGATTTATCTGTTATTAAGTTACTTGCTACGAATTTTCAGGAGAAAGTGTTTGCTGTAGAAGGCCAAGTGATTCAAGTACAATCTAATTGGTGCGACATGGAGTGTCTTGAATGCCCTCACAAAGTTGAAGAGGATTGGAGTACTTTCGCAGACACTATAAGAAAACTTCTTAAATTGCAAAAGTCAAGTAAGCCGATCAACTAATTCAGTTTTTCGACAAACTGCATCTTTCAAATTTAGTTTTTATTGTCTGATATGTGTTATGAAATTGATTCACATGGAGATATTGGCATACAGACTCATGTCATTGTTGACTTTAATTCCATTAGTCATAGGTGAGAGTAAAACTCCATATGCAAGATAATTCTGCTGAAGCTTATTTGCAATTTTGGAGAGTGAAGGTCCCCATTTCTTTGGTGTAATGACTGGAGTTTTCTTTTTTATAGAGACCTGTTACAAGGTGCTACTAATGGCTGGAGTTTAATTACAAGCAAATTAGAGGAAGAAAAAATCAAATCCTTCACAAGTCCAGCAAGTTGTTAACATGAAACTGAAATTGCATGTTAAACTTACTCAGTGTTGAACCCTCAAACTGAGTATTATGTAGTTAGCGTGGAGCACGATTCACTTGGGGTAAGTGATTAACATTTGAGCGCTAAAGCAATTTTATTACCTATCAGTTACCGCCTTAGTTTCATCATTTTCATTTCTTTGATTACTCTAATTTCACTGCAGCCAATGAGTCAGACATCAAGCCAATCCCTCACAAGTGCAATACCTATCTCGAAGATAACTTCCTAGACTTCTCATGACAACAACCAAAGAGATGAAACATATTTGGTTGCTGCAAACTTGGAGGAAACTAGCAACATTGTTGCAAGCCATGAAGATCTTGGAGAGAGTGCTTAAGGAGATTTAAAAGGGAACATTGGGTCGACTCTAACACCAAGGAAGAAAAGTACTATTGTTGGGATCATTATGTAGTTAAGATCCACGTTATGAACCTTATAGTTTTAGAGTGTGTTTTTCACCTATGAGATGTTCGTGAATTGCTTAGTGTTCATAAAATTTAGATTCTTAGATTATCCATAATTTTATTTATCATTTTCATAGACAATTGGAATTTCAAGTTAACAATAATAATTTATTTGTGTTACCATCTCTTTTTTCCATTTGCATGAAAAGTTTTAAGTCCTCTCCTTCTAAACAAAAATTAATTGCAATAGACATAACTAAAATGAGGTTTATATAGAAGAGCATCACGATAAAAACATTAGTTAAATGCACCATCAGCAAATAACTTTTCACCTGTTTGCCAAACCCGTACTTTCCAATGTTGTACCAATACTTACTGACGAAATTGTCGAAGTTACAAATTCAAATTGCTTGAGTCGTATGTATTGTTTCAGGATTTTATACTACATTAGCCAATATAATACAACATAGTACACATTCCAATTTTATACTACACCGGCCAACGGGCCGGGCCCATTGCTAGTTATTATTATTTTTCAGGGTTAGTTAAGTTATTAACATTTGAAATTGAACTCTACAAATTGTTGTTTCTACTAAAAACCAATACCTTTGCTAAAACGCCTAGACATCATCTAGGTTCCGCCTAAATTTACTAGACGCTAGATAGTGACCCAATGCCTGCCTAGCGGCCAACACCTTCTCAAACCTTGGCAATGAGTAAGTTACAGGACACATGAAGATTGGTTTATATAGGACTACAGTGGAAGTAGTTGAGCTTGCAATATTATCTTCCTAGCTGGATCTTTTGGAAAGAGGTATATGAGGTCATAGTAAAAATAACTTGAGTTTGTTGAAAATTAGATCTTAAATCATGGACTTACACTCTCGTTTAACCATATTATCAAAGATTTGGCCATTAATACTACCACTGGATTTCAACCTTAATATTCCAAATTCATTTCTTAATTAACCCCTAACAATAAAATTAAAAACACCATATATCATGCTTAACCCAAAAGAAAGAAAATATTCAAAACCTCGTCAAAACACACTAATTCTATAAGTCGATTCATCCTAGTAATTCGACTTGTTACGAGAGATCCAAAATTGGGCTCTTCCCTTTTTAATCATTCCAGCAACCGTAGGCTTCTACACAATTAGCTCTTACGTAATACACCAGCCTGGTTGACCTTCATGATAGTTGGTGGTTTGTCATTTTCTTGCAAGTTTCTCTACTTTCTTTTATGTGTAGTCTTTCAACTGACCATGATACGTTTATGTTATTTGCCGAGGCAGATAGAATAGCTAGAAGAATACCAACACCATCAAGGCAGCAAGCTGGTCAGGAAGTGATCAGGAATTTTATCAAGTCCAGGAGAGACGGTACGAGCACGAGCAAGAGCGCGACATAATCGACATAGACTCCCTGCGGAAGTGGGCTGCTGTGCTGGCAAAGAGAGGAACCAGGTGGACGATGTTTCGTGTTCCCCAGTTGATGTACCAAGTCAACCCACTGGCATACACTCCTCAGTTCTGTCTCCATCGGGCCTTTCCACTGCCACAGAGGCAACGTCGCCGCGCCTTCTAACCATAGAAACGCGGACCTGCAAGCCATGGAGGGCCTCAAGCGAGAGTGTTCATGCTCCGCCTACTAGAGAGGACAAAGTACGTCGACCATACCTTCCACGAGTGTAAGGATGCCGTTGATGGAGTCATTGAGGTGGTACGTAACAGCTACTACACAGAGCTGGATATATCCAGCGAGCTCCTCTCCAACGTCATCCTTGTCGACGCCTGCTTTCTACTTGAAGTCTTCTTTACAAACATTGGCATCATGAACAGCGGTATCAGAAGTGGTGACGAGGATTTCATGTCGGCAAATGAGTACAAGAAGATTCTGACCTCTTCAGGACTTCGACGTGACCTAGCGCTGCTTGAAAACCAACTGCCTTTCTTCGTGCTCGAACGTCTGTTTGAAGTCATCTGTCGTTGCTTAGAAGAGCCAATTGGTATACAAGGCATCTCTCTCCCTGGAATTGCATTCTCTATCTTCAAACGTGACTTCAACTGTCACCATAAGGTCTTCAGATTAGGAACTGCAAAAGAGCATCCAAACTATAGGCATCTGCTTGATCTGATATCCAACTACACTCGTCCTTCATCGTCTTCGTCACCTGATCCTGCTCTTTCTCCTCGTCCTCTTCCTATGTCCCAACAATCACCCACAGTGCATCTACGTAATGCTAAGAAACTGAGTGAAGCAGGAATACATTTTGAAAAGGCAGAGGAGAACATGTTGCTGGATATAGAATTCTGCAGCGGAGTTTTCCGAATCCCACCATTGGTGATCAACGAGTGCACTGAATCACTCTTGAGAAATCTCATGGCTTTTGAGCATAACTCCTGCAATCCCGAAGACCCAACTTACCCGCATGACGAGTACTGTGCGTCTCACGTGTTCCTGATGGAGCGACTCATCAGCCACAAAGAAGACCTTGATACAATGGAAAGCAAAGGAATTATAATCAATCAAATGGGAGGTAGGGAAGACACCTATAAGATATTCCACAACATAAGCCAGAACTTTGTTTTGAAGAATTTCTATTTCGGTGAGTTATGCAGCAGCATTGAAGCCTATTGCGAGTCTCGGAGGAATCGATGCTTGCTGGAGTTGAGAAAAAAACACCTCAAGAGCCCATGGACAACCTTATCAGTGGTTGGTGGTACTATCCTTCTCATCTTCACTGCCATCCAGACGATCTACACTGTTCTCAGTTACTTGAATCGCTAGTAGCTAGTAACCACACTGTGATTCATGCTTTAGCATATTCCAGACTCCGAGCTTCACTTCACTTGCTTATTTTTGTGTGATTCAAGGAATTAGTGCTTATTGAACTCTTTACCTTTTGTGTACTCCAGAAGAAAACATTAAGAGGCACAATTCACACGCATAAAACAAATTACCAAACAAAAAACAACAGAGTATTCTTGCCCGGAAAAAAAACATCACAGACTATACAATGTACCTATGTCAACGAAGAGGTCATGCTGGCTACCGATTCCAAGAAAATTGTCACCTCTTCAGGCACTTGCGCTGTGCGAAAATCAACTCCCTCTCTGAGATTACTCTCAACAGCACCTCTAGTCACTTCAGTTACCCTAAAAAGGAAATGAAGATCAAGTTAATCCTTAAACCGAAATGCTTTGTTAAGAAACTCTTTCACCCTGGTGATTTCTATCATATATGTTGGTCCTTGCTAAAATCAAGTCATCAACATAAATTAAGATGGAAGGAACTTGAAGTCTTCCTAGTACGAGGAGAGTGATCACCCGACTCTCCAAGGTTCATAAAAACAGAACCATTCTGCCCAGTTGCAGATCAGTAGATGAATATGCGAATATTTACTATAATCAAGGACATTCAAGAACGAAAAGAACCCCAAACAGAACAAGGAACATGGCCAACAATGGAACGGTGATGCAAGAGGAAGAGAGCAACCTATTATATCTTGAACCCAAATTAATCACAGTAGCCCCAAGCATAACTGGTTCATCCCACCGGACTAACAGCAGATGTTGTAGCTTCTTACTGGATCGGAAACCAGTACGCTAACACAATGAAGTTGACCAGTATTGTCACCCTTCCATGGTTGACCATCACTCTGCAGCAGCACCGCCTGCTTGTTGCTGGTGCACTCTTCTTCAGTATTATCATGGCAGTAAACAAGCCGGTAGGCATATCTCTTGAAATTCACAGAGCTGTCCATAAAGCAACAAAAGAAGCTCTTTCTAAATACAAATAATGCAGTCAAAAGCGAGTTTCTACATAGAAACGTTTTGGTGATCTAGAAGCATAAAATCATAAGTTTTTAAGTTTTAAAGCAGAGTTTTTAACTACATAGGTTATAAAGACTGAGATTTTGTGTAGAAGCGTTTTAGTGACCTAAAAACGTAAAATCATAAGTTTTTACGTTTTAAAACACGATTTTGACTACATTGAATACAATTACTTTCGAGTACCGCATCTACGTATTTCATTTACTTCATGTTGTAAGTTTACCAAATTGTAAAAGGATTGCATATGAGAAGGGAAAAATCACGTGGTAGCCATTTATGCTTTTATGATATCCACAGGGAGTGCATGGAATTCAACTGCTTAAAATCAGCAGATCACCGTGCCTATTAGATGATCCCTGGATGGGTTGCTCCTTGGCTGCAGGGAAAGCAGACTTCTTTGTACTCTCTGATAGTGTTGTTGCCAGCATTTTCTTCAAGACAGCGTGTAGCTGATCCCAAAACCTGGCTTGCAAACAGGGGGAACCTGTTAGTGAAGCATCAGAAACCAATACATGGCGTCCTTCTAGCAGGAGGTTGAGAGCTGATTCTAGCATCTGATACCAAAACAGAAAACCCAGCGAAGGCATCAAATAGCTTGCCATTGTGTAGTGGCATATAATACTCATGATGACCATGTAACTGAAAGCCATTCAGGATGTCAGTAGGAGAACAGTGCAAGGAATAAGACAACATACTGCATTTATCAAGCAATAGCTACAATGCAAAGAAGAGAGTTCCCAAGACACAGCTTACTAAGCTGGTCCGAACAAACTCCGGCCCTCATTCTAAGACGAAACTTCTCATCCCAAGTCTTAGCACATCAACTTCCCTACTGATAACCAAACACCAACCGTCCAAAACTAGCTGAATTCAAATTCTCATCGGCCTAAGTTCATAGCCCCAAAGCACACACAGGAAAGGGAAAGCTCGTCGTTCAGAATATCGTACCTCCGGCTCCGGTGGTTTTACACCGTACTGCGCCGATTGGAAGAACTTTCTCCGGCAAGTTGGAAACTACTGGAAGAGTATTTAGATCGGTTTCCGCCGGAAGCATTCTATACCTTGGCGGCGCCCTCACCCTAGACAAGACAAACCAACAAATTCCACGGTTCACGACCATACAGTAGTAGAGAGAGAGTCAGCCAAAAAGCGAAAGGAGAGAATCACTTCTGGCGTGAAGGAACCAGAGCCGAATCGATGGCGTGGAAGGATTTATCAGTCGGCACGGGGATGGAACCGCAGAGGAAACCCACTGGCTTCGGCCTGACTACTTCAAGACTACCAACGCACTGAAGCTCTTTGGAGCCGTCGAAGGAGCTCGACGATCGCGACGACGGCGGTGATGGTTTCTCCATTGTTTCTTCGCGATTGTTTCCAGCCCGAAGAACGGAAAGCTTGCGCCGGTGAATTTTCGGTGATTCTGCCGGGAACCGTTGTTTCCCTTTTTTTGCCATCTCAACTTATATGTCTGCATAGAGAAAATGGGATTCTGTTTATCAAAAGAAAGATCGTGGGCCGGAATCTACGGCCCATATCCGCAACTCAAATCTAGCCGCCAAAAGCCCAATGGACTTATGGCGCGGAAATGGATATGGAGACTGATTCAAATTTTAAAGTCGCATGACCTGAAAGGAAAAGGAGAAAGCCTAAAACTTGCTATGTTCATAGACTCTTCACAAAAGTTCATCTGTACAGCAGAGGAACAAGAAAAAGGAAGCTGTAATAATAAAAACCCTAAATCGATCATACAATTAACGCGATTAATTCTGCGATCCACTCCTAAACATACCATCTTCGGCCACTAACACAACAACAAAAATCCACCATCACAACCACACAGCACCTCATTACAGATTACCACCAACCATACACTACCCATCATCTCTACAAGGTGCGAATCGTGTCGACACGGTCGATCACGTCCAAGGCTTTGATCCGGTCGATGTCGAAGTCAATGACAGGGATCGACGATGGTCTCCTGAGAGGGAAAGGGTCTCTCTTGGTTTCGCGGGTAGGGGAATGACTGCTGCTCTTGGTCAACCTGTGGTGTTTGCTCATCATTAGCCTGGTTTTAGCGGTGTCAAACTCCTGGCTCTTGCTTATCCCCGGCAGTTTCTTCCTTTTGGTTACATCCCTCAGCATCTCTTGATCTTCAATTGTCAGCATCGGAGACTGAGGGCTGGGGGTTTGTGCTGTCAGCTGTATCGTCTTTTGGTTTGGGGATCGCATCGGTGATTTGACAGGTGATCTGATTCCGCCATTGGCTGCTCTTGCTTGGCTGACAAGGTGGTGAAGCCACACCACCAGTTGGAGGATGTGTGTTTCGGTCTTGTCTTTGTCAGCATGGTGCAGAGTCTCGATCCTCAGCAAGTCGTTCTGCCCAGCTGGCTTTCGGTTCATTTCAGACCTGGGAGAGTTTTGTCATCAGAAGAGGTTCGAAAATACATTGAAAACCAGAAGTGTGAGAAAGCGATATTTCAGCTCACCCTGTATTTGCCCATTCTCCAACCCAACCAAATCCATGATGAGCTCTGGTTAACATTGAGTTCAGACAAAGTCAAAATTGAAATGCTATGTAAAATTGAGCTCTGGTCAACGTAAAATCATAAACATAAGAGCGGACATGAAAGCTTAGATTCTAATATCTAAAATGAGGATTCTAACAACATAGGCAAGAGCTACAACCAAACATGAATATTTGAAAGTAAATGTTCTTCTAATGGAAGTAGAAGGTAAAACTTTTACTTGGTTGTGTTAGCAGCAATCGGGACAAGCCACCGCAAAGTTTTCTCCATTTCGTCTTTGATTTGAGGGACGGTGAGCTTCACCAAAAAACAAGGACACAGTCAAGATATGCCAATAAAAAAAATTGACACATAAACATTTCAAACTTGAGTACTAACAAGGATTCTTACCTCCTCGTCAAACTGGAAAGAAAGCAATTTGGAGCGCATGGCAGACTTAATGCTAGGTGGCAGCCCTTGGTACAGCGCATCTCTTGTACTTGGGGGCACAGAACTCGAGCGAGAGACCTGATTATTGCTCAAGCATCAGAGCTCAAATTATTCATCTACAAAGAGAGGAGAAGAACTCAATTCTGAATGATGAAATCACCAACTTACAAGAGTATCAATTTGAGTGATAATATTTGCATAATGCAAAGCAAGGCCAGCAGCGCCCAGCTTCTTGTGACTATTCGTTGAATTTTTCACTGGTCTATCGCCATCTACAGTAGAATAATGGAATTAGTTCATCTCAGTGCACGTATTAACGAATATCATACGAATATAGAAGTTTTTCATGCAGGACTCACAGACAAAATCTCGCTTTTCAAGTTGAGATTAAAACAAACTGTTGCCTACTAAAAACTAATAATATCACTAGTTCTAAAACATTCAAGCAGTAAATGACTTCCAACTGTACAATTACTTAGCTATACAGTAATGCCAAGCAATGTACTCAAAACCACACATTAAACCTTAAAAGCTTATGCTTTTACGCTTCTGTGTCACCAAAAACGCTCCTGCATAGAATTGCGCTTTTCTCTTACAAATGTAGTCAAAATCACGCGTTAAAATAGAGATTGATTACTTAACTTTCATCAGATGGTCAAAAGATGGAACCCATTCACAATCCTAAATACTAGAAACTACAATCAATGGCGAAGCCAGAATTCCAAACCAGGGGGGGAGGGACTTGAATTGTAGTAATTGTGGGAGAGGGCTAAAACCTTACCGACTATTCTAATTACATTGTAAAATCACTCATCAAACAAAACTATTCTGAATTATTTTTTTTTTTTCGTTGAATTATTCTGAAGCCTTTTGGAGCTTATTAACTCTGCATGCAGAAATATAGACAAGAGGGTTCAAACAACCTGTGCCTGGAATCTAGAAGACCAGATTTCACATGGTTGGTGGATGCTCACCTGCACTACCAAAGGCTTCATGAATCTCCAAATGCAAGAAATGGACGATGTCTACAAGCTTTTCCATTACCTAAGAGCACAAGTAACAAGATATATTCACCAGAAATCATGAAAAGTTCTAATGCTTAGGAGCAACAGGACCATGGTCGTATATAATTCCGTAAACCAGATTTCTCACAGGGTTGGGATCCATCAAATTGCAAATGCTGATATAAGAGGACCAAGAAAAGTTCATCATATCAAGTGAGAACTCGCTGCCTAGACAACAATGACTATTACCTCTTCCAAAATCTTTGACCATAGTGATTTCTTCTTCAAACTCTTCACATGTTTCCGTTGACTCTTCAACTCTGTCCTCAAAATTGCAAGGCTGTCTCCTGAATGTCAATAAGAAACAGTTAGAATTTCGAGTTTACCAAAAATAATAATCAAGGCTAACACAACTTCACATCTTCATGTCAAACCACAACTCAGAAGTACGAATTGGGATTTGAAATGAAAGATGTGAATAAAAGAAGTTCAAATTAGCCACCGAGAGCACAGTTTCAGTTTAACATGGTTGTAGGCACCATAAGATTGAGTTAAATTTTGATATCTCATGTCAGGTGTTTCACATTCCACAACTCTTTCTGCATATCTATGGAACAAAATTGTTAGATTCAATGATGACAAAGATCTAAAACAACAACTGATCAAATGAAAAGGAGATCCATTCTATGGATCAAACTTATGTTTGCAACAGCAAAAAAACAATTTATGTCAGAATTTTTGTTTCGAAAATTCAGGCTCAAAGACTTCATATACCGGAGGGCTACATTACAATACAAGGAGAGGCTTTAACTGAAAAACTGGAAGTGTACTAGGTCCGCGTCCATGAGAGCAACCTAATGAAACATACAAAAATAAACAACTTGATACAACCTGAAACTCATACAACACACCTCTCTGTGTAGTATTTGAGTTCTCGTCTTCCTGAAGTTTACGTCGGTAATCTTGTTCAAATCTGTCCAAAGCATGCATTTCATGATACAATTCCTGCACAACAAAGAGAGGAGGGGGGGATGATGTCTTAAATTTCCTTAATTTAGAAGCATGAACAAAATTTTGCACAAGAAAGCATCTGGTTCAGTCAAATACACATAGTAGGCCTGGTTAAACCCATGTGAGATTCGACTTGAAATGTTGCATTCCAGAGACATCAACAACCAAATATCAGCGTAAAAACAATGAATGAACAGTTTGCCTTTGTACAAATACCAAGGATGAGTTGGTTTCAGCCTTTCTTTCCTCAACGTATTAACAGAAACTATGGATTAGTGTTCACTACAAAATGACTTCGGAATAGATTTCCGATTTATGATACATGAAAATGAGAGTTGATCTATAGACCCCACCACACTATAAGTACCTGATCAATAAGAAACTAATATGTAACACAAGCCAAACAGAACTCATATCACTGGTACTGAGCTAGGCAGATTGACCTGAAGACATCTTCAACTTTTTGGGGAGAAATATGATAGACAACGCTGTAGGATCAGCTATACCCACAAGCTGTCATTATGTGTTTATGTTCGGCTATCAGAGATATTATGTCCATTCAGTATCTCAAAATCTCAAAGACTAGGTTATATAAATATCACAAGTAAACCAAGTGAGTGACTTCCAGTAACGTATTGACCATGATTGCCTGTAATCGTCTCACTTGGAATTAAAACTAGATAGAAGCTAAACTGACAACTTTACATTGGGAGAATCAAATACTCACTGCTGTGTACTGAACCATAGTCATTAAGTGCTGCATCATTGTCTCTGCCTCTTCCCTAAGCTGCCTCTCTGGTGTAAGTTCTGAGCCTAACCTGCAAAACATGGAAACAGTATGAAGAGTAACATGAGATTTGTTTCGCGTAGTGTTAAAAGATCTGAAGTAATTAAAACTTTTCTACATTACTTCTCAAAATAACGGTCCAAATTGTGCCATTGTGGATCTTTGCAACGATTTCCAAAACGTACCACTTCTCCAGAGAAAACAGTCAATTCTTCTCTGCCACAATCACAAGGATAAGTAATTAGTATCATCTCACAGGATACTGAATTTAATGGTGTAATACACTAAGCCTCCAAATCAAACAAGCGTGATAATTTCACGTTAATAACATATCAGCAAATTTCACCTCTTATCTGATGCTGCAATTCTCAATAATTCTTCCATATCTCTTGATATTAAGTTTTGGACCCCTTCTGAAGGAAGCACCACTTCTTTCAGATGTATGATATTCTCCTTTGAAAGGGATTGCATAAGGTTGGCACCCTTAACAATTGTATTGGCAACTTCAAATGCCAAAATTGCAATTTTATTGCCTTTTGTTGTTACTCCTGAGGTAAAACCGCTGCTAGGATTGAGATTTGTCATGCTACTACCAAGTGTATCTAATACTTCCACTGCTTTACCGAGACCAGCGGTACCCGCTCTACCTAGAAGGGAACTCACTTCTGAAACCTGCACCAAGAGATGCCAAAATGAATAATACAATGAATATTGTGACTGATACTTCTGTAAAACATAAATTTCAAACTCCTTGCATTAAAAAATTCTACAAAAAAAACAGCAAAAAACATCTCTTCTCGTGTTCATCAAGTTCTACAATCAGTAAAGTAAAAAGTCAAAACTATTGATATACAAAACAGAACCTTCCACCACGATAATGCATGTCAGCCTTTTCAATTAAGTAGAAGCAGTGCAGAGGACAGTAAATAAGTAAGATATAAGAATCAACAGAGACAAACTGAATAGAAGGGAAAATGGCAGGACTTCAAAACACATCCACACTGCTGCTGAATAACCACAGAACAGACCATTATTGTTTCCCTGACTTAATCATGCCAGTTACTAAGGGAATTCGAAGCTTACTAAGTACTTTTGGCTACACTTGATTGAGTGGGCAACAAAAGATGAAAACCATTGTTCAACCTTGCATCTGATGCAGGCAAAAGCATCTGAACAAGCTTTAAACGATTCAAATCACATATCTTAGGATCACTGTCCGAGAAAACACATATGTGTTAGTTGCAGAAGCCTTTTTGTTATAGCTAGGTTCTTTAAAGGCAACCAGTACACGATGATACAAATAAGTTCCATATGTTATCTTTTGGATTATTGATATGACACACAATGCAAGTCCTAATAGTCTCAATTTCAACTTACCATAAATTCAATTACAAAAAAGAAAGTGAACCTAATTCAGGACGTAGTACGTAAAGATAGAAATTTTTTTACAAAAGGTCTGTGCAACCAAAATGTGGCATTGATGACACATTCTCCTGCTTAAAATAGAAAACAAATAATAACAGGCAAAAAAATACCCATCCGTGTAAACATTCCCTAGCCAAATGAATAATAACGACATACGTTCGAACATCAAACAGGAAAGAGAGTAGATGAACAAAACAGCAACAAAGACAGCATAAAAAACAGTGTCATCTCGAGTTAAACCTTTGCAACGGCTGCTTGCTTTGTTTTGGTCGATCTAGATTTGTTTGACAGCACCCTTGCCAAGCGTGGAATACCATCATACATATCTTCTGGACTCGTCCCGATAGGAACCACGCTTAACTCCGTCGATGAACCCAGTTGTTCTCCCTGTTGCTTATCCCCTACATTTACGATTACTGGAGGCGTCGTGCTGCTACTTACTTTCACTTCACCAGACTGATAAATCAAACCACGCTCATTCGAATGACCGTTCACATGAGAAAGACCTCCTCCGAGAGCATTATCTACAGTAGAACTCCTCGAGCAAAGGCCCCCCATGACGCCTCCTTCAATCACCACAAACTATCCTCCTCAATTTCTCATATAACCAAAAAGAGCCACTACCTATTAATTCAATCTCTTTTCCCAGAATTGAGAAACCCTCACTAACGAAAATGCTACAGCCTACAGCAAGCCTAGCAATGAACTTCAAAGTTCTAACCACCCTATCTATGAAGCTGAAACCAAAAGATCGACATATCCCACATCCAAGCTGAAAATGGAGCCCTCCCTCATCACATCAAAATTCACCCAGCACCAATTACGATCGCCGATTGAGCTCCAACCCATCAACGCCCCCGGCCCAAGTCAAACAAAACTGCCAATCAAAACCCAACCCATCAGTTTAAAAGGTTAAATCAAACGATAATGATGTCAACAACTCTGACCAGAGTTTCAGCAGAAGAAAAAAAAAATCCCCCATGGAAGATACCCAGAAACGAAAACTGAGTACAGAATCTGCGGTAGCAACAAAATAGCAGCCACGGCCGGGGCAAAGTAAGATCAAAACAAAGCATCAAAGAGATGAAACCTTCCCAGCAGCGGTCGCGCGCAGAAACCACAGATAAGACCGACCGAGGGGGAAAGACGGAAAAGAAGCGAGGAGATGAAGAATAAAGAAGACGACGACTGACTCACCAGCTATAGGACGGAGATCCCTCTAGTAGCAGAGCTCGGACTTTAACGAGAGAGAGAGAGAGGGAAGACTGAGACGAGAGGCGTAGAAGAGAAGGCCGGTAGTGGTGTCAAACTTGCAGCAAGCTATTGACTGTGTCACAGTTGCGAGGACTCCGTAGACCAAGATCACTCTCTCGGAAAACGAATTTTCTGTTTTTATCCCTTTTTCTCTTTTCAACGTTTTTTTTTTTTTTTTTACAGGTAGAAGAAATTGTGAGAACAAAAAAGCAAATGGATAGTCAAAAGAAAACTATACAATCAAATGAGAGACATGGCCCCAAGCAAAAGAAATTGCCACCATCTTGACCATTTCTTTGCGTGTGATTGGGGTTAACAGATGCATTGATTTATATAGAATTCATGTAATAAAATGGGTGGAAGAGTTCGTTTTCAAGCCAAGCGGATACTGAATAACACTCGAGTCTTCTCCGAAGTGTAAGAGACGGTTTCCCATCATGCAACTCGTCAACTTCACTTGCCTCTATGGCAAACTCATTCGAACAGGTTGAAATCACTTACTATTTGCTATACATGACTTTTATGAAGTCAGGAGGGATTAGCTTAGACACATTTTCAATAGGAATTTGGCACACGTCTCATTTGGGTGCGAAGAACCCCGACATTCACTACAACGAGCAGAACTCTCAAGTACTAGCCTAACAACAAGTAAGCAGTTGAGCGCGATAAACAAGGATTCACCCCAACGAATGGATGGGGCTCGAGCAGAGAGGGAGAAACTATGCTTTCGTAGAAGTGAGGTTCTAATCTTATGCTAGCTGTAATATAACCGACTTAGTGGTGCCATAATGCTCACTTTCAACTCCAAACGACATCAAACCCTTTTATTTATACCTAATTGACGAAGTTAAATGGTTCATATATCATTTTAGTTAAAGTAGTAATAGCGTTCCATTTATCTTTATCACAATGTGTAAAGATAACAGTCGTTTGGAGGCATGCTTTGGCTAGTGAAATTGGTTGCCCAAAATTTTCTTTTGTTTCATCTATGTTATTGAACAATATCTTTCACTTAAGAATTACAAAAATCCATCGAATGCAGGAATATAAATGAGTGATTGCAAAATAATTTATGTCCATCAATTATTTTTTGGGTTAATACCCTAATTTGGCCCGAAGTTTGGCGTAAGTGTAAGTTTTGGCCCGATTTTTTTAATAAGACAGTTGTGGCCTACTTTTCAAATTATTGGACAAATTTGGCCCGGGTTTTGAATTTACCGTCAAAATTGACGGTCAATGATTTTTTCGTTAGTGACTCAGCATCCGGTGCTGACTAGGGATGGCATATCAGACCGCGCGGGCGGGTACCCGCCCGAAAACCGGCTGGGTCTTTACCGCCCCGAGCCATAAAAACGACGTCGTATTATGAGCATATATATATCCATCAGTCGAGCAGAGAAACCCTAATCCCTAATTGGAAAAGCGCCGCTCTCACTCTCTCTTCTCCTCTCAGTTCTCTGCTCTCAATCGCCGCTCAAATCCATCGATTCGATTCCCCCTCGCGAAATTCTCTCCACCCAGGCTGTCAATCATTCATTATCCACCAATCAAAGCCTAATATCCTCATCGATTTATGCAAAGAACAACATGCAAAAGGAGAAGAATCAGAAGATGAATGTTCCAATCTCCGATTCGAGGTTATTGGGAGGATTTGTCGTCGATTATTGTTCCGATAATCCAGAACTCGAGATAAGTACCTTCCAATTCAATTCTTCTTTCTTGTTTCAATTTCTTGCTTTAGTTTTAGGTTCGTTTAAATTAACTCGAGTCGATTGGTTCTTTCGAGGGCTCTCCTGTTTCATCTTCATCTGCACCTGGGACTGCATGCATGCTCTGATACTCGAGGTAATCCCTAATCAAATTTCCTTAGTCAGTTACTCAGTTAGTGTTTAGTAATTAGTAGTTTGTTGTATTGACTTTTACTCATTGGATTGTAATGTTTGTACTTTTGTTTGAGTTTTTGCAGTTTTGTATCAGGCATCAGTTCACCATCCACAACTCTGGACAATAGACCCCCTCTGTCCAGATTCGAGGTTAGTTAAAGAATTAATGACATTTTACTTAATTTGGTTTGCATGTATTAGGAATTAGGGACTCGAGTTTCTGTTGATTGCTTGGGTGTTGGGTCTGCTCATGAATCATGTCTTGTTTAGTATAAGTGTCTCATCTGCATGTTACAATTGAATCTAAAAGACTACAAATTTGAACCTAGAAATCTTATAGCTAAAGCCTAAAAAGTAACCAAGCAATCCTTTGATGTTTATACTCGTTTATCTCAATGTCAGATGGAAGGTGCACCTGAAAATGTTGTCAATGGTCCTGTTCCTCTACAACCTGCCCCTGTTGATCAAAACAACCAACCTGAACAAGTTGGTAATGGTAACGGTAACTTGGCTAATGAAAATTCTGAAGTGCTTGTTGAAGAATGCAAATTGACTTCTGATGTATGGCCTCATTACATTAGGGTTAAGGTTAATGGGGTTATTAAAGCTAAGTGCAAGTACTGTCGAAAAAACCTTGGTGGTGATACTCGTAATGGAACCTCGCACCTTAGGACTCATGTGAAAACCTGTATCCAAAAAAGGATACATGATGGTGCTCAAAAAATTCTTTGCCCTAATTACAAAGCAACTGGAAAACCCCAATTATCTGCTACACAGTTCAACTCTGATGTGTCTAGGAAGGAGCTGAGCTCAATGATTTTGGTCCATGAGTACCCTCTTAGCATTGTTGAACACTTGGGTCTCAAGCGTTTCTGTTGTTCTTTGCAACCACAGTTTACTGTGCCTTGTAGAAATACTGTGAAGAAAGATATATTGTCTTTGTATGGGGTTGAAAGGAGTAACTACCAAAAGGTTATTGATGGTAATTTGGGTAGAATTGTTGTGACCACTGATTTATGGACTGCCCCAAACCAGAAGAGGGGTTATATGGCAGTCACAGCTCACTTTATTGATAATACTTGGAAGCTAAGAAACTCAATGCTAAAGTTTTTGTATGTCCCTACCCCTCATACGAGTGAGAGGCTTGCAAGAAAACTGTTTCAATGTCTTCTGAATTGGAACATTGATGGAAAGTTGTCTGCAATCACCTTGGACAACTGCTCCACTAATGATTCCATGATTGCTCACCTTAAGAATAAACTTGTTTTAAATAACTTGTTGATGGATGGTAGACTGCTTCATATGAGGTGTTCTGCTCATATACTGAATCTTATTGTGAAAGATGGTTTGGATGTGATAAAGGATGGAATCCATTTGATTAGGGAGAGTGTGGTGTATTGGACATCCACACCTAAGAGGGTCCAGACTTTCAATGAAGCTGTTAAACAGCTTAAGTTGGCTGTTGGGAAAAAATTTGTGCTTGATTGTCCAACAAGGTGGAATTCTACCTATGATATGCTCTCTATTGCTCTTCTGTACAGAGATGTCTTTTTTCGTTTAAGACAGATGGATAGTCAATACACATCAGCTCCTACTAATGAGCACTGGGATTTTGCTGCTATTGTGATTGATAAAATGCTCATTTTCAGTGAGATGACTGCATTATTTTCTGGCACCAAGTACCCCACTGCCAATCTGTTTTTCTCTAAGGTCTGTGATCTGAGATTGAAATTGAGTGACTGGTGTGCTGATCTTAATCCTGTTATTTCTGCCATGGCTGGAAATATGTGGTTGAAATTCACAAAGTATTGGGATGATATACATCTTGTTCTGGCAGTTACAGTGGTTCTGAATCCTAGGTACAAAATGCATGTCATTGAGTATTATGCTGCTAAGTTTGGCAGCTCTGATACTTACTTGGTGGCTAAGGATCTAAAACAGCTGATTTGTGATTTGATTAATGATTATCAAACCAAGGCTGAAAAGAAATCTGGTTCTTCTGCCAATGAACCGATTGGAAATGCAAATGCCTCTGTTTCAGCAACTGATCTTGATTTCGAGTTGTTTGTTAGTCAGAGGAAAAAGAGCAAAACAACTCTGATTACTACTGAGTTGGACCATTATCTTGCTGAGGAACTTATTCCTCGTGATCCATCTGCTGAATTTGATCTCTTGATGTGGTGGAAGTTGAATGGCCTTAAGTATCCTACTTTGCAAGCAATTGCAAGGGACTTTTTGGCTATACCAATAACATCAGTTGCTTCCGAGAGTGCTTTCGGCTCTGGTGGGAGGTTGTTAGACCCCCACAGGAGCAGGCTCGACTATTCTACTGTGGAGGCTATGTTGTGCAGTCGTAGCTGGGTTAGGGAAGCCTGGCTAAGAGGTAACATGCAATACCTTCGAGTTTAGTCTTAGTAGTAGCTTTTGGTTCATTTAAACAAGTGACTGAGTGAGTTTGTTCTATTTATGCAGAATCAGAGGGCTGCTGCTGCTGTGGAGGCAATGGATGGACTGTTTACTGGGCTGTCAGTTCACGATTCAAGTGTAGAAGATCAGGAAAATGGGGGTAAGTTAGTTGGTTTTTAGTTGGTAACTTATGATTTATGAACTGCATAAGTGAACAAAGTTTTTTTTTATATTGATTGCAGTCCATGAACTTCTGAATCTGGATTCACCATTCTCCTTTGATGACTGATTATTGGAACCTCAGAAGAGAAGGTATATAATATAATACATTCAAACAGACTTTTCTCCTTTATTGTAAGCTTGTATATGTTCCTTCATATTTTTGTTTTCTTGCAGGGAATGAATGTCAATTTGTCATGTGCTGCTTGACTGCTTCTGTTCTTCAAATCTGGTTGCTGACTTGCTGCCTTGCTGGTGCCTTTGAGAGTTTGGCTTACTGCCTTTGAGAGTTTGAGTGTGCTTTATTTGTTCCAAATTTGAACAATGGATTGGTGTGTGGCTTACTGCCTTTGAGAGTTTGAGTTTGAGAGTGCTTTACTTGTTTTTTTTTTTTTGCTACTTATGACTATTAGACAGTTGATGAACTCATGAACAATTGAGGAACTCTTGAAAATTCAGAGTTCTGGGTGGTGGGTCGGTTGCAGCCTTATAGGCTTTATGTTAAGCTGCTTTTGAGCACTGCTCAACTTTGAATTTGAACTGAATTATGTTTTTCCAGTTATTTTATTGTTTCAATATGTCAATTATTTAGGGTTTGTAGCGGGTAATGGGGACCCGTGGATTCCCCGAATCCGTTGCTTCACGGTGACGGTATCAAATTTGGCCCCGTTGAATGGCCGGGGACGGGGTCGGGGAAACCCGACACTGTTCACGGACGGGGAACGGATGGTACGAATCCGTCCCCGATCCGCCCCGTTGCCAACCCTAGTGCTGACTAGGATCGTACACGTCTATCATTTATTAAATTATAAAAATTAGAGCTAATTAATTATATATAAAAATTCCCAAAGACCTTTTTGGTTTTTCCACTCTCCTCTTCGGGCAAATCCAAAATTGTCAAAACCCAAAACCCACTCGCCTCCGCCGTGACATATGGTGCCCTTCGCCACCCACCTCCTCCCTCTCTCGATGGCCTCGCCGGCGCCTTCGCCACTCACCTCCTCCCTCTCTCTAGTCGATAATCGAGCCCTAAACAAACTTGATATCGCCACCATCATGACCTGGAGATCCAATCGCCGAGTCAAGGAACCCAGATAGAGCTACCGCCCTATTTCAACTCAGATCTGGTGCAGAGGAAGCAAAAATCGGCGAATGAGAAAGTTGAAGGGCGATGGGATTGAATAGGAGAGGCGACAGGCTCATCGGAGAGAGTTGAATGGCGATTAGGTTACAGCAGCGACGGAGGGTTTGGTAGATCTTCTGGATTTCTGAAAGTGTTCAAATCAGCGGAATAGCCTGCCGGGGTCGGAAAGGCAGAGCTCGCTTCTGCTTTTCTGATGAAAGAGAGAGAGGTTTGAACTGGCGGAGATCGGCGAGGGCAAGTCGTTGAGGGACGATGAGGTAAGAGAAGGTGATTGGGATGATGAAGGCAGTGTCGCCAGGAGCGGCAACGAGGGAGTCGTCGACGGGGACGAAGAAAGTGGCGGAGAGAGGAAGGACTCAGGAGTCACGGAGGAGAGGGATTAAGAAGCGGCGGTAGGGTTCCAGAGGAAAATCTCATCTTTGTTTCTAAAGTTTTATTTTTATTTTATTTATATTTTTAGAATTCTCAGCATAAATAAATTATGTGGATATGATGTGGAAGCCATGTCGATGCCACCTTAGCGACGAATGTTGAGTCACTGACGGATTAAATGTTTGACCGTCAAGACTAACGGTCAACTTACATTTTGAGACAAATTTGTCCAATAATTTGAAAAGTAGGTCATAACTGTCTTATTCAAAAAATCGGACCAAAACTAATTCTTACTCTAAACTTCAGGCCAAACTAGGGTATTAACCCTTATTTAAAAAAAAAAAATCCACATGGTTCTCGAAATCTTTACTCCGAAAATCTATCATCTTCCCAAACATGAAATTGTGTCAAAATCACTCTCCTTAGATATCCAATCCGACGGGCCCAATAATACATTCCTGATCCATACCATACATTTGTTTTGAAAATGGGTTTTTGGGCTCCCCAGTTTGAAAAGAAAGTGGGCCAATAAGACATCCAGTCCATTTCCCTCTATTGCTGTCTCATTCTTGCCGGTCTTCTCTCTTCATTCTTTTCCTTCCAATTTCTCCCTCCCAAATTCTCTACTGTCTCGCTTTTGTTGAGACTTCTCTGGACTCCCATCTCCTCTTTGCTGGAAACAGCAGAAGAAGAAAAAACACTTCCTCCTTTACTCTTCCAATCTTCCAGTCCCCGCTGTAATTATTGATGAGTTTTCTGCTCGTAAAGACTAAGAATTCCTTGATGTGGATGTTGCAGCAGCAAGCAATCTCATACGACGAGCCCATGCTATCTTTGTCCCTTTGCATTGCTTTTACAGTAAGTTATGCTTTTCCCATCTTTTATGTTTAATTAGCCACTCCCCTTTGATTGATTATGGAGTTTCCTAGTTTGAACCCTGTTGCTAGTCGATGAGATTCCCAAAGGAAACTTCACAAAGTCACGCAAGTATGTTACTTTGTTTCTTTCTCCTTTCTGGGTCTTCTTCCAACTGTGGATTTCCTGCTGGGTTTTTAACTGGGAGTAGCAGGATCATTTCAGGAGTTCTACAGAGATGCAGGTTGGAGTTTAGTTGGCAGTTTTAATATAGGGATTAATCCAATTGATCTTGTGTTTTGTAGGGTAGAATTTGACTTGACAAGGCAGTCTAGATAGAGACACTGTTCGTTTGTTTGGTTGTATTTTGTTTTGAAATGAAAAGGTTCTGCCGTCTGGTTTAACATCTGATCCCCCTTACTTTGAGACCTGTGGGCATTACCGGTCTTTATTTTAACCTTTCCTCATTGTTTTCTCCACTTCCAATATGAGGATATAGCTGAGTTTCCGTGTCTGTTCATTGGTTACATCTATTTGATCTTTCCCCATCGTGTTTTCTCCCTAACTTCCAATCCAAGAATCTCTGCAGTTTGAGCCTCTAAAGGGCTTTTACATGTAAGTTTGGATTATACTTCTAACTCTGTAGGCAACCTTGATGACATTTTTCAGTGATTCTGCCAAGTGAAACTCTTTCTCTCTTCCTATTTCTTATTAATTAGTCTCTTAGTTAACATCTAATGTTATTTGTTTCTATATTTCTGCAATTTGGTTAAAACCAAACATTTGATCTATCTCGTGCTTCTTTGCAACCAGGCCGCCTGTAATGAATCTGCTTGGATCTGATTGAAAGCATGGCATGTGCCACTATTGTGGTGAAGAAAATCTGAAGGTTGAAGGAGGAGAAAGGGAATTAGAGAAAGGAAATTGTCTTGGTGTAAATGTTCTGGAGCCAAGATGGTCTTGTAGACTATGTCGGGGAACCAGGATAGTTTTTGCCGTGTAATGACAATGACGAGTTCACCATCCTCATTGTCTTTCAATGATCGATCATTGTCTACCAGCAGTAAAAGGCTTCCTCCCTTCCCTCTTGAATTTCATTGATGTAATTTTCAAACAAGCATCAATCTGTATATTTTATTCTGTCTTCCATCCTTGCAGGTGATTTTTCTGTTGATATGAATTCACATGATCGGTATGTATAATGGTCATCCATTTTTTGTTGTTGATAGAAATGTTTTTCTTTGAAGTCTCAACATTTGTTTTAATTGTTGTTGGTATCAGGGGAAATGAGCAGGAAGGCACTTTAGACTGTTCTAGGGACTGTGTCGGTTATGGGCTGAGTAGGCAACTTTCTAAGGAAAAGCTGCAAGCCCCTGTATGCGGTGACCTGTTGCATAGAATTAGAAGCAGCATCCATAGAGACATAGCGAGAGATGTTGAAATCATGGAAATGAGTAATTCTCATGAAATTGGAGACAATCTCACTGAAAATAATTCCAAATCCTGCAATGAGATTGCTCAGTGTCTGGTTGATGAAATTGATCCACAAGAGTGGGAGGCCCCCGAACCTGAGGACCCTTTGGATGATGTTGAGGCTAGTTTTCCCCTGAATGATGATGACGATGAAGATGAATGTGATGATGGCATGAAATGGGGTCAGCCGGGATCTTTAACTTCAGAGGCCAGCATTGGGAGCTACAGGTTGAAAGAAGAGAAGCAAAAAGCGATGGAAGAAGTGATAAATGGGAAGTTTAAGTCTCTAGTTAAGCAGCTCCTAAATACAGCAGGTGTTGACCTTATGGGCAATGAGATGAATAATTGGGTAGAAATAGTGACTTCCTTATCATGGGAAGCTGCCTCAGCTTTAAAGCCTGATGCCATCGAAGGGAAGGCTATGGATCCAGATGGCTATGTGAAAGTAAAGTGCGTTGCCACTGGTTATCCTAATGAAAGGTAGATTTTTATACAAGAATTTTGGCTGTATTGCCTGATTGTTGTAGTACTTTTCAGTTGTTTTCATAGCTAACCAGGAACGATCTGAGTTAGTCATTTGCTCCACTCCATCAGAATACTTGAGCTGGCACTTGACAGGATACTGAACTTTTGATATTTGAACTTTTGGCAGTCAAGTTTTCAATGGATTGATCTTTAAGAAGCATGCTGCGCATAAGCACATGCCTACTGAGTACAAGAAACCAAGTTTGCTGCTGATCAGGGGTGTGCTTGGGGAATCTGAAAGTGGGCTGTCATCATTTAACACAATGGATCAGGTCTAGAGAAATGAAGCACTCTTCCCTCTCTCTCTCTCTCTCGCTCTCGTTTAAGATGGTTCATTTTTTTCTTCTTTTTGAGGAATTTTACTAGTGGTTATTCCTATCTTTCTTTCAAACAGGAAAAGGACAATCTGAAGTCAGTTATTGATTCGATTGAAATGTGTGAACCAAATGTGGTTCTGGTAGAGAAATCTGTTTCTCGTGATATCCAAGAGTCTGTCCTTGCAAAAGGAATTACATTAATCTATGACATGAAGCTTCACCGCCTCGAAAGAATTGCTCGCTGTACTGGTTCACCAATCCTATCATCAGATGCTTTGATAGCAACTCAAAAGCTAAAGCATTGCAAATCCTTTCATGTTGAAAAGTTTGTGGAGGAATATGCTACTGTTGGTGATGGGGAAAAGAAACCGAATAAGACTCTGATGTTCATCGAGGATTGTCCTACTCGTCTGGGCTGCACAGTAAGATGCTAAATCTGAACTCTTCCATCTTTATTTTATGCCAGTGAACTTACCGCGTAGTGATTTCACTTTAGTAACCATGCTTCATAGTTAGCAGTTTCTGTAGCCATTTAAGTGTTTTTAATTATTTGACATGCATTTTTATGTTCCAGATTTTGTTGAAAGGGAGTCATAGTGATGAATTGAAGAGGATTAAGCATGTGGTGCAGATAGCCGTTATCTGGGCATATCACATGATTCTCGAGACCTCATTCATCATTGACCGGAAGGGAATGTTCTCCACTTTCATACCATTTCCCGAAGCAGCAGCTGAGACTTCAAATATAAATCAGCAGCATTCTCAGTTGGGGGTTGGTGATTCAGGCATTTACCCAGTAGAAGAGGTGACATCAGGTGATTCTGCACCTCCTACCATTGATATTCCCATTAATAGTGGAGATAATGTAGTAGAAGCTTTTCGTGATTCGAATGTGGGATCAGAACCAACTCCCAGATTTCCTTACGTTCGATATAATTCCCCTGCAATATTTACTGGCTTTTCCTCTCTTTCTGCCTCACTAAAGAGAGTAATAGGTTCTGTTCCACCTTCAGACCCATACCAGTCACTTTTTAATTATCTTGGGTTCCAAAGGAAGGAAGATATTGGTCAGGTTACAGAAGGCGTTCCAGTGGATGCTACTGTCCAATGTGATGGGGAACCTAATGGTAGTTTTGACAAAGAGCTATCAGCTGATAGTCTAGATGGTGTAAAAGATGCTGAGAGCCAGGAAGAATTAAAAAGTGAAGGTAATGTGAATCCAGTATTGGATTCTCAAAGTATATTGGTACTGATGTCTCGCCGAAATGCTTTAAGAGGCTCAATGTGTGAACATAATCACTTCTCTCACATCATGTTCTACAAGAATTTCGATGCTCCCCTGGGGAAGTTTCTTCGTGTAAATTTGCTCAATCAGGTTTGGAAATATTTCTCTGCTTCTACTAGAATCGTGTAGTTTATTGTCACATCTATAGGTTTTACATTACTAAAAATCCTTCACAGCATATTGGCTATGTGATGTTATATCTGATAATTGAAAAGGTTGCCTAGTTGAACACTAATTCATACATTAAGTTTGTTTTCCTGCTGTATAATTAGCACTCGACTTGAAAATGACACCACACATTTTTTCATTGTACAGAGAAGCCATTGTAGCACTTGCGGAGAATTGCCAGAAGTGCACTTTTACTACTATGCGCATCATGATAAGCAGCTTACTATAAGGGTTAAGCGGCTTATGAAAGCTTTGCCTGGGGAGGCAGAAGGAAAGCTTTGGATGTGGAGCCGGTGTGGTACATGTAAAGGGGACTCGAAATCTACAAAAAGAGTCTTGGTTTCTGGAGCTGCACGAAGTCTGTCTTTCGGGAAATTCTTGGAGCTGAGCTTTTCTGACCAATCTTCGTTTGGTAAAAGCTCATCCAGCTGTGGCCATTCTCAGGAAAGAGATTTCCTCTACTTCTTTGGGTATGAATAGTAGATTTCATTTCCTGATATGCTGTTTGTAAACTTCGAGCAAGAAAAGACAACTTTGAAACAAATGGTTCAAATGAGATCTTTGCTAATTTGGAGTCTCTATACACATATTGATATGAAGACTCTATCCAACACTAAATCCTTCTGTTCTTATGGCGTTAAATATTCTCAAACACAAATCTTGATTCCTTTTCAGATTAGGTCCATTTGCAGCATTATTCAAATATTCTCAAATGACAACCCATACCATCTCTCTGCCACCTCAAAAACTGGACTTCAACAATTCAGTTAGACATGAAGGTCTGAGACGCGAATTCGAGGAAGTAAGCATCTTTTGAACTTCTGCAATTCTTTATTCAATGTTATTTATTTATGTCTTATTAATTTCTTTTTTTGGGATCTTAATCTTTTATTGATTCAACTTTGGCAAGGTGTACTCGAAAGGTATATTACTCTTTTCTGGGTTAGCAGAGGCTTTGAAAAATTTAAAGTCTCAATTTGGAAGTACTGTTCTGAAGCTTCACGGATCATTGGTAGGATTCTCTGATATTGAAGAGATGCTAAAGCAGGAAATGTCCGAGTTTGAGGTCGGTATATTTTTCTACTCGTCCATGTCAGCAATAGTTATTAGCTACTGATTGTTGGTTACCTTTTAAATTGGATAATATGTTTTGAACTCTTTGATCATGACTTTGTTTTGCACAACCTTTTTGGTCCCCCTCCTTCAACCTTGAGTCAATAGTAAGAATATTCATATCCGTTTTATTAAAGTTACAAAGGAAGTTAACCTTATAGTTGTCCCACCTAAAGTTGCAGCTACTTCTACTTAAAGTAACAGCTCAATCGTACACATGATCTGATTTGAAAACTCTCAGGGTTCCTTTGTCACTTCATATGAGATACTCCAAAGGTCTTTAAGTTCATTTTCTGTGATATAATGTTTATGGTTAATGGCCTCAGTGAAATATTTGTGTTTCTCATTTGGTTGTCATACATCTGTGAAATCTTTAGGTGAATATTCACAATGCCGCTGCTAACCATGGGAAATCAACCGAGACTGGGAACAATCTTCTTTCATTGAATCACTTGTTGTGGGAGCTTCTCCTCGAGTCATACATTTGGGAAAGACGTTTGCATTCTCTTCTCCTACCCGATCCTTCATTACATAGCACTGAAGGAAACACGACCATTTCAGATGGCAACAATAAAGCTGCCATAAATGGAGAGAATTCAGAAGGCACCAGTTGTGCATATTCAGAAGGAAACGATGAATCACCAATCAAAGACATCCCAGTCGAAGGTCCAGTGGATGGATTTCCCAACGAAAACCACAATTCCGCGAGCTCATCTCCCGTTGATCAGGATCATGATAGAGTGAAATTGACTCTAAGTCATAGTCAAGCTAATGACTTGACTTTGTCTGGCGTTATACAAGTCGAAAGAGATGTACCAATTGCATCGGGAGATGGAAATGCATTGAAGCGTGTGATGTCTATGCAATCTCAGGTATCATCCTTGGAAAACTCGAATGGATGGTTCTGGAAGCCATTTCCAGAGATTTTGGAGATTTACATGGAGGATCTTCAGAGAGGGTTCACACCAAAGTTCAAGCCTATTAATAACGGGTACACTCTGGAAAACGTGCCTTCCGCCTATCAACTGATCACTGAAGAAGGGTCAAGGCTCCACATACCTCTTGGAAATGGAAATGACATTGTGAGAGACTATGATGGCGAGCTCTCCAGCATCATTGCTTGTGCACTTGCATGTTTGAAAGATCTTCCTTTCACATCAGAGTTTCTCAATGACGAGGGAAAAATTAATGATATTTTATCACATTGGTCATCTGGTGGTTCTGATTCTGAAATAATCCAGTCCGTCGTCAGCATTTCTTCCGAAGAGTCTGTCTTCTCCAGCTTTAACGGGCTGAATTTGTTGGATTCTACAGACCCTCCCGAGACTCTTAGCCCTGAAGTGTCTTTAGGGGTGGCAAACACCCTTGGAAAGGGCAGATATTCAGTGGTTTGTGTGTATGATAAGGAGTTCCGTGAACTTAGGAATCACTGCTGTCCTTCGGAACTTGATTTCATTGCTTCTCTTAGTCGCTGCAAGAACTGGGAAGCTAAAGGTGGCAAAAGCAAATGCTTTTTTGCCAAAACACTGGATGACAGGTTCATTATCAAGGAGATTAAGAAGACAGAGTTCGACTCTTTCGTGAAGTTTGGTCCAGAGTATTTCAAGTACATGAATGAGTCGTTTGAGTTGGGGAACCAGACATGTCTGGCAAAAGTTCTTGGTATTTATCAGGTTTGTACATTGATTCCACCCTTTTGACTATTTTCTAGCTTACATTCTCTAATATCTCGTGCTTTGTTGGGGTGTGTTTGTTTAAGCCTTTGCTAGAATAAATAACCGATCAGATCAAACATGGTCTCAGCGAATCATCTACTGACCTAAATTGCAGTACTGCAAACAACCATGCCCTAATGTTTGCTTATGCAGGTGATTGTTCGGCCTCCAAAAGGTGGGAAAGAGATGAGGAACGATTTGATGGTGATGGAGAACCTAACTTTCGGCCGAGACATTACTCGTCAATATGATCTAAAAGGCGCCCTGCACGCAAGGTACACTGCAGTCATCAATGACCCCGGCGAAGTTCTGTTGGATCAGAACTTTGTCGACGACATGAACTCCTCTCCTCTCTATGTCAGCACCACGGCGAAACGTTACCTGGAACGTGCGGTTTGGAATGACACCATATTCCTCAATGTGAGCTATTGCTTTTTGAACACGAAACGTCTCATTGTGCATTGTATGGCGCAATCAATCCGATCTATATCATTTTGATGTTTTGTGTGCTCTCTCTGTTGCAGTCGATCAATGTGATGGACTACTCTTTATTCGTCGGGGTAGATGTGCAACGCCAAGAACTCGTGTGTGGGATCATCGACTACCTCAGACAGTACACATTGGACAAGCAACTGGAGACGTGGGTCAAGTCCTCCCTCGTGGTCCCCAAGAACGTGCAGCCGACGGTAATCTCCCCCAGGGAGTACAAGAAGAGGTTTCGGAAGTTCATATCGAACCACTTCCCGAGTGTCCCCGATAACTGGTGCAGGGAGAAGAAGCCTTGTGATCCCTGCGAGCTCTGTGGGTTCGATGAAGAAAGCATCTGAATCAAGGAAGGACAACAACAGCAATGAATCTTCCTCTTAATAATTCCGGGTTATTTCCCGGGCTTGTTCATCTGGTTAGTCATCATTCTTAGCCATTTTTCTTATATTCACTGAAGCCGGTGTAAAATGCATAGTGTAGATGTTAGATTGTGTTTGTGAAGTTAATGCAAGTGAACCACCCAACCAGCCCCATTGATGGTAGCAACTTTTTAAGCAAAATTCATGGGAGTTGAGGGGAAATTTCTTTACTGTTTGATTTTTTTTACTGAAAGGAGGGCTTATAGCTATACCATGAACTATGGTTAGTTGGTTACTAACTTTTTTTTTGTTGTAAAAGCCTTTCAAGATTAACTTGTAATGCAAGTAACACTCTAAGAGAGCCTCAGAAGAAACTGGGGCAGATTGTATTGAAAGCAATGCACTATGCATGATTATTATCTCAATCCAGTCCAATGATTTCCAGCAATACAAGACATCTGTCTTGGCATGATCCATGAATGTTGGATTGCACATTTCGCTTTCGCAATCCCTTAATGCACTTAGCGGCAGTTCTGCAGATGATTATTATCCTATGCGTTCAATGACCTTGAATCGTGAAACGTGCGGGACATCCTCACTCAAATAGACACGACGAGGGTCGTAACCGGATCCGTCTGATATGGCTAGCGTGGGACTGGAGAGACCTTATATGGGTGAGTGAAGGAGTAGAGCATCTGGTGGAAAATAGCAGATGTGTCATCATATGCTGGAATAAAGGACCTTACAATGTTCCTCCATTTTGGCCAAATTTTCAACATCCCCAACTTAAGGGGGCGGAATGGCTGAAATGTGAAAGTACAGGTAGCATAGAAGTAATTCTCCAAAGCCTTGAAATTATTTCCCGAGTGCAAACAAGACGTCTTTGGTTACGCAAATAGGCGTCAGTCAATTGGCCTTCTTTGTCCTAAATCACGGGCAAGACGACATTTCTTAGTTTTCCTGGTCAATTATTTGAAAGAAACAATCTTGGAGTGACTTAGTTAATTAGACTAATAATAATAGACTTATACTAAGTCATAGTTACATCAAGTATTGTAATTTAATTAACTCTTTGTAATCTAATTAAATCTTTTTAGTGTATAATCTAATTAACTCTTTGTAAGTCGTGAGATTTACAATATTCATCGAAATTTAATTGGTATAAATAAAGAATAAGAAAGGTAAAAAAAAATTGTAGAGTGGAATGGGAAAATGCCCAAAAAATATTGAGCCAAGTCCCACTTTTGACTTTTCAAAGTCTTCCCTTCACTGTTTCCATTTTCGTTTTAAATATTTATAATTATTTTTATAATCTAACTTTCAATTTTTGTCTTTCACAATTCGTTGTCTCTCTAAAACCCAGCAAAAACAAACAGCCACAGAGAGATCGAGGGGGGAAAAAATGAACTTCCGATCTCTCTTCTTCCTCCCGTTTCTTCTTTCCCTCTCGATCACCTTCACGGCGGCGCAAATCTCGCCGGGATCCTCCCTCTCCGCCGCCGAGCTCAACCGGACTTGGGCCTCCCCGAACGGCACCTTCTCCGTCGGGTTCACTCAAGTCGGACCCAACTCCTTCCTCGCCGGCGTCAACTACAACGGCGGAGTACCTATCTGGACAGCTGGCGGCGCCTCCGCCGTCGTCGACTCCGGCGGGGCCTTCCGCTTCACTCCCGCCGGGAGTCTCCTGCTAGTCAACGGCTCCGGCTCCACCGTCTGGGATTCCAACACGGCTCGGCTTGGCGCGAGCACTGCCTCGATCGACGATTCGGGCAATTTGGTGCTCCGAAACGGGTCCCGACCCGTTTGGTCAAGCTTCGCCAACCCGACGGACACCGTCGTTCCGGCGCAGAACTTCACCTCCGAACATACCTTGGTCTCCGGTGTGTACTCGTTCCGCCTCCTCAATACTGGAAACCTCACATTAACTTGGAACGGCAGCATAACTTACTGGAACCAAGGTTTGAATTCCTCCGTCGATTCCAATTTAACTTCGCCGATTCTAGGGTTACAGCCAATTGGAGTTGCAGCGATTTCCGATCCTACTTTGAGGAGTCCTTACATAGTTGCTTACAGTAGTGATTATGCTGAAGGTAGTGACATTCTTAGGTTCTTGAAGCTAGATAGTGATGGGAATTTGCGAATTTATAGCTCTGCTAGAGGTAGTGGAACTACAACCATGAGATGGGCAGCTTTGACCGATCAGTGTCAAGTCTTTGGCTACTGTGGTAACATGGGGATTTGTAGCTACAATGTCACTAGCTCGAACCCCGTTTGTGGCTGCCCGTCCCAGAACTTCGAACCCGTTGATCCGAACGATAGCAGGAAGGGTTGTAGAAGGAAAGTAGAGATTCAGGATTGTCCAGGGAGTGCGACGATGCTCGAGCTGGATCATGCTAGGTTCTTAACGTACCAACCCGAGCTCTCCTCACAGGTGTTCTGGGTCGGTATATCTGCTTGCAGATTGAATTGCCTTGTCAGTGGCTCATGCCTTGCTTCAACTTCATTAGCAGATGGAACTGGTTTGTGTTATTTGAAGACGTCGGAATTCGTTAGTGGGTACCAGAATCCATCCCTTCCAAGTACTTCGTACGTGAAGGTCTGTGGTCCGGTTCAACCAAACCCTACAGACCAAATTGAGGTTGTGGGACAGAGGAAAGGGTGGAAGATGAAAGGTTGGATAGTTGCAGCTGTAGTTCTTTCCTCCCTTGTTGGTCTGATAGCAGCGGAGGCTGGTTTATGGTGGTGGTGCTGCAGGAACAGTCCCACTTTCGGTTCTCTATCAGCTCAGTATGCACTTCTGGAGTATGCCTCCGGTGCACCGGTTCAGTTCTCCTACAAAGAGCTTCAGCGATCTACTAACGGGTTTAAGGAGAAGCTTGGAGCGGGAGGGTTTGGCGCAGTCTACAAAGGCGTTCTTGCAAATAAAACTGTAGTTGCAGTGAAGCAGCTCGAGGGAATTGAACAAGGGGAAAGGCAGTTCAGAATGGAAGTGGCTACCATAAGCAGCACTCACCACTTGAACCTAGTGAGATTAATCGGCTTCTGCTCTGAAGGGCGCCACAGGCTTCTGGTCTATGAGTTCATGAAAAACAGCTCCCTTGACAGCTTCCTTTTCTCCACAGAAGACCAGTCTGGTAAGTTTTTGAACTGGGGCTGTAGGTTCAATATAGCCCTAGGAACCGCAAGAGGGATCACATATCTTCACGAGGAATGTCGAGACTGCATCGTGCACTGCGATATCAAACCTGAGAATATCCTGTTAGACGACAATTTCAATGCTAAAGTTTCTGACTTTGGCCTTGCAAAGCTCATAAACCCGAAGGATCATCGATACAGAACGCTAAAGAGCGTGAGAGGGACACGTGGCTATCTCGCCCCAGAATGGCTAGCGAATCTCCCCATAACTTCGAAGTCGGATGTCTACAGCTACGGGATGGTGTTGCTCGAGACAGTTAGCGGGAGGAGGAACTTCGAGGTGTCTGAACAAACCAACATGAAGAAGTTCACCGTGTGGGCATACGAGGAGTTCGAGAAGGACAATGTGAGGGCAATTGTCGACAGACGATTGCTATCAGCTGATGGCGATGATCTGGACATGGAGCAGATAACGAGGCTGATCGGAGTTGGGTTCTGGTGCATCCAGGAGCAACCGTCTCAGAGGCCGACGATGGGGAAGGTTGTGCAGATGCTGGAAGGGATCACGGAGTTTGAACGTCCCCCGGTGCCTCGAGTGGTGACCGAGGGATCGATGAGCGGGACGAGCATGACCATGAGCAGCAATGCCAGTGCTCTGTCTACTTTTGCTCCTACTTCAGCTCCTGCTCCTTCTTTGGCTTCGTCGAACAACACTTCAGCCGTCGGAGGAGCTTCTTCTTCGCCGGTGGCTTCTGGTGGGGATCTGGAACGGGCTTCTTCATCGCTTCTGCATTCGGATGCTTGAGCTGCTGACTTCAAGCTTTGGGAAACGTTGTTTCAAGTATATATACATGAGGAAATGTATTTTGTTTGTTATATTCAGCAGTATTATTGTAGATATGTATTGTTATTGTGTATTGATGAAATGTTTGTAGAGAGAGTAGACAATTCTGGTATATGGTGAAAATGAGAGATTTTAGAACAAATATAGATGTAATATTTCATATAAAAAAGTAATATAATCTATTTAATGTTATAATAATTATCATAAAGTCAAATGGAATGAATCACAATACAGTTATATTTTATTAATCAATTTAACTATCACCAAAATTAAGTAACCAGTAGTCTAAATGAAGATGAAAAATGAGAGAGAACATATTATTGTTGTCACGTCGATGGAATGACTGGCGGTAGTACCTGGTACAATCGTTAATGATCATAACAACGGCTGGAATATCACTGATATGATCGATTTATGTCTATAACAAAATGATGTCATTTTAGTTAATTTAATAAAAAAATTAATTTATTTAATGAACTTGGAACTTAAAAGATGATGTGATTATTTCATGAATTTGAATGTTAAATGGTGATATTAGTAGTTGGATTCAAGTATAAAATTTTGGGTGTTGACGTTAAATATTGTGTTTTATTGAAATATTAATGTAGATTGTAAGTAGATTCTTTCAAATACATGTAATACATGTTTATTTTCATTTTATGTGAATAAATTTTCATATTTCTACCAATTTTGTTAAATCAACATAAACCGCTTTGAACTGGTTGTACGACTTGACATACCACTTGCTAAACCGGGTATAAACCGGTTTGCTAACCTTGGAACATACCGACAGGCGACAGCTAGGCGCCACAGCCCACAACCGCCAAATCAGCGGTGACGGACCAATAAAACACTTCCACCGGAAAAAACCAAAAACAACGCGAGAAAACACGAGAGAATCCACAACTGGGGAATCTCATCTCCGCCCGGGCTCGTTCCCGCCGTCGCCACCGGAAATCGGCCATGGCATCTTCCTCCGCCGGCATTACTCCTTCACCGGCCGATGTTGCTCCTTCTGCAAGCAGTCGTTTCCACTTCTCGCCCGATCCTCCGCCTCTTCCTACTCTCACTCCAGAGCAGCGCAGCTACTGCTCTGAGGCGCTCCAAATTCTCAGACAGAAGCTCCGAACCCCGCAGCGGATTGCTCAAGAGTTCTCTCATTTGCAGGTTCTAGATTACGATCTTCTCTCAATTGATAATTTCTGAGTAGTTCGATTCTGGATTTTTGTGACTCGAGCTTCCGTGATGTTTGGATTTTCGGGTACGCCATTGTAGATCGCGGCGTTTAGTTAGTCAGTGAATGCATACAAGAAAGATTTGTTTCTATAGGCGTTTTCTCTGGAATTCCAGTATAGGTTTTCGGAAATCTCTGGTGCTTCTTGGTGGATTTGAGAACTAGCTAAGGAGCAGCAGAAATGCTTCAATCGTGGATGACATCCTTAGATTTGATGCTTATCTGACTAGGAAGCTCGGTCCTGAGATTAGTTGGAAACGAGGGTAGTGTTTTTAGAGACTCTAGATCTTCCGATCCTTTGGCTATCCGGGCTAGATAGCTTCCCTATCTGTTGAACTCAAGTTTACTTTCTTGTTAATTTAGGCAAATAGGATGACGGCATCCCAAGTGGCCAGAAGCTGCAAGGTGGCTCTTAACAATGCCAACTCGGAGAAGAATCGTTATATGGATGTCATACCATGTAAAAGCAACTGTTTGGAACTTTATTATATCTGTTGACTTAAGCTTGTATTAGTAAGGTTACACTCCGATGAATTTGATGAATTGTTGTGTTTTCGGTTGATTTCAGTTGACCAAAACAGGGTTGTTCTTGATGCTTGCAAAGACTATAGACCAGAAGCCAAGGGATACGTCAATGCAAGCTTCATAGAGGTAGGGTTGCTCATTCCCCTCTGATATGTTTGTTTTCTTTTTGCTTTGATGTTTCAAGTGAATCCTAAATAAAGCTTATCTCTTATGCAGGCAGCTACTTCTGAAACTGTTTCACGATTTATAGCCACTCAGGGACCACTATCACACACTTATGAGGACTTCTGGGCAATGGTGATTCAGTATAATTGCCCTGCTATTGTGATGTTGACTCGTTTGGTGGACAATTACAAGGTAATTCACCACTTGGCATTGTAAATTTGAAGGTAGTGGCATTTACTCTATGGTGTATTTTTCAAGAATTTCAGATAAGATGCAGTACTTGAGCTGTATAATGTGAAGTTTGTCCAGACTTGTATCAAATGTTTCAACGTGTGGTTCTTTGGTTTTACTGAGTTAGTTGTCTGGCTCTTGATAGTCTTCACTCTTCAACATGGAACTCAATCTATGTTGAAACTGTTGCTGAATGTATAAGTACCTAATACGTGTTCCTGCATTCTCTGTTGAGAGACATCTGTTGCAAACCCGTTCAGTTTCTATCTTATTTCAACCTCAACGTCTATGTATCTCTGTCTGTCTAGATAGATATGCCTACGCATGAACTCCTTAGAAACACAGATGTGCCCATCAAATAACTGATGTAAATCACTAGAGAGGACAGGCTGAGTAGTTATGCATTGTACTTCCTAGTTTCACTTCATTAATTACCGTGTTGATCATTTATTTGATTTCATCTACCAGACTGCTAAATGTGGAGATTACTTTCAAGCAGAAGATGGTCCTAGAGACATTGGAAATGTTTGCCTCATGACGAGGTGGACTTGTAATACTGCAACCTCATTAGTGTTGCGAAACTTAGAAGTTGGTGATAAAGTGGTAAGTTTTTTCTGGATATATTCTGTTTTAAATTCTCTGCGATGGTTCAATGAATAACAAGGATTTCCAGTTCTGCAAGTACTTCTTTACTTCTTTTCTGTAAGGTAACTCGGACTGTTGAGGACATTGCAGAAGTTTGATTCATGTGTATTTTCATTGCACAAACAGGTTCTAAAAAAGTGTGGCGTCTTTTTCCTTTTTGGCGTTATCTTGCTCAGCACTAGGCAGTTTGCTTCAATCCGTTCTGCCCTTGGAGATGGGTTTTAGCCTTTTACATCAAAATGTAATTTAGGTTTAGTCCTTCATAAACTGTAGGGTCATGGCACTTGAGAGGTGGTTTTGTGGATAAGCTGAGAAAAGATGGATTTTTAAGAAACGAATGATTAGCTGACCTGGGCAAGTTTGTGGATAAATCTGTGGATAATATGACAGAGTGACGACCTTTTAGGTTGCAGTTTTTAAGTAGCAAGTTGGTTGGTGTAGGAAAGAATGTTTAGAAGGAAAGAAAACATTGTTAGGGACTCAATTTACATTCCATGGTTTGTGGGTGCTTTCTCGTCCATAGGTGTTGTATAATTGTGTTCCTTAACTTATTATTGAGGGAAAGGGCCTCAGTTATCTAACATGACTATCATCTAATTGGCAGTCAGAGGAACCACCCATATCAGTTTTACACATTCAGTATCCTGAATGGCCAGACCATGGAGTTCCCAAGGATACAACTGCAGTGCGTGAAATTTTCAGAAGATTATACCACGTGCCTCCTCAACTTGGCCCAATAGTTGTTCACTGCAGGTTCATCCCATCAATCTTTCTATTTTCATGTCAGTTTGTTTCATGTAATCATGTTCCGTCGCTTCCCCCTGCTGAGTCTAATGAACTCTTGATCCATACTAAACATTTGATGTGTTTCTCATGCTTCAGTGCAGGTATTGGTAGAACAGGCACATACTGCACAATCCAAAATACAATCCAGAGAATAATTGCTGGAGACAAGTCTGCAACTGATCTTGCTAATACCGTATCAGTGTTTAGGTCCCAACGCATTGGGATGGTTCAAACCATGGTATAGTCCTCATCCGAATATAAGTTTTGGTTTACATGATTATGAATCAACACTGCTTTGTTTTGTGTCCTACATAGACCTTGTAATTTAACTAGTAAATAAAGTAAAAAGTAGGCAAGAGAAGGCAGTTTAAACTTGGAAAAAGAATGGGAGAAATGTAGAGGAGAAATGAAAAGCAGATACAAAGTACAAGAATAAAAAGCCAATTAATACATCTAGCATTGAAATTCCATTGGGTTGTAATCATCAAGGGAAGTGCCTACTTATGGAGAGGCTCTCACTGATAACTAGGCACAATAGAAGCATAGATAACTCATCCGAAACACATTCGTAATCATCAAGAGTCAGCAATCAACTGGCTCAACGCGGATGCTGAATCCGTTGGCCTGGTAAATGTCAACTAGATGTATATATTTCCTAACATGATCGTTCAGTGTTACGCTCGACTAAAAGATTGATGATTTGATGGTTCTTTGATTGTGCGGGCTCTGGGCTGTGGATCATGCATACTTTGAACTTCTGACTCGAGCTTTTTTCTGTTCCGCAGGAGCAATATATCTTCTGCCATGAAGCTATCATCGACGAACTGGAAAGCCTCACCTCAGAATCTGAACCCTCTAGATAAAACTCCCTCGTGTTGGGAGTTCCTTAAGCTTCTCTGCCACTGTGACAAATGATCTTATACACCCAGACCTAAGGCATCGCACAACTAACGTGATCCTGTGCAGCCGTCTCTTAACACCTCAATACGACCAGTCGCCTCCACAGTATCTATCTATTTGCTCACCTACAACCTCGAAACAGGACAGGTTGTCCAGGGACGTGGAAAACGAAGGTGAAAGCGGCAATGGGGGAGTTCCGTCGTTCAGTCAAACTGCTCTTTCCTTCTGTCGTTGTCATTGTAAAGTTAAGCTGGAGCAGCTGCTGCAGAATCCATTTCATGATTGTTTTTGGCAATTGCCTAGAAGCTGCCTGCGTGCTCGCTACCCTTTTGACCCTATTGTTTTCTTGGCTATTCTTTTTTTTTCTTCAGTCTAAGATGGTTGGTTGCTGCCCAGTCAAACAATCAATTTAGTGATGTTCTCCAGATGACAATTTACTCTGACTCTTATCTTTGAGACTTTGACTAAGCGTTAGTCTCAACTCAAACCGACTTTGAATGTTCCACACCAATAAATCACTATCAATGTTTGTGAAACCGTACACGAATCAATACTGCATAAACAATTTCTACCAAATGCATATTTGATTGCAACACAATGTACATCACGATACTACAACTCGATCTCGGTTTTGTTATTCTACCTGGAAGGGTTATAATTTGCAAGTAGTCATGCACACATTGTAAAAACTTTCAGGAAGACATGTACTAAACGATTCTTACTGATATTCCAATATTCATAAGAACCAGGTCTCAGGTCACCTAAATTCATCTCATCTCATTTCCCTACCCAACCCTACAACTTTGCAGTACCTTCCCCAACTTCCTAAGGCACCTTCAAAATTTTTGGAGCCATACACCCCCATAGAAGATGAATATTTACTGCTGAGACGAACCTAACCCTAAACAACACTCTTTCCACGCGTTTATTCATGTCGATATTGATCTACCACTGAAGAGTTTTATGTTCCCTATCAACACCCACAAAACAGCAATTAAGACTCCCAACAACGACAACACCACCAGACCTTTGTTCGCCCTTGACCTCCTTACATTTGCAGTACCGCCAGCATTGCCAGCTTGAGCAACTTCTAAGTTAGGGTTTACTACGTTCATCCTCAACCTTGTTAGGCTTGGCATCTGCAGCAGAGCCTTATTTACTAGAGGCTTCTCGGCAGCTGATGCAGGTTCAAAAGGTATTGAGTCGACAAAAGACCACAGTCCGGAAGAGAACCAGCCAGAAGTATCATCCTTATTAGTATTCCCGGCTTGATTCTGAATTACTCCGGGATAATGTTCGATAGAATCACAAATCATACCTGAAAATGGACAAAATTATGTGTCACTTCCATGTAATTCTATACAAATCCCTGAATAGTAATATATAACAACAAAAGGACAATACTTGTCCGGGAAGAGCTCAACAATCTGGCTCTGGTTTCCCGATATTGTCAGAGGGCATAAGCCTTGATCCATAGCACTCCAAGGAATGGCTAGGAGAACAATATCATTTGAAACCCCAGCTCAGTGAAGAAGCACACGGAGGAAAAACAAAAGTGAATTGGATTTTCGAGTTCAACTTCATCTATGTACCTGAAGTTTGTAGGGAGTTAGCTCCATAATTCTGTCCACCATTGGTCTTCAGATCACCCCCTTGAAGATTATTATTGAAGTAGAATCCATTACATGATTGTGTTTGCAGGCTCTGGCCTACTTCATTCATCGTATATTCGGGTTGCCAAGAGTAATCAAACTGAAGCTGCGCTTCACAATTACTCTGGTTTACTGCCGAATGCTGATACTGGTAACCCATTTCATCAACCACGTTATTTCCCTGAGATTGTGACATTGTATCCTGATCGAGAGGTCCCATGTCTCTTAGAAACATGGCAGCATCATGATATAGCTCTAAAGAAGATAATCCGTCAAGACCATCGAACAGTGAATTCTCAGCAGGTTCCCCGACATGGGAACTAACAGCTGGCAATGGATTTTCGGGGTTAGACTCCGTAGGTTCTGGCCCAAGTAGATCGTCCATTTCCAGGAAATCCCCCTCGCTCAACAGAAGAAGACGTTCAGGGTTGTTAACTGCAGAAGTGACTTCAGGTGTCTCATGCTGTTCCAACCTGGATAAATCTGACCGTTCAAAGTCAAAGCTAGCCTGATTGTCATGCTGACCATTCCCAGAAGAAGCTTCAATGAGACTGGGGATGGTGAAATCTCTTGTAGAGGAATTAACCACTGTGCTCCCTGCTCCTCCTTCAGCATCCACCTGAACATCGCATGACGCATTAGCTAGGCAATCAATAATTAAACAAACAACAAAATAGCAATTATATGTTCTGAACGAGTTACTATCATGAAAAGTAATAAGGAGCGTTGTTTGGATTGTAGGCAATGTATTGTACTAGTTTTTTTTTTTTTTGAAACAAATGTATTGTACTAGTAATGTTAAAAAAATACTAAACTATCATAACTTTTAGTTTTTGCAACAACAGACATAGATAGAAAAGGAAGGAGATATATTGTCAAACACAACATTGCAACAATGCACCATTTTCATTATCTTTGTCAAATGGTGCATTGTGTGCAAAATCTACCCACCTGAATGCACATTCTAAGCAACCGCTAGGTTCAGTATGAATCTAAAGGATGATCGAAGAAATTAATAAACACTGTCTGGGGCAAACCTGGAACAGCGGACAGAATTCCGTGACTACTGGTGGTTGGCCACATATGGGTTCCTCGACAATTTCCCTAATTAGGTCAAAAAGATCATCTGATGATGGCTCGACTGGACACACAGCTTTCTCATTGCAATCAGGAAGAGGTAACTTGTTGTTTCTTTTGCTAGCAGGAATTTCTGGAAAGGAGACAACAGCTTTCTCATTGCAAACAGGAGGAGGAAGAGGTAACTTGTTGTTTCTCTTGCTAGCAGGAACTTCAGGAACAGAGACGACAGCTGTCTCATCATCCACCCAATCTTCTTCTCTGAACGGAGCTCCATATTGCTCACCATTTTTGGGACCAGGTCCACTTTTCTTGTAAACTTTGTAAAGTGCGTAGTAGTCCTGAGGCCGAGACAAAAAGAGAATAATATATCCAGTTAGTAAAAGTAGAAAAGCTAGCTGAAAAAGATGGCGAAACAACAAATGAAGTACAAACCTTGACATTAGGACATCTCTTCAGTTCCTCCTCATCTAAAGTGTACTCGTGCATGACCCAATCTGTTCGCTCACCGGTAGGAGCACGGCCTCGATAGAAAACTAGGGTCTTCTTCACCCCAACATTCCGGGAATTGCATGTGATGACACGATCTTTCCCAGTGGCTTTCCAGTATCCCTGTGCAGTTCCTCTATTTCCTCTTCCTCCATTAGGGTATTTATGGTCTCTAGGGCTGAAGAAGAACCACTGCCTATCTCCAGTTTTTAATAGCGACAGCCCTAAATATCATCATCAATTGTTAGGTAAGAGAATTGGGAAATGCAATTTGAATAACAAATGATTATTTCGGTAGATCATGTTCCAAAAAATGAAAACTTGATCAATTCGTATAGCATTTCAAGAGCATAATTAAACTAAAGAATGTGGAATCAACTCCTCATTACAGTTTTGTGTTTGTATGTGTCAAACCTTGTTTTCCCTCTGAACGAACACTGAAAAGAAAGGAAAATCACTCCAAACCAAAAACGTTTGTGGTGCATATAAAACCAAGATCAGCATCCCCCTCCAACACATGCTCTAAAGATGTAGCTAAACCGGCAAATGCATGAACTTCTAATCCATTTCTATAGTATTATGGAAGAATTTACCTGTTAAGATTTTCACAGTAGCAACTCTAATCATCCTAAGCAAACTGAATATCAAGCATTCAGTAACCTAAGGAAATGGCAACCTCTACGGTTATGTTCTACCCGTAGTTCAAAAGGAACACTAAACCCTCTACTGAGCTAACCATAAAACACATAAATCAAAACAAATTTCAAGCAATTCAGAAATCATCACATCCAAGTCAACGCCTTCAAATCCACAGGGAGGAGCCATATATGATCCACCAATCCATAGCCTACCAAAATACAAACCCAGAAACCACAATTCACCAGACATAATATCCAAATCAACCATACCATCATGCAACCCACACAAATCACCAACGAAATCAAAGTCGAAAGCAACCAGTAAACGCAGCCATCACCATACCTAACTCGTCCTTGAACAGAAAGAAAGAAAGAGCACAGAATGAAAATCGAAAAAAAGGGGAACGCAGACGAAGATTCCAATTAAAAACATACCAGGCAAATCCTCAGGATCCCACTTGTAAACATCAAGCTCGGAGATGACATTAAGCCTCAGTTTCCTCCTACAGATCCTCCTCTTCAAGTAATAGAGAATCAGCTCCTCGTCTGTCGGATGGAACCTGAACCCAGGCGGCCACTTGAAATCGCCGGCGCCAACACCGCCGACGAGATCCGAACCCGCCGCCGTCACCAACATCTCGATCGATCCAGAGAGAAGAAAAAAAACCCTCCTTAAACCCCCTCCCTCCCGTCCTCTAATCAGAAAAAAAAAAAACCCCACCTCGGAATTTAACCCAAGACGAGGACTTTGTTGTGATGGGTTACCCAAAAATTTCCCGGCTGGTGTTTTGACGGAGCAGAGAAACAGAGAGAGGGGTAAGAAAACCCCGGAAAACTGATGGGTGTGGTGGCTGTGGGTGGGATAGAGGAGTTGGGTTTGTGTGTTGGTCAAGAAACAATACTACTACTAAATGGAAATATTTTTTAGGGAGAAAAATAAAAAAAGAGGAGCACAGTGGCGCGTTTGGACTTTGGCGGAATTTTCCCCCCTTTTCATATTCCTTTTTCCTTTTTCTTTTCTGATATGGTATAAACAATTCTAGCAAATCTGGTGTCAAAAGGGGAAGGAGTCAAGGAGGAGGAAGCCAAATCCAATTTCGCCGTCGTCGCCGTCGTATGTGGCTGCCCGCACCGTCGCGGGGAAAATCGGACACCATTAGTTGCCACCGCTCTTCAAATCAATTCTCCGATTATTTCTCTCGTTTCGCTCTCTTTTTTGCGCGCGGCACCTGGGCCGTGACAGAACATTCTCGCCGACACCGTCGTCGGCCACAGGGAGAGCTTGGTGAGCTCGATTTATGGCCGGTTTCACGAATTAAGCTGAATCAGGAGGCGGGAAGGCGACAGAAGAACCTAGTTTGGAGGAGGAGGAAGATGGAGCAGCAGCTTGGCTTCTCCTTCTTGTTCTCTTTCTGTTGAGATTGAGTATTTTGGGGGTGAAAATTCATGGCGGCCTCTGCCCAACACCGCTGCGTTTTTGGTACTCTCTCGTTTCTCTATCCCTCTCTGTTCATCCATCTCTTTCAGATTGGTTGCTGGGGAACTTGGATGAATCTCTGATTGAACTTTATTGTGGCAGTTGGGAACATACCCTATGATGCAACTGAAGAGCAGCTCATAGAAATCTGCAGAGAGGTTGGCCCGGTTGTGTCTTTCAGGTTAGTCCAAATGTGGAGCTCTCGTCTTCATTTTGCTGTGAAGTTTGAACCTTTACTGCCTGTGTATCCTGTTTGCCTTTGAAGGTCGTTAACTTGGTATTTGAATAATGCTTTATTGTGAAGCATAATCCTTGACATCGTGGCAATACTCTTTGCTCTCGTCTTCCATTTTGCAGTAAAGTTTGAACCTTTACTACCTACGTATCCTGTTTGCCTTTGAAGATCGATAACTTGGTATTTGAATAATGCTTTATTGTGAAGCATAATCATTGACATCATTGCAGACTCTTTGCCGATCCTTCCAAGTTTCTTGGAAGCTTGTATGCAATGGCATGTGAAACTGTGACTGTAGCAACACCTGTATTCACCCAAGAAGATAACATAATTTGCTCTGTAGTTTAAGTGTTGTGCAATGCTACTTATCTCCAATTTGCCTCCTTTTCTAAGAGGAAATAACATTGATTTTTTTCAGATTAGTTGTTGACAGAGAAACCGGAAAACCAAAGGGTTACGGGTTCTGTGAGTATAAGGATGAAGAGACAGCTCTCAGTGCTCGCCGTAACCTCCAGGGTTACGAGATCAATGGCCGGCAATTGCGTGTAGATTTTGCAGAGAACGACAAAAATACTGATAGAAACAAAGAACAGGTGCTGTGCTGCCCTATCAACAAAACTGTAAAGCTTTTTAGCTTCTTTTCATATTAATCCACATGAGTAAAGGGACTTAAATTGCTCTCTTAAGTGAGCTTTGATGAATGTTAGACAAAAAGATAGTATTATGTGCCTCATGGAAGGTATATTTAGATTTAATCTTCACTTTTATGTTGAGAAAGCTTTGTTGGCTTTTTTCCTTCCTTATATAAAGGGTGGAGTATTGAGTATTTAAAGGTTGAGGTCATCAGTGGCTTCTTTGACTATTGGAGATCCATTCTCACTCAGCAAAGCTGTTGAATCTTAGGGTCAAACTAGCTTTCTCAGGATTTTGATTGTACAATGGATGTCTCGGGGTTCCAAAAAATCTTGGTGGTTGTATATCTTGCTTGTTTTTCTTTAAAGAGATAGTAAAGGGGAGAGACATAAACCAGAAACGTAATTGCTTTGACATCATCCTCTGTTGAGGCAGTTATGTGATAACGATTCCAAAATCCTTATTGCAGTTCCTGCTTAACTCCTACTCTGATACACTATTTTTACCCCTAGGCGCCCATAAATACTGAAAGGAAGTTTTTTAGTGATCTGTTTTGTATCCGGAGTTCCCTGATTAGTGAAAACAGTGCGGCTCCTGAGAAAATATTGCATGCCAAATCAACTTCCGGTCTTTAGGGGAAAGGTTAATGGAGAATATGGCTTTGTCTTACCACAGGAGAGTCTTGATTACCTGTTTCGCATCCCTTGAAAATTTGAGGTGTCGGTTCATAATTCTTTCAGTTGTACAGCTGCAATAGAGACATTAAGAAAGTTCCATTCCTTTTCGTAATGCTAAGTCCCGCAGACAAGTTCTTCCATATTTAGACATCTGAATGAGTGTTTTCCCCTTTCTTCAAAAGCATAATCTTATGAAATACCTGTCATTAAGAGTGCAGTTGCTAACACTGCTTTTATTAACTTTCAGGGTAGACAAGCTTCTAATACTGGTGAGTTTTCTTCAAATCCCTCTCTTTTACCTATTGAAGATGATATATATTCAAGCTGTTTGCGGTGTTGCACCTTTCAGATCCTAGGAGACATGGAGGACCCCCTGCAAACATTGCAGATGCTACACAGCATCAGCCAATAGGTCTCCACATAGCCATGACCGCTGCCACTGTCATGACTGGAGCTTTAGATGCTACCCAGACAGCAGTGCAGCCGAATCAGGCTGCTTTCCAGGGCCAGTCGGCATTAACAAGTGACCCCTTGACACTTCATTTGGCCAAGATGTCTAGGAGTCAATTGAACGAAGTTGTGACTGAGATGAAGGTATATATTTGAAAGAGCTTTTTCACTTTCCTGACTTGAATTATTTATGTTTCTGATATATCTCGTGTGCTAATAGGTAATGGCCACACAAAACAGGGAAGCAGCTCGTCAACTTTTACTTGAGAGGCCTCAATTGCCAAAAGCCCTTTTTCAGGTGCTCAGTGCTGATGCTAATACATTCTCTGACATTACTCGTGCTATTTCCCCAAATTGCACTTAAAAAATTGGGGGAAATTGGACATCTTTTTCTGAGAAGTATCTGTTTATTATTGTTTTACGATTTTGTTACGTAAGTTTAAGCTCACAAATGTTGTCCCGTGTTTTCTCAGGCACAAATAATGCTAGGAATGGTCACCCCAGAAGTGGTTTGTCTCGTCTTCCAAAATGACATATTTTCTTACACATCTTGTGCACATAACTACGTAAGACGGTTTCCCTAAATACCTATTTTATATTTTGCAGCTGCAAATGCCAAATATAAGAGCACCTTCAAGTCAACTGGGATTACCTCCATTGCAAGACACCCAGCAGGGTCAACATGCCCTTCAGACATTGACGGGGTCAGCCCCTCCTTCCCAGGGGACATACCCTATGACTCAAATACCAGGTGGTCACTCATCTGTAGTGCCTCTCAATCCTTCAGTCCAAAACCAGGTTTCTGCATCCTCAATGCATCCTATGCAGCCTCCAAATAAGACCCATGTTCTTCCGCAAGCTCCATTACCCGGGAAATCTGTAGTCCCGCTACCTCTTCCTGCGCAACCTATCACCAGATCACAAAATCAGGTGACGGTAGATTCCTCGCTCTTACCCCAACAAATTCAACAATCCATTGTACAGCAGCCAGGACAGTCTGGAGGTGGAAATTACGGCTACAAATCCCAAATCGGTCTTCGTCCTTTTGTGTCAGAAACATCAGCTAAGGTAAAGAGAAAATTCAGCTTCTTTCATATTCAATATATGAAGATATGAAGATGAACTAAAGATTGTTTGCTAATAGTCGTCGAAGGTTGTGAGCAAATGGACTAGCTTCTTTCTTTAAGTAGATATCTTAAGGGTGATACGTGTGGATAAGGATAATAGTTGGATTGCTTTCAAATGTGGTCTTTTTTGTACTTCCCATTGGCATCTTACTCTTCACATAATTACAGCCTGAGCCGCTGATGTCATCAGGCATTTCAGATCCTGGTCGCATGGATGCCCGTCCAGCTACTCAGGTTCCCCATGAAGCTACAAGATATAACCGGAACATGAGTTACAGGCAGGATCCCAGGGAACCAAGTAATCGCCCTACAAAGCTTCTGAAGTTGGACGAAGGCAGGAACAGGTCTTCCTCAATTGGGGAACGTAACATGGCCAACCACACCGAATTTGGTCCAAGCCAAACGGTCCCAGCTATTTCAGTGCCTACGAAGCCACTCCCCAAGCCAGAAGAGAAACAAGCACCTCAGGTAACGGAAAAACCCAATGCTTGAAGCTGAAATAATAAACTTTCTTTTCTAGAGAAATAACCCTAATTGATCATCATACAGACGTTAATGATGCGTCCAACCAACTTATGCTTTAACTTATAATCATTTAATGGTATCTATGAGCATACTTCAAAACCATTATTGTTTTCCTTGCACGTTGCAGCTTCCATCAGATGTGGAATCTGCCCTGCTCCAGCAGGTGCTAAGCCTTACACCGGAGCAGTTGAGTTCATTGCCACCGGAGCAGCAGCAACAGGTGATTCAGCTCCAGCAAGCACTTAGACAGGATCAGATGCAGTCATCATAGCAGCAGGTAGTTGTCTTTTCCGCACTGTACTCCTACTGAGGATTATAGCCTGCTGCTGCTATATCAGCTTGTAACCTATTCTTATTATGTATGATGAACTCCCATTTCAGCGGTGAACCTCAGAACCTGCAATTTTGTTTTTATTTCACTTAGGGAAGAGGAGAAGGAGGGGAAAAAACGTATCTTGTTCCATCAAGTAGAGTCCTCCATTTCAGCATCGTAGATAAGGGGGGTTGCCTTGTAGAAGAAGTTTTGCCTTTTGTACCATTATTGTTCATTAGAGATCTTATAATTATTTGTTCTGCAACTTCTTTGGTGTTGGGTTTTGGGATGGAAGTAATAAAAGGTTATTGTTGCTTCGCATCTAGTTTGAGGTTTCCATCCAGTTGCAGAATTATCTGTTGGCCTCCTAAGAATCGAATTATCGACACATCGGATTTCCCTACAAGAACATGTTACCCTCTGTAATTTTATCGAATCCGACAAGAAGAAAGAAACACGAAACGTTTACTGCAAGATACTTGCAGAGGTCCCTATTACCAGTGATAACCATAAAAGAAAAGAATTAACCAACAACACAGAACTAAACTAGGTAGTGAAATCCACTGAAACTACTGGCTTTGAGTCTATGCTGCCTCCCATCAAGTTCTTCTTTTCCCCTTTTCCCAACTTCTTCTGATTCAGGAAATCAACAACTTGCTGAAGAATGGCATCCGCATCACTCCCTTTCCTCAATTCCTCAGCCAAAGCTGCTGGTGTCACATCCACAGTCTGCAGCAGCTCGTCAATCTCTTCAAGCAACGGATGATTTCGCTCCACCTCCAGATAGATGGCGGCTAAGCTTCTGAATGCCTCGGGGGTACAATACGACAAGTGAATATGCATATCCATCCTTCCAGGCCGAATCAGTGCCGGATCCAGAACGTCTTTGTGGTTCGTGGTGAAGACTATGATCCTCTCTTCTCCGTGGCTCGACCAGACCCCATCGATGCAATTCAGCATAGTCGAGAGCGTGAACTAGAAAAACTCCACAAATTACTGGTTATAATCTGTAATGCAACTGGAGTAGAAAAGGTTCGAGCTTTATTACCTTGGCTGCAGGGTTCTTAAGCTTGAGATGACTACCATCATTGGTGCGGCCATTCTGATGAGTTGATTCATCGTCACCATTCAATTCCGATCTGGCATGGAGCTCAGGGCAGCAGTCGATGTCCTCGAAAACAACGATCGATTTGTTCTGGATGGAGAGCAGGGCATGCCGCAGCTCATAATCAGAGCGAATGTTGCCCAGCTCCATAACATAGAGATTGAACTTCAAGTGATTGGACATGGCAGCAACAACACTCGATTTCCCAGTTCCAGGTGGCCCGTACAGCAAGTAACCCCTCTTCCAAGGATCCCCATTCTTCTTGTAGAAATCCCTCCTCGCCACAAACCTCTCTAGATCATCCACAATGCTCCTCTTCAGCTCCCCGTCCATGGCGATCGTGTCGAACGTCTTCGGATGCCTCGACTCCATCGGTCTCCAACCCCCGGCGCGAAGACATTCGGACCAACACCACGTGAACAGCTGCAACTCGGGACACATTTCCTCGAACACCTGGTAGACATGGCGGAGGTAGCGATTCAACACCTTCTCTCGGTTCCGCGACTGAAACGTCAGCCGGTAGCAAAGATCGGAACTCCCGTAGCTATCATCATCACCGGCATCACCACCACCTTCTCCGATCAGTCCCCGTCCGGCGATCCCTCCGGCCCGGCCGATCATCCGTCTACCTTTCGCATGAGGCAGGTGCCACTCCATCTCCTCGCCGTCGAACACGTCGACCACCGTCTCCCCGCCGACCAGCGCGGTGGCGAATCGCTTCTTCTTGTGGAACTTGCCGACGCGGAATTGCTTGTTCTCCGGGCCGATCTTGGTGGAGAGGTAGAACCTGGCGGCCTCGACGAGCTCGTTCGGGTCGTACGGACCGTAGTTCCAGCTGTTGTCAATGATGATCGTGGTGGTGTCCGGCTGGATCGGGTCGGGTCTGGCGAACAGTCGCCGGACCTTGCCGGAGACGTAGTCGGCGATGAAGCTGGGGACGAATTCGCGGTACGCGTTGCGGAGGAGGACGGATAAGGTGGAGAAGGAGGCGTAGATGGATAGCAGGGAGGAAGTGGAAGGAAACACCGTCTGGGCTCCATTGATCACGAAAGACGCCATTGGCAAGCTTTAAGGTTGCACAGGGAGAGAAAGCTCTGTTAATTAATGGCGGATTCTTGGCGCCGCCGGGGAATTTCTAGGCCTCAGATCCGAAACTAACAGAAGAAGCATTAAATTTCCATGAAATTGAGCGGAACGAATGTGGTGGATGGAATATTGAAGAAAATTGACGTGATCCTTCCTTCCTACGCAAAACTCATGAAACTGAACATGAATATGGGGTTTATATGTTAATCAAATGGGGTATATATGCAATATGAATTTACAGGCTAAACGTCGCCCTAAGTTTACTATACTATAATATAAATTATTAGAGTGAACGATAAAAAGAACGAACATACTCTAAGAAACTTCCCTCCTTGAGACTCGAAGTCCTCGTCCTTGTATTTGTATTTATCTAAGAACAAAAATACATAAGGGCACCTAAGTAACCTTTTATATTAAGTTAGGGTGATGTTTAGCAATCGCCGATTTATCATGACATGTATAGTGGCGCAGCAGCAGGGGGTTACACACTAAATTATGTACCTAATCAACAAACTGCTTCATATGCAAACATAGAAGAATGGATTTGCTGCATGCATGGTGCTGAAATCATGTCACCTTGGGGCAGATAGCTCGTCTTCCTGTAGGGTTTCAGTGACTACCAAATCTGCAGCATTATTAAGGTGCACCGCTGCCTCAAGTGGTACAACTTCCACCACCTTTTGCCACTCATCCCATCGTTCAGCCAGACCATCATCGCCCTGTAACATTCTTACCACTTCTGACATCATTGGTCGGCCAACTGGGGAACCTTGCATACAGAGAAGAGCGACCTGGATTAGCTGCTCGACTTCAGCCTCGACGTAGATGTTTTGAAGATCGGGATCCACCAGCAACTCCAGTTGTTTATCATTCAGACGTCCTTTTACCTGACATGTATATGATTTACTTGCTGCATCAGTTAGATGCCAGAAGAGAAGACCAAACAGAAAGTGAAGAATTCATTCATCCAAAATGCAGCAAGTGGGAAGAAAAACAACGAATAGTGATTCATCATCACAAAGACACACGCGCACCCAATCAAGTAACATGGCGTCGTTGTCACATGCAAGCCGAACAAGATTCAATGGCTTCTGCCCAGTGATTAGCTCCAGAAGCATGATCCCGTACCCAAAAACATCACTCTTTTCAGTTGATCTCCCAGTAGAAAGATATTCGGGAGCTATATGGCCTATCGTACCACGGACAGCAGTAGTGACGTGAGTTTTCCCACGGTCCATCAATTTAGCTAACCCAAAGTCTCCAACAACAGCCTCAAATTCCTCGTCTAACAATATATTCGCGGCTTTTACATCACGATGAATGATCGTTGGATTGCAATGATCATGCAAATAAGATAAGCCCCTAGCTGATCCCAGTGCAATTCGCTTCCGAGTTGGCCAGTCAAGAGGAGGTTGTGATGGTGATCGTTCTACAAATCATGAGTCCATAATGTGACAGAAGACAGAGAACAAGTATGAACAATTTGTAACAGCATCATTCAAGGAGGAAAAAGACGGAATCAGACAGATTAAGGGAACAAATTCAACATTCAGGAGATAAGTGCAATGTAAAAAGGTTTTACCTCTCAAGCACGAAGCAACACTTCCATTTGCCATGTAGGGATACACAAGCAATCTTTCAGTTGGTGTCATGCAAAATCCAATTAATCGTAGGAGATTGCGATGGACAGCCAAGCTTATCATCCCTACCTCTGTTTGAAACTGAAACTCTCCTCCTGGTGTGTGATCCTCCTTCAGTCTTTTAACCGCCACCAATGAGCCATCTGCAAGTCGACCTTTATAGACTTTACCGAATCCTCCTCTACCCAGAATGTGTTTGTTGCTAAAGGTGTCTGTGGCAACTTGTAAATCTCGTAGTGAAAACCTCTTCAGCAGTTCCAGCTGAACTTCAGGATCATCTCCTGCTCCAAAATATAGTGAAAAAGTTTCAGCCTATAGTCATCCAAGAGATCCCAATACTTTTGTGTCAGACTTACCTGGTACATCAAAGAATAGATCCTGTGGTTTCCTGTGACACCACCAAGTAAGTGCTATTGCAGGAGCAGCAAACAACAAAGCTGCACCAGCGGCAACTCCAGCAGCTATCGGTCCAGTAGCACCACTCCTTCCTAATGCTTCCATAAGCAGAGCAGTGAATCTCGATAAACACTTAAGCGTTACTAGTCCAAAGCAAATGCAATTCAGAGATAAAGCTTCAATCCAGCAGATAAAAGAGGAAAAGATATAGCAACAACTAGCCTTTTCCTGGAGCTTGAACTAACCGTTGTTGCTCTATAGATGACAGGCACATTAACAAAACACACAAGTCTGTTTCTGAAGTATTACCTGGTACAGAATCTGATGCTGGAGGAACAAGTGGAGATGGAGGTGGGGAAAACGGAGGAGAACCCGGGCAAGGATTCCCAGTAACTGGCCCACAGAGATCCAAGTTGTTATCAAAGCTGCAGACAGAGAGAGAAACTGCATCCTGAGATGGGTTTTGTAGAACAGTACCCTCCAAGTCCCAGCGTTTGAAAAAAATATCCCAACAAATTGCCAACCTTATGGGAGTGAACTTTGAAAAGGAACCTCTATCTGGAACCAACCCAGAAAGACGGTTATTTGAGAGATCCCTGTATTGCAAGATACAATGAGAGCACATGGCAGTTTCAAGTCAAACTAGTCTATCTCCTGGGGTAGAGCACTGTTTGCATCACATATATTTCAAACAAGAGCACTTACAGAACTTGTAATGATGAAAGGTTAGTCAACGACATGGGAATCGAACCTGTCAAACTGTTGTTATTAAGCCGCCTATTCTTGCCAAGGCAAGGAAAAAGAAAAGAAAAGAAAAAAAAACATTAGGTGCAACAGTTTCAATTTCCATGATCCTGGTTCCGTTGATAGAGATGAGTAGATATGGAAGCATTAACAGGATGTCGAATATATAGAACAATAGAGAAAGTAGTCTAACAGGAATTTCAGTTTCGGCAGCTTGCTCAATGATTCTGGTATGGGGCCATTGAGATCATTGAAGTAAAGATCCAGGGTGACCAAGTTAGCCAAATTCCCAAGTTCACTTGGAATTGGACCACTAATGTTATTGTCAGATAATACCCTGTTAAAAATAAAATAGAAAGACTGTTGTTCATGCAGAATAAAATTTCAAAAGAGCAGATATGTCTGAAGATAAACTGAAAATATGCTAATGAGAAACATAAAGATGCACTCAAAGACTTGGCAGTCGCTTTACATCTATTCAATAAAGCAGACGAAACCTGGGGAGCCGGATAACAAGAGACTGTTCCTACCGTAACCAGCTTAAGCACCATATGGCAGAAACATTCAAATTTTGGTGAATTCAGCTTAAGCAGCCTTTACTACATTGCTGCCCAAGTAGGCTCAATTTCAAGATATACAAATGCCTGCTTACTGCTTAGCGTAGCCAAAATAAGGTGAAAAGGGGAAAAAAAAAATTACTAAAAGAGACCCACGAGTATCTTTTTGATAGCAGATGCACCATCATACTCCTAGCTACGTGCAAACTGGAATCATGCACCCATTACAAGCAAGCTCATTTATTGGCAATCAAGTGGAAATTTTGACTAGTGTTTCTCAATTCAGGCTGCATGACTTACAAGTATTCCAGATTCTTAAGCAGCCCAAGTTCGGGAATAAGCTGACCAGACAAACCAGCATTCCCAAGATCCCTGAAAGATTGACAAGATTATACTTCAGCAGAGATGTTTGGTATTAACATAGAAGTGTGACTGCAAACAGTAGGTACATACATAGTTGATGAATGCCAAGGGCTAAAATCTGAAAGAAACCGACTCACAGTCTGACGACACTTTGATCAGTATTGTTGCATGCAACATGAATCCATGTGCAGGGGCTCACAAGGGTAGGATCCCAACTGTCCAGAACATGGCGCGGATCATGCAAGTTGTTCCTTAGGCGGCTCAAAGCATCGACTGTTCCAAAGCAAGACAACAGTAATTAAGTGCAGACTCCAGCAAGTAGCAATCAATTAATTTTGCATTCGAACATATTTAACTCCTGCCAAATGGAAATAGAGTCTTATCTACATGCCATCAACAGTACACCCTTAACTTTGTAAGGCTTACCCAGTGTTTCAGAACCCAGTAACCATCATTCATTATATAGTCCAAGGACATGTCGAAACAAACAAAAGCTTGGCAGTACAATCCAGAGCATGAATAGACAGAAATCAACTAACAGATATTCCAATGCCATTACTAAAAGGTAAGCACCCCACTAACCACATCAATTAAGCAGCAGAAAAGCAGATGCAGAAACCATCATCGCATTATGAAGTAGAAAGATCAAGTCATCCAAAAGTTCTGAACTTTCAGAAAGAATTCTATGCTTAACAGCCAGAGAAAACACATCAAATAACTTGAAAGCCCCCCATAACATACTAGACGAAAACAAAAGATAAACGAGCAGTACCTTCCAAGTTCCCCATAGCAAGCAGCCGTAATAATGGCTGCAGGAACAAGAAGATCAACCATAAGGGAACAACACCAAAAACTTCCCCCATCAAATCCCTCCAGGCTGCAGCCCTTCTCACGTCAAGCACTAATATTCCCCAGATTCAAACCACCAACCAAACCCACCAAGTCTGCGCAAGAAAAAGAAGAAGAAGAAAACACAACAGTCAACCAAAACGCAAACACTGCAATGAAAGGCTCTAATTATATAGAGAATCTTATCCCTCTCTCAACATTCTATTTGCTACCAATTTCCACACGTTTTGTTATGACGAATCTTTTTTTTCTTCTTCTTTTTATTAGGGTGTTTTGTAATGAAAATTCTTTGTCCTAATATGCCTCGGTGCTTTTTCTGCAGTAAGTTAAGTTGAGTGGCAGGAAGAATTATAAGAAAACGCCAAAAAGATACTCTCTTTATCATGCACCATTATACGAATAGTCATAGCCCGAAAGTGAGAAATTCAAAGATGGTACTTACGGAGATGCAGACGTCGGAACTCGGACCTCAGCTTCCATCGAGAAACGGCGGGCACGTATCGCCGCCGTTTACCCATTTTCCATTTGCATGCCGAAATCAAAATATGAACGCAGAAACGCTTGAAAGTTGATAGACGATGGCGACCCAAATGTTGCTGCTGGAATGAGGATCGAGGAAAGTTGGCATTTTGCTTGCATTCCGCTGCCAACCACTCTCATTGAAAGAAAAGTTGGGAGCTTTCGAGGCCACGAACGAGAAATTTTCTATTAGAGCTCCAGTAAGAGAAAGATGACTAAGACCATTCACATCCATGAAATACCATTTCTATTTCATATGTGGTCCCTACTGCCATATCAACAATTTTTCTCATTTCACTTCATACCAATTTCATTTCCTCTACATCAATGACATCCACTTTCTATTTCATTTGGTGGGCTCAATTGATTATATTTTCAATACAAGTATACAACTCTACATTTTATCTAAAAGAAATGAAAAAGAAAAAAAAAAAGATGAGGCAAAACCGTGGGAAAAGGGCCCACATCTACCCACTTTCAATTTCATTCTCTATTTCATTAAGTGACAGCTTCCATTATTTGAAGACAGGACTACAACCGTGAAATGGAGAAAGACAAATGCCATGTCACAATGGAATTGGGCAATGAAAGGCGATGCAGCTGCTCTAAGAATGCAAAACTAGATACCAATAAAAAAGTAGGTTTCGACATAATAAAACGAAACAAGCTCCAAACTTTCGCCCTCACCCAAAAAGCTCTGGGTTACACAGTAATGAAGGCTGCAGTAATCAACACTGATTTCACAATTTGAAGCTATCGTAACATCAAAATTCCTAAGTTTTGTTAGATATAAAGATAGAATAGGCCTCCTCGTGGGTGGATGGATGGACGAAACAATGATATGCACCTCTCAACAAGCCGACTGATTCATATGCACAAAAAATGAATACAAATTCAGAAGAAACGGATCTTTGCATGGCCCGCAGGAATCAGGGTTACATTCATTCATCATGGGAAGCAAAATATGATCAAAAAATGAAAGGATTAAGAAAGAAAAAATGCTTTTTCATTTTTTCCCCTCCCTTTTCTTTTACTTGTAACTTGTAAGTGTGCCAATGGGGTGGTAATCAACAATCTATCACCTCGGACCAGACAGCTCGACTGCATGTAGATTCTCCGTCGAATCGACGATCCAATCGGAGTTAGGGTGAGGGGCTAGCTCCACCTCTTGTCGCAGAACTTCCACCTTTTGCCATTCGTCCCATCTCTCGGCCAGACCGTCTCCTTCGAGCATTCTCACCACGTCGGACATCTTCGGCCTGTCCATAGGGGAACCTTGTGTGCAGAGAAGAGCAACCTGGATGAGCTGCTCCACTTCGGAATCAATGTAGTTGTTCTGAAGATCAGGGTCCACCAGCATCTCCAGCTTCTTCTCCTTCAGAAGTCCTTTTACCTGAGTGATATGTTTAGTTGCAACAGTAAGATGACTGCTTTCTTTTACATTGCCTTGACCAAAAAGAAATGGAGACATGGCTGAATGTGAATTAATGATGGTTTACATGCACAAGTAAGAAGGAAAACCATGAATATCGTAAGCATATACCCAATCGAGCAACATGACATCGTCGTCATTAGCAAGCCGAGCAAGATCGAATGCCCTCTGTCCAGTAATTAGCTCCAGGAGCATAATCCCATACCCAAAAACATCAGTTTTCTCAGATGATTTCCCGGTGGAGAGGTATTCTGGAGCAATGTGGCCTATCGTACCACGGACAGCAGTGGTGACATGAGTGTCCTTGTAGTCCATCAATTTAGCCAACCCAAAGTCTCCAACAACTGCCTCGAATTCCTCATCTAGCAATATATTGGCGGCTTTCACATCACGATGGATGATCTTTGGATCACAATGATCATGCAAATAAGATAAGCCCCTAGCAGATCCCAGTGCAATCCGCTTCCGAGTTGGCCAGTCAAGAGGAGGTTGTGATGGTGGGCGCTCTACAATCACGAATCCGTAGAGAAGAAAACATAAGCATAAACAACCCAACATACTAAAGCAACTTTAAGGAGACAGTTAGAGAGACAGAAGAATTCTTTTGAAAGCTTTTACCTCTCAAGCATGAGGCAACACTTCCATTTGCCATGTAGGGATAAACAAGTAATCTCTCAGTTGGTGTCATGCAAAAGCCTCGTAATCTCAGGAGATTGCGGTGGACAGCCATGCTAATCATCTCAACCTCTGTTTGAAACTGTAGCTCTCCTCCAGGGGTCCGCTCCTCCTTCAGTCTTTTAACTGCCACCAACGTGCCATCTGCGAGGCGACCTTTGTACACCTTACCAAATCCTCCTCGGCCCAGAATGTTTTTGTTGCTGAAGGTGTCTGACGCGACTTGTAATTCTCGCAATGAAAACCTCTTCAGCTGCCCCAGATGAACTTCAGGATCCTCTTCCGCTGCAAAATAGAGGTTACCATTTGAGACCCGAAGGCATTGAAGGAGCTTCAAAGAACTTGATCCTTCACAAGAGGCTTACCAGGTACATCAAAGAACAACTCCTGTGGTTTCCTTCGACGCCACCACGCGAATGCTATTGCAGGGGCAGCAAACAACAAAGCTGCACCGGCAGCAACCCCGCCAGCTATTGCTCCAGTAGCACTATTCCCTCCTAAAACATGTAGCAGCAGATCAGTGAATCTCTAAAAGCACTTGGCGTTATTCAGACCAATTGTCAAAAGAAAATGCAATAAGACAAGCACAGTGTGTTAAAGTCATTTCTAGAACATCCAATACCTGGTACCGAAATTGGTGGAGGTGGAACAAATGGAGGGGGAGGTGAAAATGGAGGGGAACCAGGGCAAGGATGACCAGTAACTGGCCCACAGAGATCCAAGTTGTTAGCAAAACTGCAGAGAGCAAAAAGAATCCTGAGATGGGTTTCGGTTACTGGTAACCCATGGTTTGGAGGAATTCCAACAAATTGCCAACCTTATAGGAGTGAATAATGAGAAAGAACCATTATCTGGAACCACCCCGGAAAGACGGTTGTTTGAGAGATCCCTGCATTCCATGATTCAGTAAGTGCACATGGTACTTTTTGCAACGAACTTAGAAATTGGACTGTTCATGACATATAGTTAGTGTATGAGAACTTACAGCACTTGTAAAGACGAGATGTTAGTCAAAGACATGGGAATTGGACCAGTCAAGCTGTTGTTGTTAAGCCGCCTACCCTTGCAGAAACAGGACAAACAATAATGTACTAAGCAGAGAGGTCGGGTGGGGAAATTTGCAACTTACAAGTAATAGGTGCAGAAGTTTTACATTTTGAATACTTGGTTCCATTGGTTGAGAGTTGAGAGATTTGTTGAATATAGCAGAAAGAGGAGAATCTGAGAAAGGGGACTTACAGGAATCTTAGCTTCGACAGCTTGCCTAAAGATGCTGGTATGGGGCCATTGAAACTGTTCAAGTAAAGATCCAAGCTGACCAAGTTAGTCAAATTCCCAAGATCACTTGGAATTGGACCACTTACGTTGTTACTGTATAGTTCCCTGTCAAACAAGAAAAGGAAGGTGATGCATAAGGGACAACGGAAGCAGCACAAGCATCCTAAAGAAACTGGAAATATGTGGACGACAAAGAAAAAATAAATCCTTGAAGGTAAAATTCAAGTGAGACAGCATGACTTACAAGTACTGCAAGTTCTTAAGTTGGCCAAGTTGAGGAACAAGCTGACCAGATAACGCTGCATTTCCGAGATCTCTGAAATATCAACATGTCAAATCCATTAGCTCAGCTGTTTGGTAGTAATTAAGTAGTGCGAACTGCAATTGCAAGCGTCTTGTTGACTAACAAGACTCACACTCTGATGACACTGTTATCATTGTTGCATGTTACATGGAACCATGTGCAAGGGTTCACAAGGGTAGGATCCCAACTCTGCAGAACGTTGTTCGGATCGAACAAGTTGGTCCTCAGACTGTGCAAAGCATCGCCTGTTCCAAAAGCAAGAAATACAAATGAATCAGGTACTGTGGATTCTCCATCCTCAAAGAAGCAAAGCTGCAAATCTCCCGTGAGTTGCTAGCAACCAATGGCTACTCTAGTCAAATAAATCAACTCGATGTGTGAACTATGAGCATCTGACCGTACACCATGAACTTGTTCAGTCGATAAATGGCAACGAATGCAGCAAAAACATAACCAATTTCACTAAACCAGGAAATCGTCATTCATCAGATAGTGATTCGAAGTACACCCCAAATCACTGAACATGTCCCACAAGTCTCCACCATCCACAATGTAAGCATTAAACCAAATGGCAAGTAGACCAACTTTAAAAAGGGAGAAATAGAAATGACAATGAAGGGAAGTGGGACAAAGAACAGAGAAAAGGAAGGCAGCTGCCACAGATATAAACTCAAAAATCAACAAGCAGCCAGGCTCAAGGCTTGGCTAGGCTAGCTAATACAGATTATGAACAGATGAAACCAACCAAAGGAGATTTCAACACCATTACCAAGACCCTCAATCCTAAGAACTATTGCAGGATAAAAAGAGATGAATCTCATTTGCAGGAATCAACTCATTAATCAGAAATGAAGATCAGAATTTCCTTCCCAGCTAGAGAAACCAAAGATCGCAAGAAGAAGGCAACAATGCAAATGCTTAACAAACCAACTCCAGCAAGGGCCAAAAAACCCAGCAACATACCTTCCATATTACCAAGGACTAGCCATGAAGGTTGCAGCAGCAGCAGCAACGAGAAGATCAACCAAACAAGAACCACAGCAGAAACTTCCCTCTCCATTACTACCACCGCCAAAGCTCTTCAGACATCAACCACTAAATCTCCTCCTCAGATCCAAACCCCAACCCACCATTCCCCAGAAAAGACGCTCCAGGGGGAGCTGCAAACCCAGCAACAAAAAGAAATGGTAGAGATTAAAACCCTAGAAAGTTGCCATGCTTAAGCTTCAAAACCCCAACATTCTCTCTCAAATCACCACCTTAGCAACAACAAATACATACCCAGAAAAAATCCCAGCTTCCCTTTCCTTCCCCCCTTTCTTTCTCTCTCTCTCTCTCTCTCTCTCTCTCTCTCTCTCTCTCTCTCTCTCTGGTTCCTCACTCACTCTGCCTTGCTCATTTACTCACCCAACCCCAAAATGGGAACAGGCAGTTAAAAAATAAAGGGGATAAAACCAGCAGAAAAGGAGAACTCAGAAATAAAAATTCACTGCCATTTCGCTTTTATGGGATTCAAGAAGGAGAAGAAGCTGAACGAGCAGAAAAAAAATATAGTTTTTTTTTACTTTTTTCTAGCTTTCTAGCTGCTGCAATGCAACTGCAACACTTTAGCTGAGAGAGAGGAGCTAGGAAGTAAAGAAGTGTGCCAGCAAGCCCAGCTGAAAATTTTATAACAAAAAGAAAAGGCGGGGGGCAAAAAAATAAGTAAGAGATTATGAATTATCTTTTCTTCGTTTATATATTGCTGTGAACAATAAATTAAATTTTAAGAATGCTGCCCGGACGGAGTTACTACTGCCCGAACGCAGTGGAAAAAAAAAATAAGAAAACGGACAAAGAGATTAAACCAACAAAATTCGTAGTCTTTTACGATATATAAATGTACGAAATTTAAAAGAGTTATTCAACGGGGAAATTTTTTAAATTAGTTAACATTAAAAAATATATATTGATAGAAATTACAAAGATAAAAAAAATCAATAAACATATTGAAAGAGCTAAATTAAATCTGGAAAAGTTAGGCGGGCAGCACCGTTTCACAGGCTCTTCTCTCTCCGGTCAAAACGTCGAAGGTTCAAGTGGGGCCCACTCCATCTCAGATAATGATAACGGCGTTTAGGGCTTGGGACTGGGAGGTGGCGAGTTGGGCTTGGGCCCATGCTGTTTGGATTAATGCTACATACATCTCAAGCGATTTCCTCCTGTATCTGTATGCAGCTCGCGCTCGCGAAATGCACGTACCTCCTCAACGACTCTTCGCTGATGGACCAAGACCACCTACATGCTGCTGCTCGCGGCGGCATACTTGATAGTTGACACTTCCCTGCAGCTGAGAAATCACCTCAAAACTAAAGATGGACAAGTGCTCATGGCATAATAGTATCAGTCTGCAATACTTTATATCCAGCTAGAGAGAGAGAGAGAGAAGAAGGATCATCAAAGGGTTAGAAGTCATTGGAAGCCACATGGACCTGCCAGGGCACTCTCCATGATTAAACTGCACGCTGTGTGTGTAAGTGAAGATAAAAGGATTGAGAGAGAGCATCAGCAGAGACCCACATGGAGTGTTTTATAGAAAGGATTGAGAAGAGAAAGGAAAGTTTCATAAGTGGTGATCTAAGATTAAACAAAAGGCAAGCAGGAGAGAGATGTGGCTCTAATTGAGATCACCTTTAAGCTTTGCAGGTTACATTGTCTTGGTTTTAAGGGTGACAATGACCCCACACTCGTTTTACCCAAAAACCTATCCCAGGTAACCTGCAACTGGTCCATCTTTAGGGGATGTCTTTTCTTTCTTCCATCGTCGAGTTAATGAACAGCTCCCACTCTTGTTGTTTGCCTCTGAAACATGAGTTAATACCAGAGAGAGCAAGTCAGTAAAGTCTTTCTTCATTTCAATTTTCACCCCTTAAAGTGGCAAAGTAGATGAGTGATTTAATTAAGGTGTAGATATAGCTATTAGATACCATTCATACCATCTTTTGATATCTCATGATAGCAGCAGGTGGGTGGCAGAAGAACAAAGAACAAACCTTTTAAGCTACTTTTGACAGCATTCAGAGGTATTATGAGTATATAACAATATGATAAAAAGAAAATTTGTCATTCTACTTCCTCAAATTGATCATTATCCATCATCTTCAACAGCAAGTTAAAAAACGATTAACATTTCATCGTCTACTGAAGACTGTAGATGATGATGTATAGGAGGTGAAACTAAACCTATAAACCAGACTAACTAAGACTGTGGTGGCTCGGCGGCGACCAAGCCTCTAGCTCTCAGACTCTTGACGGTTTCTCGAACAGCATCTTCCACAGGGGTGAACTCCAGTCCCAGATCGATTAGTCTCTTAGCAGCACCATCACAAGCAACCAGGCCAGGCTGAGTCTCTTCAGCGAACCTGTTCAACATGAGAATCGCGCCAAGTAAGCACGGTCAAGGTTGATGATCAAACGGGTGACCAATTCAGGGTTTGTTTCAATGAATACAGCCGTCATCGACAAGCTGTGTTGCAGTTGACCCATAAGTGTACTTAGCTTCTGGCATCTACATTACATTATTATCGAATAATTAAAAAAGACTGTGGCTTTCTTTTCCCCAGGCTGTCATGTTCCCCCATTGGATTCAGTTCTCACTTAACCAACCAACGTTTTGTCCTGCCGCAGGAGGATCAAACCACCATTGCCACCTCACAAGGTCACAAAATAATCAAAATCCCAACTTGCCACCATCCGCATCCAAGGAAGAAACCAATAATCATCCCCAGCGCTTGGATTGGATTGGATCACTTAACAACAACTGTGAATTATTTGGTTTTGAAGGAGAAAGTGCAATCACTGAGATATCACAATCATGCATTGATTTGCTATGCAGGAAACTCCTAATGAGCACTAACTTTCACCTCAGTAATAAACAGGGGAAGCAATCTGATTATGCAGAAGTGGAGCCACCCATGGCAGAAAAAGCAAAGCAGATTCGAGTAGCTATACCGATAATGTTTGGCGGGGCAGCAATGCTATCATGATTATGATTCTTCCCTTAGCTTTTGAGCAAAGAATCGACTTTAAAAAATGGAGGGAAAAAAGAAAGCAGCAGAGGAAAAGGTCACCACTAACCTGTAAACAGGGAATTCAGGGAAGAGTTTGGAAACCCTGTCAGCAAAGTCTCGAAATTGGTAGATGCCATTGGTGCAGAGGTATCTACCAGAAGCAGCAGGAGTCTCGTAGAGCAGAACTTGCGCCATGGCCACATCTTTGACATGAACAGCTCCCAACCAGTGACACTCCTGCGTGTCTTCAGCTCCTTCCAGCAGCTGTTTCAACACGGCGGAGCTTGCATTCAGCCCCGGCTGCAACAATTGCCCCAAGCACGTCGCCGGATGGATCGCCACCATATCAAGCCCATTCTTCTCCGCAAACTCCCACGCAGCTTTCTCCGCCAGCGTCTTCGACACCGGATACCATTTCTGACAAACCAAAACGAAAACCCTCAATTGGGATAATCCATGAGTTGAATTTTGAATTCAAACTCAGCCATGGATAGATTCGAACGATTGAATTGAATATCGATCAGGCTGACCTTTCGGGACTTGCAGTAATCGAGATCGGTCCAGGAGGACTCGTCGAAGACGATTCCGGCGGGCCAATTAGGGTTTGGGACCAAGGCGGAGATGGAAGAAGTGAGGACGACGCGGGAGAGGTTGGAATCGACGGCGGATTGAAGGACATTGAGGGTGCCCTGAACGGCGGGGAGGATGAGATCGCGATCGGGATCGGCGGGGTCTTCGAGGGAGCAAGGGGAAGCGATGTGAAAGAGACCGCGGCAGCCGGCGACGGCGGTGGAGAGCGCCGGCGGGTCGAGGAGGTCGGCCTCGAAGATCTTGAGGCGGTCCGGGTTATTATTTGCGCCGGGGAGGTGGAAGAGGTGGGAAGCGTCGGAGCCAGGGTAGATGGAGGCGTGGATTCGGGCGTACCCAGATTCGAGGAGGGTTCGGACCACCCACGACCCGATGAACCCGTTGGCGCCCGTCACGCAAACCGGCGACTCTTTGTGGTCGGAACCCATCGCCGGCGGACTGTTGGTCACTACAAATTGGTCAGTGAGGGGGTTGTCGGAGAAAGTCAACTGTTCTTCTTCTTCCTCCGATAATGTATTATATATATTTGTACCCTTTTATTCGAGAAATGTGATCCTGAGAATCGGGGGCGTTTGGACTCTTGTTGATGTGTACGGCTATGCTGACGGCGACGAGATCACGCCGGCGGCGTGAGAGTTTGTTTAGTTATTAGTTATGTCATTTATCCGATTGGCATTATGTAACAAAATTACTTTGCTTATCCGTTATCCAATCCTATCCCTGTTGGGAATACGGTTGCGGTTTTATGGTTAAACCACAATGGTATCTAAAATGTTTGGTTTAATTACTGTAAATTATTTAGTTGGCTTTTTTTTCACTCAATCGCGATTGTTGGAATGACTTTTTCGCTGTTTCCGGTTATCTAAACCGAATAAATAACCACAACAAAGTCCAATTCCAGGTTCAAGCCTCCAATCAAACCCAACCCCCTTTAGGTGTCAATCCTTTTTCCACCGTGGGTAACGCTTTTGGTTTGTTCGGTTTTGGTGCGATTAAACTGTATCTAATCGCTAATCGCAATGTACGATTTATAGGTAACCGCAAACCGCATGCAATGCGGTTGTGGGTAGTTGTTTCACCCTAAAAACAGTTGCGGCTAACCGATTATTTATGCAGTTAATCGTTCAATTAGGTGAGGTTAACCACAACCCACTTGCTATCTCATCTATACAATTATCACCTTATGAGCCAAGTAAATAACCTCACTAATCAACATATATTCCATAGATAATCATGGTGTGGTGGTTGATCTTCTCTTCTTTGAAATTTGAAATTAAAATTTTAATCCTTACCCATAAGGATAACACTCAATTTGTGACTAGCGATTTATCGCGCTACGTACGATTACTCAGGACAAAATATCAAATTGTTTGTTTTCACGTTTATAAAATTCAATGTTATTAACTTAATTGAACTACAAGATTGACCTAATTTCACTCGATTCAAAACGGAGCTGGAATTTTATTGGAGTGGGATTGGATAATTCATGCTGATCTATTTGTTCTTCATACAGAACAGAACAACCGAAAAGTACATGTGGCTGAAAGATAGAAAGAGTGTGTAAAGGCGGGAGATTGCGATTTTGGCGGGTGGATGGTGCTGCCTCTTTTTGTCCATGAAAATTGCTCTATCTTCCCCAATTCCACTTCTTCGCCATGGCCTCGCCGCTGCGTGCTTTTCGTCCACTTCTTACTGCACCCGCGAAACTAAGATGATTCGCGCCATGGCCAAACGCAAGAAGCCCACGGATTCCGAGGTTTTCCCTTTCTCCCTTTACTGGGTAAATTCTTCGCTTCACATTGTAAACCCTCAATTGCCTCCTTCTGTGTAGGGTTCTTCCGACCCACCACCCAGAATCACATCAAATGTGAAGCAGAACTTGCAGTTTCTCAAAATTTGGAAGGTAATTGAGTCATAATAGCTCGCTTCAATAGAATGGAATTGCAAAGGGAAAGTCTTTTGCTCATTAGTCAATCCAAGTTACCAACTTGTCTTAGGAAATTCAAAGGCGGAGGTCTAGTACTCCTAGGCCTGCTACTAGTTACCGTAGGAAGAAGGTGGAGAAGGAAGATCTACCTGAAGATACCCAGGAGATCTATCGTGATCCAACCTTCACTCTTTATCAGTAATGGTTTCCTTCTCTTGGATTCTCTTTGCTATCATTTCCTTCCACCATAACTGACAGACACATTTTGCAGCACAAACCACATTCCAGATAGCGTTGTCCTGGTCCTGCTTGTTGATGGTTACAATGTATGTGGCTACTGGATCAAGCTGAAAAAGCACTTCATGAATGGGAGGCTTGATGTTGCGCGGCAGAAGCTAATCGACGAACTTATAGCCTTCAGTGTACATAAAGGTGTTGTTACTTATTTCGCTCTTGTGTGTGGGTTTGAACTTTGAAGTTTTATCTCCTTACACGTTTGGAATGCATAGTTGCTTGCTCGTGTTCCTTGATTTTAGAATTTTCGGTTGCTTTGCTTGCTCATGGAAACTATGACTAGATTGCATTCCTAAGTGGCCGAAGAAATACTCGGAGAATTTCGTAACCATTATAGATTAGGTGATATCCTTAGAGCAAAGAAATGGAATCTACAGTCTCATGCGAAAGAAGCTAACAGCTTATATAAAACTCTCAAATGGCTTGTTCGCCAGGTGAATTTTTGAGTGATGGTGATGTAATAAGCTACTGCAAATCGACATTAGAAGACATGCATTAGTGTGCTGCAGATGGTGTTCCTTGGTCACACTGTAAAGTAGAGAACTTTTCTGAATGATGAACATGTCTATAGAAATTTTATGAATTCGAAAATGATATTTTCCTTTGCAATGCTAAGTTCATAAAATGGAAGAGATGTATTACTATAGTTCATCGTGGAATATAGTAAGTTTGCTTCAGTTCCAATGCTTACAAAGTCTTTCAACTTCTTGATTTCTGTTTTTTCTTTTTTCGGTTGATTCCTTTACACCCTATGTTATTTTGTCAACATTTACAGAGGTGAAAGTGGTAGTGGTCTTTGATGCCATGATGTCAGGACTGCCCACACACAAGGAAACTTTTGCGTGGTACTTTCTATGAGAACCTGCTCCATTTCTGATTCATATTCATACATTAGGTCCTCTTTGGCAGTGTAGACGAATTGCTGATCGCCTTTTTTCAGTATCACATTTTGTCAATGTTTAAGTATTGTGTTTCAGTAGATTTAGTGATGAACTGGGATTTCGTACTTTCTGTTATCAAGCGTATGTTGATTCATGTTATTTGCTTTGTATAGTAATTTCACTGTAGAATGGTTTTCATATGTTGATACGATTAGTGTCTTGACTGGAAGGATTCATCATGTTGCAGTGTTGATATAATTTACTCAGGTGAGACGTGTGCTGACTCATGGATCGAAAAGGAGGTAAATTTATCCTTCTCCTATAAGATTCTTTGTTTTTTATCTTCCGGATTGAGCACACGTAACATCTAAGAAACCTCAACGATGTTTTTTTTCCAGCCTTATGAATCAGTTATCTCTTGACTATCCTATGTGACTGAGATATAAGTGTAAGACCATAATTTTGAACGAAAATTGCCAGAGAATTGTACTCTTCTTCTGTTTCTTCTCCTTTCAACCCAAGCAAATAGACCCGCGTAACTATGGCACTTTGTTAGGTCTACTAGCTAGTATCCTCTGTTTGCATAATCAGTGGCCCCAAAGGTGGCATATGAACTTTATCTTACGCTGTTTTTATGTCCCCTTACAGGTTATGGCCTTGAGGGGAGATGGTTGCCCCAAAGTGTGGGTTGTGACATCCGACCGGAGTCAGCAACATGCTGCACATGGAGCAGTATGCATTCTTTCTTATACTTGGCAATTTGCTTTTCAGGGTCTGTCAAATGAATTATGCTTGTGGTCTTTGCTTTTGAGCCGACATCTCTTAGGCAGGAATAGTAGCACATGTGGGGTTAGGTCTCGACGCAATAGCTTGAACTCGTTACATGGCATTCTATGTCATTTTCATATGAAATTATGACAGGGAAATGCCCTGTTTTTTGGGTTGGACACAGTTTTGGCTTTGCTGGTGGGATATTAGTCCTTCGTTAAATCTTCCAACTTGGCCTAGTTTTTTAGGTACATGTCTATCATCTCATTCATTTCGCATGAAATTTCTAACGTATTCGTTGGATGCTTTTATCAGTCGAACATACTAGTACCAAGTTGTCGGATGAGACGGCGTTAGTAGGAAGGAATACAGTAGCACTAGATAGATAAACAAGTGGCGAAATGGATAGACATATATATTTGTGTTGTCTTAGTCCTATTTATCTCAGATGTTGACTTGATGACGACGATAAGGGTCGTTTTTCATGGTGATGTCGCTGCAGGGAGCCTTTGTTTGGAGCTGCAAAGCCTTGGTATCTGAGGTTAGTGAGTACTCTGTGTAGTTTACTGAACCGTGGAAGTCTGTGATGGTGAATTCGCTGAGGGGGTTTTGTAGATTAAGGCGTCTCACAAGGAGGTGGAGAGGATGCTTGAAGAGCAAAGGTTCGCTTAGACAGGTTGCTTATTGATTGATGAGTGTGGGTTTATTAATTAATGATAATGCTGTTGTTTTGGGATGGCAGGCCAACCTCTTTTCAGGGGAAGCTGTTGAAGCACAACCTTGACTCAGAAGTGGTGGATGCTCTCAAGGACTTGAGGAACAAGTTGTACGAGGATGAGCGGAGAAAGTAGGTCTCGTGTGGCTCGCCAGCATCTGCTACAGATACGACCAAGCTCACGGGTGAATAGGAAGTTCTCAACTAAGTAACTAACCACCACCCTTTTCGATAAGCGAAAGCTACTGACTTTGGATTGCATTTACTTGACTGGTAAGTAAAGCTGGATAAGGTTTAAGCGTGGAGGCTGCCTCTAAAATAGAACAAGGAGTTATAGCAGACCATTTGCAGTCTGATGTATAAAAGGATGCATGATGATGAGCTTATATGTGTTATGTACGTGGGGAAGAGGGCAGACTGAATCTCTCTCTAGTCATTGACCAGACCAGTTTAGCAATGTACAAAGTACAGGTGGTGGATTGGATGTCAGGACCTATTTAGCAGTTCATCATTTCATTCATCAGTTCATCATTCTTTTTATGAGCGTAATTAAAATGTTAATCCTTCAGTAATGTTAGATTATCTTCATCTTGTTTTAATTTGCTTTTCTGTATTAGGATGGGAGCATTGTTGTACTCTTAGCTGAGTTTGAAAATGCAGGAATTAGGATATTCACTATTTGGTTGTTAACCAATGAGTTTGGGGCAAGAGTTATTTGGTGAACTCTTGCGTAAAAGGTTTGGCATATGATTAGGAATACTTAGAATCTCCTTGGTCCATTCCCCTGTATCCGAAGAGAACACACGTAGCATTGTCCAGCCGATACCGGTATCCCCGTATATACACACAACGCGGAATCGATACTCGGAATAAACAAGGCATTGGCCAACAGCGAGATTCGCAGAGCCGCGGGGTTCACAAACTAACCTTGCAGCGGCTACATTCCACGACACTGGCACCTGAGGCGCCAGTGGGAGGGCGACCCATTGCTTCGAAAACGGATTGCAGACGAAATACGATCTGTACAATTCGGGAGCGTGGTTGTAGGGGGTCACACCCTCAAACCCGCACAAAACCAAGTCGTTGTGGGAATCCAAAATACCGAAATACCGTCTCCAGGGCATGGGGAGGAAGCTGAGGATGTTCGATTCCCGGTCGTCCGAGGAAAGAAGCAGCGGAGGTTGCTGGTTCCTGCTCCAGTGATCTGAAACGAATCGCCGATTGAAGCCGGGACTGGAGAGAAGGAGGCTCCACCTTTTGCAGACGAGTTTGCACCGAGAAACGGATCTAGGGTTCGGGAGCCGAACCAGAATGTCTATCAGAAGATCGTCCAAGAGTTTGTCGACCGGTGTCCCGGACCCGCGATTGGCCGCCATGGCGAGAGAAGCTTGGGAAGATAAATTATCGAGGGGCAGAGGGATTTATTTTTATTTATACAAGAAAGTGGTTCCTAATCTCAAATGGAATCGGAAATCCTTAACCACCCCGCCTAATTGGACCCAGGCCCAGCTCCTCTCCCTTCTTGTGACTTTAGCTTTACGGGTGGGCTGGGCTGGGCTGGTATTAGTTCATTTCTAGGACGCTGCTTTCTCTTTTTATTCTATCCATAACTCCCTACCTCTACCTGGTGAATGGTGATGAGGTGATCGCCAGCCATAATATTGCCAATCATCAACCCCACTTGGCTTTTCCATATTCCTCTCATTTATTTATGTTCGTCTCGCGTCGGGATTACGGAGTATATGTTGTTTACGAAATATTATAAGTTTATGTGCTACTATAATGTGTATTGGTTTTTTGCCCTTATATTTTAAGAAAAAAATGGTTTGTCAAGAATTCGTTATAGTTAGCCGATCAAGACATATCATTCGTCTCACGCCTTTTTTTGTTTCCGCAACAAAACAATGTTCGATCGAGATCGATGATAGGCGATGCATCATCTTTTTACAGCTGGTAGATGTCGGTGCCCATAAATTCACAGGTAAACAACTTGGCAAGGGGAAGTAAAAGGTCCTCTTACCATGTTCTTTGTATGAGGGTCAGACGCAAGAAGATTTGATAAATTGGAGCTGATCAGTATATATATATGTAGGGAATTTTTCGACAAATTAAATGGGGACTTATCCTCTGGTGGTGGTGGGTAGCTATTATTAATTTAACATATATATTTGGTACATATACGGGTATTAAACGGATTTTTACTAACCATCTAAGATCGGGGCTTGAAAGTCGAAACTTATATTCCCAGGGACCACTTTGTTAACTTGACATACTACAGGGACTGATACAAACATTTCTTAAACTTGCGTCCCAAGTTTCCCTCGGAAAAAAACAATCACACTGCCTAGCTAGTTGCTTCTTGGAACTGGGGTTTCCGACCCCGATCAATTGCACCAACCAACCATACATGGCCGCCGCTAGCTGCTTCCATCTCATGAAGATCCTCCTCCGGCCGATGAAATCCGCCGCCGTCAACTCTTTGGTCATCTCTCGGTCTTCCTTCTCTCCCGCCTCCTCTCATTAACACCTACATTAAAACCCTAGCTTGGGTGCTCGGCACTGCAGGGTATGTAATGTAATAATTTGTTGGAGTCCCTCCTAGCTAGCACATAATTGAATTTCAACTTCACCATCCTCATCAAATTTCATGAATCGTAATTACTGAAATTCATTTCTGATCCTTGCGTGCTAATATTGCGAGATCAACAGAAAGGAATAAGTGGGTGAAGGTGGGGGAGGAATGGGTCATTTTCAATATTGGGGGGTGTATGTGCTAATTCACAATTTGGTCTATTATTGTTGGCATTGGCACTATATTATATCTCGATGGGTCACACACAACAACACTATTCAGAATAATCGTTCTCTCTTCTGCAATGATTTGAGCACATATTTCAACACGCATCTACTCGCACATATATATTTTTAATGGTTTTGGTTCTACTGGGGCTTTCTTACATTGCTAGACTAACTTTCTCTTTTCTGCTTTGGCAGAATGTTGTAGAGAATTTGGACCAAGCACTCCTAGTGACAATGTTCAGAACCTTGGGCATCGTGAATCTAGAAAAAGCTTCACGAGAAGTTATGATCCCCTGCCTGCCTTTAGTACTCTATTTTCTAAACCCATTAAGGCATTAACCAGATGACTAATGTGGGCGGGATCCGATAGGGATGGCAATGCATGGGTCAACCCATTGGATAATTTGACTTACCCAATTGTCATGAAAATATTGTGAATGCATGCAATTGAACAACCCCGAATCATGGATTGCCATTGATTTCACGTATTCATCTCTGCAGCTTCACTACAAAACTAAACAGACAAAATACCCTCCTCTAGGCAAATCTCTATCACTATAAATAATAAAAGCAGCCCTTTAAAGCATAGTCGGAAATTCCCAATACGACACCCAATTTGAATGTATAAAATAAATTCGAAATATCCACAAAATTGGACAACATTAACACCTAACATAATTGGACAACATTGGACTAGTAATTTACAGCAGCACAATAATAACCAAAATTCAAAATTTCCGAATGTAACCAAAAGCGCTATTGCAATTATAACCATAACCATAGATTGAAAATTAATAAGAAGGAAATTATATATGGACTAGTAATTTACAGCAGTACAACAATAACGGGTTATAATAATAACCAAAATTCAAAATTTCCAAATGTATTACCAAACCATAAATTGAAAACTAATAAGAAAGATCCATACCATACCTCGCCAGGCACCAAATTCTGGGATGTTGAACATAAATGGGATTAACTTGGGCAGAAATTTCCCGATAGATGCGTCACCCTTACCATTTACAACACGCGGATAGAATAAATGATCCGCGAAATAATCGCTAACCCGCGATGCCGCGGGGAACTCCGATCACCGGTGGGAGAGTTCTGGTGTATCAGGCCGTTGCATATATTTGCAAATCACATCGTTTTGAAAGATCTTTTCAAATCAGGAAAATATTTTTCCTTCCCGCTTATTTTTACAGCGCGGTAAATTAGGACTCTCCTCCTTTTGACCAGCACACGGGTTTTAAAAAAAGTTGAATTATTAATTTAGATTAGATTTACCTGATTTACCTCTTTCTTTCTTTCTATATATATAAATCAGTAAAATATTTTTCCTTCTCACTTATTATCCACCCGTTTTTACAGCCATAAAGGTAGTGTGATTGGCGATAAATTAGCGTTTGACCGGTTTAAAAAAAAATTATTATTAATTTTAGTTTAGATTTAGATTTACCTCTCTCTTCTATATAAAAGGATTGTGCTTGTGGGTTGCCAATCTCACGACCCCGTTCCCCTTGCAGGAGAACAAAAAAACCTTAAAACAAAAATTTTCCCCTTGAAGGTGAGTTTTGTTTTTCCATCTGTTGGTTTGCAAATTTTCTTCTCTTTTTGTTTCGTTCGGATCCTACATCTGTTAAACTAGTGTTGTTGTGTTCTGTGCATGTACCCAAGTCTTCAGATGGATATGGATTGTGCTCCGAGCGCGTTCGTGATGGATTGGCCCATCCCCCTCTCTTGGCCATTGGGCCCATATGCAGGTTCCGGTAAAAAAAAGAAAAAGAAAAAGAAAAATGACCGGTTTAACCCGTTGGCCCGGTGGAGCTGGCGGGTTAAGGGTTAATGGTCGGCCCGTTTAGCCCGGACATGTAGAAAGAGTCATTGATAATACATATATTGTACATATCTGTAAGATATTTTCTGTCTCAAATCTCAACAATCTCTAAACATTCACATTCAAATAAGATATAACATCAGTACATCACACGAAAATGAGAAACGTTCATACTTGAATACGGCACATAAATTAATGTCAACATCAAAACGTTTGTTTGTCAATACGGCACATAAATTAATGTCAAAGGGACGAGGTCACGAGGACGACGGCAGCTAGGGATTTGGTTGAGGTTCAAATTTTTTTTTTTTTCTTTCATGGACAAACAAACGACGCCGTGTAAGGACTTGGCCCGGTGACCAGTGGCGTAGCTAGGATTTCCCTCAACATGGGTCCGAAATAAAATAAAAATATATAAAATGAAATTACTAAATTTACTACGACTCACAAATAGGAAGGTGGCTTACGGTTTGTGAACTTTGGTTTTGTGTAAATATTAATAGTGAATAAGAATGATCAAAGGTAGATATTAATTGCAAAGTTTCTCGTAGTCTGTTGGAAAACGAGTTAAGCCGCCAGCCGTGAGTTTCCGAGTTCGAATCACACCGCGGGTGGGTTATTACTGTTATTTTTTTAAGTCCTGCCTCTGCCCCAGCCGGTCAGCCCGGCCGATTTCGGCCGGGTTTGACCGGTTTTATCCGGGTTTGACCCGGCTGACCGGGTTCGCCCCTTTCTGGGTTTTTAGGGTTTCAATTCCATATTCTCATTTCCTGTTCATCAATCTGAGTAATTCGTAGATGCTACTAGTGTGTTGTTCTGGAAATCCAGTTATTTTGATTTACCGACTCTGAGGATCGGAAGTTAGAGTCGTTGTTCTGATAAGAATCGTTTCTGGTTTCTTTATTTAGTTTCGTATGGCTCGCTGGGAAGAATTGTTTTGGCTCTGTTGCCTATTTTTGAAGCTAATCAGGGTTGGAGAACTCTCAATATAGTGAATAATAACTACTTGTCAATTGTGAATCCTGGTTATTCACTCACTAGCTACTATAAACATTAAAGCCTAGCGGCGCCTTCATTCATTCATTATATTTTCCACTCTGCCTGCCATATCGATCCTTCCCATCTCCATCTTTTATATATATATGCCATGGACATCCGAAACGAGTTTGTAATCAATCATAAAAAATGCATGTATTTCTATACTACTCATGAGTTGTGTGTTAACTGTTAAGTACTCTCTACTGTTAGAGACTAGTCATAACATCCATGTTGATATGGCTTGAATCGGACTAGTTATCTGGGTGACAACCGGAAGTCACGCGGGTCTCTACGGTGTATGTGTCGTCTATACACGTTTGGGTTTTCTGTCATGGGCCTGGTTTTTAACCTTATTTATTTACCAAATTAGATTAGGGTTAGACCACATGTATAAGTAGTATAAATACTTTTCATACTCATCTGTAATGAGTCTGTAATCTATAATCTCCTAAAGTATAGTGAAACTGGCTCTCTCCTGCCCATGGACATACCTAACACACGCATCTTTTTAGCGAACCATGCACGTAAATCCGTATGTCTTGCTCGTTTCTTACTCTGTCGATCCCGCGATTTTCCGATCCATAGAAACAGTAACTAATTAACAATCCGTCTTGGAAATCCTTGCTTAGTTGCATCAGACTTCCATGACCATTCTATTCTCCTTCATATAAGAGGATTAGTAACATGACAATGAGCTAGCTAATTAGCCTATCCAAACCTATATAGTTCATTCTGAATATGGTGCCAACCAATCCAAGCTAGCAATTCATGCATCTTGAGAAATATGGATACCAACATATATGTTACTGTCGTACGTGATGAACAATAATAAATGGTATGTGGACCAAGCAAGGAAGGGGAAAAAGTAGGTTTTTGTTTGGATTTGCTAAAAGTTAGAGTCTAACAGGATGTGTGGTTTTAATTTGTATAAGTGTGTGGTAAAGCACGTAACAAAACAAGCTTCTGGGTAGGCCACAATATTCTCATCATATCATGGAATATTTACACATTAGCTATAGCTAGCTAGAAGATGATGATGCATTGGTTGGGCGGTTGAAATCAAGTCGATAGAGACGATCGATAGGCACGAAAGATAGATAAATTAAATTGGACTACTTGTACATATGGAACATGAAACATCGATTCAAAGAGGGTCGGTGGAGTACATGGAAACTTCGCATTTGTCATCAGCTTTCATCATCATTGTTTGCATATTTACTACAGTGATGCGGTGTCAGAAATCTAAATGTGGGAGAGGGTGAAAAAAGCTTAAGTTCAAGAGATTTGAACCAGAGCGGATAGTAATTTGAGAACAATATCTGTTTTTTTTTTTTTTAGTTTTGTTTTATAATCTTAGAAAAACTAAATATCAAGAGAAATCATAGCTTCTCATGAACGGTATTCGTGTAACTTCGTGATCGACGATTGTAAATCTAACTAGGAATTCACAGGCTAGCGTGCATAAATCAATTCAAGTTTTTCAGGTTAGGTAGTTAACTAACATTAGAAAACTGGAAAATTCATGTGTGGAAAATTAACTAATTAAATGATTGTTTGGTGGTATAGTAATAATAAGCTAAGGACAAAAGCAGCTGCTATATTATTGTAGATTGATAATGATTGACGACCGCCAATTTCGTCAAGGCCACGAGTCCCTATGGCTCTGGCTGCTGCTCGATCGATCGGCATTTTCAGCTAAGGTCGACCAAAATGTAAGCCGTCGCATTAATTCAATCCGGATAAAACCTAATATCCATGATTAATGAAATACGAAAAAAAATGAGCACCCAAATTATGTGATATGTGACAATCTTCCAACTCCAAATGGGAATGGTCGTGACTCGATTCAGATTGTCTATTCTAATAAAGGATGATAAATTATCTACATACTTACAATCACGATAATATTTGAAGAATGGGATAGTATAAATACAGTATATGTTTTAGTATAGTGATTTGAGTAAAATCATAAAGTTTATTATAACTTAGGTAAATATTAAATGAACATCGTCGCATGACAATACTCTCGTCACGCGACCTTTCTTATGTACATTTTAAAATCCACGTACGTACCCTTCATTATACCCTTTGGATCTTTTTGAATGGGAATTCAACTTATGAGCTTTTCTTTTTTTTTTTTTTTGAATTTTGAAATTGGAATTTATGTTCAAATGAAAATGATTAATTGAGAGAGGAGGCAAATATGGGAGAAAATATTTATTAGCTAGGGTTGTAAAAAAGGACAAATTAAATAACGGGAAATGAACATATATAATAGGTGGGGGCCAAGAAAGGAAGAAGAAGTCACGGGTATCCCTTGAGTCTCGTTGACTCCGATATATATATATATATATGTACAAATACAATCGACACCAAAAATAAATAAATAAAAAGTTTAGAAATTAACTAAAACAAACGAAATGAGAAGTAATTTCAATATTTCCCGTCCAATCATCCACCAATTCCCTTCCTTTGCATTGATTTTTCTCACAATCTACTACTCCTAATGCGAGGTTGGGAAACAGTGCGGTTTGGTCCAGACCGGACCATATATACGGTTTACGCGATTCAGATTAAGGGGTTGGAATACGGAACAGGGATCAAATCGAATATTATATGGTCCATACCAGATTATATTTGTGCAGTCTGGTTCGGTTTGGTCCAGACCAGCAGGCAGACCATGTTGAGTAAACATGAACAGTTTGTTTGGCCTATCAAACCAAAAATCGAACACAATAACCGGGAAAAATACTTGTCTTTTTGTCTTGAAACCTAAATTGCGATATGCATATAAAAATGAAAATTCTGACACCCTAAATCCAAGCAATTGATAAAGAGACAAAGCCATAGTAACCCGGCCAACTTCCACCATAACATCCATCATAAACATCAACAAAATGTCATATAGAGACGCGATCGTCTCTGCTCGTTCTTTGATGGAGTGTGGTATGTGGATCAGGAACGAGGGAGGAGAGTGACCGATAAACCTCAGTTTATGGGCTGCTAATACGAATTAGAAAGTAAGTTGGGTCTAGTCCGATAAACCTCAGTTTGGAGACCAGACCCAAAAATCAAAGGACGAGCTAGGTAAGGTTCTGAGATGGTCTTGGAAAGCCACATGATCGATTTTGGTTGCATCTCCGGGCGTCTTAGCTAGCCAGCCAGCCAGCGCATATACCGATCAATACTAATTAATCTTGTGAATAATGAAGAAAAGATAATTTGGAATGAGAATTAGTGTGGGAGACAAGGACAGAAGGTCCTAAATAAAACCAAAAGAAAAGGGAGGCACCGCGCAAACAAAGGGAACCGTGACATGTCATTATCGAGCTTGTTAAACGCCATTAGATTAGCTTTAGAGGCATCCATCCATCCTACCTTGCTTCGTCTAACCCCACCACCGCCTCTGTGGGTGGGTCCTCTTCTCTATGTTGTAGATCTTTCTTCTGATGAACTACTCCCTCTCTCTCTCTCTCTCTTCCTTCTGGCCCTTAGAAGAAGAAGTAGAGGAATGACTGATGACGTACACGCTTTCATATATTAAACTAACCATTGTAGATTTCCAAACCTAATTTATACTTGCACCCATGTTCTGTTTGGATGACTTTTTGGAAAGCTAACTTACAGACTGTTTGGATCGTGACGGGGGGTTGTCAGATTCACAACCAAGGGTATTTTGGGTATGAGAAAAAGGAATATATTAATTACCTTTTTTGTATTAATTATATTGGGAATTAAAAACCCATATTAAATACAATTTTTTTTCTGAAATTTAAATCCTATACATTAATATCTCTATCTATCTCTCTCTCTCTTCCTTTCTCCAGCAGCCACTCCGCATCGACCGACAAACTTTTTCTCCGGCGAATTCTCTCCGGTAGACTCCCTCCGGCAACCTGAAAAAATGTACCAATGCGTTAAAAAGTGTACCAATCTATTAGTCTACTGGTAATTAATATACCAGTGCTAGTGGTACGCTACCAGTACGTTAAAAAATGTACCAGTACTAGCGGTACCAGTAAAAAATGTACCAGTGCTAGAGGTGCGCTACCAGTACGTTAAAAAATGTACCATTACTAGCGGTACCAGTAAAAAATGTACCAGTACTAGTGGTACGCTACCAGTACAACGATACCACTACCATATTAGTAGCGGTACCAGTAGAGAATAACACAACGCTACTAGCACTGGTAGCACTACCACTAACATTGGTAACGGTACCAGTAGAGAATAACACACAAATAAAACCAGATGATAGTGGTACCAGATGATAGGGGAGCTACTGGTATTGGTACCAGTAGAGACAAACAAAAAATCAGATCGTCGTCCCTCCCACGGCGCACGGAACCAACCCAATCGCACCGCTACCGCCGCCGCACAACCGATCCCTCACGGGACACTTCAGGGACACAAGCAGAGTCAAATTTGCAGCACCGTTGAGCTCGTAGATATTGCAACACTTGTCGGCAGGAGTTGGTTCCATAGAGTTTCCTGAGAAAGGGATCTCTGGTAGTACGAGGCTTCCAATAAAAGTTTTGGTGCACAGATTATCGAAGAGATACAAGGATGGAGGCGATATTGCAATGATCAAAAGAGATGGGCGGAGTGGTACCCGCAAGCTTTCCCCGCGTCGATGTCGGCGTGGAGAGGGACTGCCGCCGTAGCGGAGATCGGCTGAGAGGCGGAGGATTCCATGGTGAGATTCGCACGCCGGCGGCACGATCCCGTCCCAGATCTTTTTGTGGTGGTTGGCGATTACGCCGCTGCGGCCGGCCATGTTGCTCTGGCCCGATAGGATGAAGATCTGCGACGGTGAATCCTGCTGTACGGGAGAGAGGGAGGAGAGAGAGAGGGAGGATGGAGGGTTAGGGTTAGGGTTTTTTTCTTTTTATATGGTAGGGGGAATGATTGGGTGTGGTAAATTTTTACCTTTCCAAAAATATCCTTCCTTTAATCTTAGCCGTTAATTTAAAAAAAGAAGAAAGAGACAGGAGAGAGAGCGTATCCAAGGTCTATGAAGTGGGTTGTGAATCTGACAACCCCCTTAGGGGTTGTCACCGTATCTCGTCCCGTTTGGATCGTGTTTTACTGCTGTCGATATGAAGAGTATTTGTCAGTTATTTTGTGTTGGTAAAAATAACAATGTAATGACGATATTAATGAATTAGATACACCTTAGTTCAAGATAAAACGGGTTAAAAATGGAATGACAGAAAAAAAAAAAGAAGGGAAAAAAACTGGAAATCTAGGGGCCGGGTGTGCCCACTTGCAGGAAAGGAAAGGCTCTCACTCTCTCGCACCGTTTGATGTGCTAGACAGAATCAGTCAGTCAATCAATTTGCTCAAACCCAATTCCCAAACCCCAAAAAAGAAAAATTAAAAAAAAAAGGGTCCTCTTCTTCCTGCTTCTTCTCCATTAACTACTTCTCTAGCTACCTCCTCCCCCTGGAGGCCGCGTCTATATATCCATCCATCCCCATAAACCAACAAAACCCAGAAAACAAAAACATAAACACTCCCCCCAAAAACTATAGCTGCTGCTGCTACGAGCCAGAACAGTGACGACTGAGTTGAGAGAAATTAACGACGGCGGATCGAGGGGAATTGGTCCAAGGAGATCCAGAGAAGAGAGAGAGAAAAGATGAGCAGAGACGAGAGGAGGTGGAGGTGGGAGTAATAGCAACAACAGCAGTGGCGGTGGGAGCAAGGAAGTGGTAGCTGTAGTAGTGGAGGATCATGATGAAGATGAGCACGAGCATGCCCGGTTTTAGGTTCCACCCCACGGAGGAAGAGCTGGTCGAGTTCTACCTTCGCCGTAAGGTTGAGGGCAAGCGCTTCAACGTTGAACTCGATCATTACTTTCTTGGACCTTTATCGCTACGAGGTCTGCCCGTCTCTTTTCTTCACACTTTCCCTCTCTGTCCGTTTCTGCATCTGGCTTAGCTATATATCAACAAGCTCAAATATCTTATCTCTATATACCTTTACTTCCACCAGCTCCAGGCCCGTCTTCCCCCTCCAAATTCTTGCCGCCACTAAACCCCCTCGATTTTGATTCTTATCTATACTTACTTTGATGAAATATGATTGCATGCATGCTTTGCTTTAATCGTATCATACTAATGAAACTGCAGCGATGGCGGCGATAGGGGAGAAGGAGTGGTTCTTCTATGTGCCTCGGGACAGGAAGTATCGGAACGGGGACAGGCCGAACACCTCCGGCTACTGGAAGGCGAGGTCCATCGGCCTGAAGAAAACCCTAGTGTTCTACTCCGGGAAGGCACCGAAAGGGATCCGGACCAGCTGGATCATGAACGAGTACCAACGACACACAACGCTACCAGAAGGTGTGCTTTACCTTCCTCCCTTAATTTAATTTGCTTATATATATGCACTGGATCCTCTCGTCTTTCTTCCCCTAGCTAGCTGATTAATCATCATAATTACTATACCTAATTGTTCTTAATTATGTGATGCTCTTGATTCCTTCTTTTCATCTCCATAACTTATCATCATATACACCATTTTTTTTCCGGTACGAAGATCATATATGATTTTTTATATGTCCTTCATCAAATTAAACACTCCAACCCTAGCTACCTACATGTATATATATATGAAGCCTAAATACCCACACATACATACATGTCCCTTCTTAAGAAAATTCGAAATTTTCTTGACACTTTCATCGTATCAGCGGTTTAGTGTCTCGCGATGAGGTTAATTATATACAGTCTTATCTAGGCGCTCATGTGTGTTAATCCCCCTACGTACATATATATCTACAAAAAGATGTTCAAAAAACAAATAACAGTTCATACACACTGTTACTTGTTAACACAAATGAGATACAAGCATGATCCACTTCATCTGAGCATAAGAATATATAGCAAAAAAGGACATGAAAAATTCCATTCCCATGACAGTAGATCGATCGATCGATCCACCAGAAAGAACTAGGGGGTGTCGGTCCGGTTTTGGGTTTTCGGGTTTAACCGAAACCGAACCGAGAATGGTGTTGTCGGGTTCGGGTTTTCGGTTTCAACCTGAATATGCGGTTTATCGGTTTCGGTTACGTTGTAACCCGAAACCCGAGAAGAACCCGATACCGACCTCAGCTCTGCGTTATGCCCTTTCGGGTTTGGCGGTTCGACTTCGGTCTTCGAGACTTTCTCATCTCATCTGAAACTCTCAAGCCTTTTAATTTCAAGGCATCGACAGAGGAATGAGGTGAGTACAGAGGTGGTTTCGCCTCCTACGGTTCAGGCGGCGCATCTGAGATTCTGGGTAACGTCGACGGCGCATCTGGGATTCCGGGTAACGTCGGCGGCGCATCTGGTTCCGTTCGAGATCGAAGCTGGGTAACGTCAGGCGTCGCATCTAGGTCTGCTCGAGATCGAAACTTTCCACGTTGGTAGCGCAACTGGGCGACGGATCTGGTTCCGTTCAGGTCGAAGCTTTCCTCGTCGGCAGCGCATCTGGGTATGTCGTAACGTCGGGCGCCGCATCGAAAGCTTTCTCCGATATGGTTTTATGGTTTCCCAGATTCAATTCCTCCCCTGGTTTCGTCGATTCCTTTCCTAGCTTCGTCGATCCGAACAATTCTCGTGGTGGTGGGATGGTGGCAGAGGATGCAAAAGCAATAATGAAGCAGGAGCCGGTCGAAAAAAAAACAATGAAGCAGGAGGGTGCGGTAGGGATTGGAACAATTATGGGGTGAGGATGAGATGGAATTGAAAAGTAACAAGCAGTTCTTGGTGGGAGTGGAGGCGAGGAGAAGAATGAATGGAATAGAAATTGGGGTTTTGGAATTAAGAATGAAACAACAATGCTGCTGGGCGGAGTGTTCAAGGAGGAGGACGTTCGGTTTTCGGGCTCAAGCAAACCGAACCGAAACCGTCTATACACTTTTCGGGTTCGGGTACCCGAAACCCACAAGACAACATTTCGGGTTACATGCAAAGGGCAGGTCCGGGTTTGTGGGTTTCGGGTTCGGTTACCCGACCCGAACCGAACAGACACCCCTACAAGCGTGTGTGTAGCTTTATTTAATTTAATTTCAACCAATACAATCCATAGCTTAATTTTACATGGATTACTACACCGGATCGGCCGGTCGAATCGGGAAAAAAAAATCGAACAATCGGGCCTGATCTAGAACGGTACATGTGACCAGTGAAATCTTTAGTGTTGGTTGGTATCAGTCGTGGAATTAGCCTAACGTGTCCAAACGAACATTATCAATCAAATTGCCAAAAAAGCCTCTTCTTTTCGAGTTCATCATCGACTTCCCTTCCACCAGAATCCAGATCCTTCGGCAATCTCCCTCTCGTTGGATCTAGACCCTTCAGCGAAGCTCCCTCCCACCAGACGACAACCTCGGACCACCAGTAACCAGATCCGGTCCCTATCGAGCTCCGGAGTCCATACCTTCCCGTCATTCCTGCCTATTATCCCTCAAATTCATGTTATCGACGAGAATGCTCGTTGCTGAACTTCCCACCTCCATATATAGATTCTAGGCCCGTTGACAACCTAACACCTCCAGTCCCTAAGTCGTCACATACCTTCTGATCGTTGGCAAAGATCCTTAAGACTACATTTCAAAGTTCAGAAGCTATGACTTCACGGTGCTTATAGATATCATAATCACATTGACTAGACTGAAAAGTTACATTTCTGAATTCAGGAAAACTCGTATAACTTTATATTTTATTTTCAACCCATCGTGGGAAAAAAATTCTATAATAAAATTTATTTGTCTGTTGAGATGTTATACAAAATAAACAAATTTGCACCAGCAATCGGATATCCAAACGCAAAATTACAAACCCCTTAATTATCAAGTGTTTATAGTAATTGAAACCATATAACAATATCAAATTGTGTTGTGTTTCTTTATTAGTGCGGCTAGTGAAAAGACTTGATCTATTCATTTCATTCTAAGAGGGGAAATTTGAAAGGGACAAGGCGCATATATGCACATAAAAATTTTGTTTGGTTTGGTGGTCAATCCTTCTTCCCTTTCCAATATTTTGTGCCTTTGCTTTGTCGTCTAATGACTTACATAGCTAATAATAATCAAGATGGAATTGTTCACCCAACACACACTTTGGAATTTAAGAATTCACCTAAACAATCATTAACAAGCTTGAAATGTAAGGATTCCCATATTTGAATATGATGATATAGTTTGAGATTTAAGGATCACAGAATTCTCACCGTTTATGGACTTATACACGTTTGTGCTTGGTTTGTAACCTTTTATTTTTCAGATTGGATTATGTTAGTTTGTATGGAGAAAGTACTATATATACATTCTAAAGTATGGTGAAACTGCTCTCTTCTGCCTGTGGACGTAGCTAATGCACATCATGTTAGTGAGTCACATAAATTTTTGTGCTCTTTACTTTCTTGTATTTTCGATTATTCAATCCGTTCTAACATAATATTTACATACATTTTCAAGCAAAACATATCTAACATCATTTGGTATTCTGCTACTTAAAAAAAGATCCAATTTGAGAAGAGATACAATTTTTTGACACCACGTATCCGAGGTTCGGATTAACCTCACGACTCAAATCGTCAACATTGCAAAAATCAGCATGCTTAGATGTGCATTTGACTTAGTAAGACTGATTTCAAAAGTGGGAATTTGAAGTGAAATTCATTTTATCGGCAGAAACTTAAAGTGCGTAATTGAAGTAGCCACTCTTCCTCATGTTAAATTCTTTAGTAAAAAATATAGACATGTAGTAAACTTTGTCAAATACATAAATTGTAGGTTAAAGAAGAGTCATTGTCTAGTCTTCAATCCTTTTGGATTAGCATCATTTTATTGGTTATACTTGTGGCTTGGAGTTATGACCATTGGCATCATCAATTCATCATGCCAATAAATAAGAAAAGTTCAACCTTTTGGTCAAAAAAGAAGTACCACCATTCTAAATTCCATATGACAAATCAAAATTAATGAATGTTGCTTAAGATTTATCTTTTGGGTGATGCCTAAATAGACAATTGCTGAAAAATCATGTGACATGATTTGAATCTACCGTTATGGTGATTTGAGTTAATTTCTAACATTGATAAAAGGATCCTCATCGGTCATTAAAGTAAAATTATTGACTATTTAGAAAAATTACCCTAAATTTCTTTCTTTTAAATAAAAAGTAGTTTTTTAGTAAGATGTTAAATTAATGAAACAAAATAAGTTACAAGTAACTAAAAAGAAGTGGGAAAAGCAAATGTTAAATCCTAAACTTTAATTTGGCACTTTCACTGCTCCTTTTTCATTAAACTTATAATTACTTTGTGGTAGTAATTGGTGTCCATCATCACATGATAAAGTCTGAGCTAGTGGCAAATTTTGCAATCATCCATTGCGCATGCCTAATGGAAAAGAGCCATCCCCTTTTGACAACCTTTGCCAAAATTGGTCAAATGAAGATGTGATCCATTGCCCATCCAATTTCCACTATTCAATAATTGAAACTTGAGACGTCCCAAATTTATACTAGTTGGCGGTCGAAACTAAGCGTCGTTTGGTTGGAACAGTTACAATGCATGCAATGTCCACGATGCATTGTTTTTCTGAATTTTCTGCGCAAATAATACATGCATTGTTTGCTTGATTTGACACAAACTACCATTCAAAATGAGTGATAGCTAAATCTCAAGTTTTCGTTGAGATTGTTTGATGGAGATTGTTGTGTTTTCTTCGCCTTCCAAATATGTCCCTACCTTTTTTATGTGTGTTGCTTTTTTATATAAAAAACAAAGGGTAAAAATGACATTTCACCCAAAAAGTTATATAATTTATTTAAATACTACAATAATTATCATAGAAATCAAACGATGTAAATTACAATACACCAATTTTCTTATATGCATGTATATTATTATACATACATTGATGACAAATACATCGATTTAACTTATCATCAAAACCAGACGACCCTAAGTTACTTTTATTATAGATACTATAAAAACAAACGGTTCATGTATTTCGAAACAGTTGAGCACATGAACAAGTAACAGTGTGACATGTCGATTGTGTTGATATCATGCACGACGATTGTAAAATGGACTTCTTTAAACTCATATCCCACGACAGATTATACCATTATCATGTAATATATTAATGTTAAACTCAATTCCTGTGTTGATACCATGCACAACGATTGTGATTCAAGAAACACCAAGCAACTCCACATCCCAAGCTCCACAAACTCAACATATTTTACAGAGTCCAAAAGGCCAAAGAAAGCAGCAATCACTAATATACAACATGATGGCACAATGCAAGGACATCAGCCAATATCCTTCACAACAAATTTACCATTACCCAACTCGCCCCTATATGTCATAAATGGTCAGGCAGACTTCAACAAACAATTCTATTTCTTCAAACTCCCTATGAATTCCGGCAAAAACCTCAATCCAAAAGTTTATGAACTTTGCTGTGAGAGATGAGTAAAAGACCACAAACTTTCACAAGTTGGGAACTAGTCTTTCATCAACTTAGCCTCATAGCCTCCCTCGGCTCGCTTCACAAGAACGTACGGCATATGAGTCCCCAGGAGCTTGTCCCATAAGGGGAAGAACGGCTGGGAGTAGTTGTACTTTGTACCTTGGAGCTGGTGATGGATGTCGTGGTAGGCAGAGTTGTTGGCGAAGAACAGATGGAAGATGTTGCCAGGCAACCAGAGTCCACAGTGGTCGTCGACTGTTTTCACCGTGGCGAAGCAGAAGAAGATCACCCCGGTTCTCGCGGTCATCCCAGAGGCGAGGAAGGAGATTGCACCTCCAACTGTGTCGAGCAAGAGACCCTCCAGTGGGTGGTTGTAAAGGGCTCCAATGGCATGAGGGACGACCAAACGATGGTGTTGAGAATGCACATGGCGGTATAGGAATTTGTTCTGATGCATGTAGCGATGAACGAAGTACTGCCATGTGTCCATGACAAACATTGCTAGAACGATCTGGACGATTTGGAAAGGAACGGAGGGTTGGATGACAATCTCAGATGCAGCTGTAGTTGATGTCAACTGCAAGAAATAGGAAACAGCGGAGTAGTAGTCATTAGTAATTACAAGAAACAGCCTAGTTACTATTGAGCTTCTAGCTTATCTTCTAGTTTAAACTATCTGATATATGTATCTTACTCAAGTTTGCAATTCCTGTTCCAAATCTAAAATCAATTAAAAGGTCAGAGAATTTGCCTAATTGCCTAGTGACAAGCAACAGAAGAAACTTGGTGACAGGACACATACTTCTGTCTCTTCAATAACTTGCTTCCTTTTCCCATACACAATGGTACAAACCAAAATGAAACCTGGAAAGAGGGATTATGCAAACCTAGGAGGACACATTAGATCCAATCTCCGCAGAAGTTGCAATTTCAGACTTTACTTTCTAACACCTACTATATAAACCACTCCCATCTATAAGCTGAATTCTATTCCAGCAACAGAGACTGTATTCCTCCTACATATACAATTTTTTTTCGTGGTTTAACCATTCCACACCTTTTGACACTAACTTGCTACTGAGGAATCGGGCTCTTTCTCGTGTTCTTATTGAAGAAGGCTGATCATAGGCCATGATAATAATGAACTTCTCAAGATTCCTTCCATCAGTTGAAAACTCCATTAAAAGTGTTTTAGAAAGCACATGACATTGATAATTCTCCCAAGAGATAGCGTGCAAATCGAACTCCAATAGTGGTTAGCATCAATGTGTTCGAGTTCGACACAAACCTATAGTTGAAGAACCACCAAGCCAGTAACACGAAAAAGACCCCATCAAACCCAGTTTGAGAATTTCGGAACACGTCCTAATAACTGATAGCCTTATCAAGAATTCTGCCTAACAAAAACCCTACAACTCCCTTTTCCACCAATTGCATATTGCATTCGATTCACAAGAACATTTATAGCAGAACCAGCAGGACATAAATCAGTGAAGTAAAGGGGGAGGCTTTGAGGAGCAGGACTTACCAAGAAGAGCAAATGAGCTGCCCCAATCTGCACCAGCTGCTGAATCACAACGCCCTTAACCACACTACCCAACGGCACCAGATTCCTCTTCTCTTCTTCTTTCCTTGTATGCAATCGATACTGATCCAACGGCGGCAGAATCTGATAGAACCCAGCGTACACCCAGTACACCACTATTGGGGCAAATGTCCCCATCGTTTCATCACTCACATAACCTTCCCAAAACACCATTCTCTAAGATCCCAACTCCAAAAACCCACCGCCCTTCACAACCTTCCCCAACTCCAAATCTCAAAAAACCCAACAACGATGGCTCTCAGAAGAACAAAGGGATGCCCGGAATAAGAACCCGGCAGAGATCCAACATCTAAATCGGGGAAAAGGCAGCTGAAAAGATAGAATTCCCTCAGCTGCAGATCTCGCAACTATGGAAGACAATACAAACCGAAACGGAGTGCAAAATCAAGCTAGATGTTTCAGGTAAATCTGCCGAAAACTGGGTGCTACCTCCAGCTCGCTTGCAGGCGAGGGATTCTTGTTCACCGGCCCAGCAACTAGACGACGGCAGGTAAAGGACGGAACACGTTGCTACGGGGGAACAGAAGCGACGGTGAGCTACGAATCGGAAGAAGAAGGATCGATGGTGGCAGTAGTGAGAATGTACGCACGAGATGCCTCAGTACGGACGGGAGCGGCCGTCGGGTTTTGTGGATTTGGAGCTTACCGGCGAGATGCGGCTTCTCTCTGCAGTAATGCTGCCGTCTCTCTCTGTTCTTTGTTGGCGTTTTTGGAAGCTTTCTCCAGCTTGGTTTTGGAGACTTCGGACTTTGGAGCTTTCCTTTTCCTGACTTGTTCTGTTTTTATTTTCGTGGCTGGAAAATTCAAATTTCTTTGTATTTCCTTTTCACCAATTAAATTAATGTAAACCGATAATTACAAGATAACTATAGTTTGACCAATTTAATAGGTGTGCCATTTTTCCCCGGCAATGAGAGCCTTTTATTCCAACCCGAGACAAGGTAAACCAGCAGCATTACAACAATGCTGTGACATGAAAGTGTACGCGCTCACCTGGCCATGCCGTCTACGGCCTAGCACGGTACGGTTAGTGTTATGGAAAACGTTTCACAAAAGTATGTTTCTTGCCACACAAGTCATATATAGAAATCGACACATGCATAAACAACGCCCGAGCCAATAGAATTTACTATTTCTCCTTAAGGAATTTAGTTCCCCTCTACGGTATCCAAGGTTATTGGAACTATTCCTCCCAGGATAGAACGGACGTACCTTTTTTGGCTGTACCGGTACTTGAAACACCAGAATCCGACGAACGCAACGATCGGAGAGAAGTCACACGACTCTGTTTTTCTTTATGAGTTTGTAGAGAGGAAATGCAATGAAGAATGAAAAATTCTTTTATCTTTTGGCCAGAAAAAATTTCTTGGGAAAATAACTTGTGTAGAAAACAGAGGGGGCAGGTGTTTATTTATAGACAATGAAGGGGTGCGAGTGAAGGGATGTGACCCTTCAAGTGGGTGGTTACACCCCAACCATTGCAATGGTTCAGTGAAGGGATGTGACCCTTCAAGTGGGTGGTTACACCCCAACCATTGCATCAGTTCGCCATAGTATTTGGACCGGTTGGTTCATTCCAACCGCCACATCGGTTCGGTCCGATTTGGTTCAACTTGGTTTAACCAATAACTCACCAACTATTGGCTTCTTCCCCTTTTCATTCTCATTCACACCTTTCAAATCCCAACAATCCCCCATATGAAAGAGAATGCTAAGTTTTGAAAACTATGCAAAAAACTGTGTGACTCTCAACTAAGAATTAGTTGTATTAGGATAGGTGGGTTTCCCTTTGAACCTTCCCTAGTGAACATATATCGAGTATACTCACCAATCGGTAGAAATGATATCTTTGAACCGTCGGTTTTCTTGTATACTAAGACAACATATGTCACACAACCAACTCTTATCCGCTCGTTGGTTCTCATTGTTGTGTTCGTTTCAGCCATGAACACCGCCTGGTTTCATGAGTGCGTAGAGAATTGGCCTTCTTTTATTCTCCTTGAAGCGGCTCCACTTCACACTCACATAGGTGATTGCTAAACATGTATTCCGAAAATACACTATTTGATCACAACACGTGTCAAACTTAGAAACCATTAAAAACCTTTCATATTTAGGTTTACCCTTATATTTTGGACATTGTCTCATCATGAGAATGGACTTTAAATAATTTGACAATGTCGGACCATCATTCACAACTTTGTTTGCTCCTTGAACCTAGAGGTTGGGTCTGCCAATCCTACTTAGGTAGAGTTACCGCCATGTTGATTTGTCCTAGGCCACAGTCCCATTCCCCTCGATGACTTCTCAACTAATGCTCTAGTTAGGCCTTTAGTTAACGGATCCGACACGTTATCTTTTGATCTTACATAATCAATCGAGATAACTCCACTAGAGATTAATTGCCTCACTGTGTTATGTCGTCGACGTATGTGACGAGACTTTCCATTATACATAACACTTTTTGCCCTTCCAATAGCCGCTTGACTATCACAATGTATGCTTATTGGGGTTAACGGCTTGGGCCAAAACGGAACATCTTCCAAGAAGCTCCGAAGCCATTCCGCTTCTTCACCGGCTAAGTCCAAAGCTATGAACTCTGATTCCATTGTGGATCGGGCAATACAAGTCTGCTTGGAGGATCTCCAAGATACTGCTCCCCCACCAACCGTAAATACATATCCGCTAGTGGATTTGATTTCGGTTGAGCCGTGATCCAATTTGCATCACAATATCCTTCAAGCACTGCCGGATAGCTGTTGTAGTGCAAAGCGAAATCTTTGGTATGTTGTAAATACCCTAAAACACGCCGCATTGCCATCCAATGCGTGCTATTTGGATTACGTTGATATCGACTCAATTTACTTATTGCGCAAGCAATATCTGGTCGAGTACTATTCATGATGTACATTAGACATCCCAAAACTCGTGCGTAATCCTCTTGAGATTCACTTTTACCTCCGTTCTTTGTAAGAACAAGGTTTGGATCAATCGGCGTGTTCACTTCTTTGATATGCAAATACTTGAATTTATCAAGAATTTTCTCTATGTAGTGAGACTGCGATAATGCTAGACCTTGAGGCGTTCTAGATATCTTTATTCCAAGAATAACATCCGCCTCACCCAAGTCTTTCATGTCGAAAGATCTTGATAGCATTCGCTTTGTCTCTTCTATGTCAATAACGTTCTTACTCATTATCAACATATCATCTACGTATAGACAAACAATGACTTCGTGATTAGGTGTGTTCTTGATATATACACACTTATCACATTCGTTAATCCGAAAACCGTTTGACAACATAACTGCGTCAAATTTAGCATGCCATTGTTTGGGTGCTTGTTTAAGTCCATATAGGGACTTCACCAATCTACACACCTTATGTTCTTGTCCAGGGACAACGAACCCCTCTGGCTGTTTCACGTAGATTTCTTCCTCCAGGTCGCCATTTAGAAAGGCCGTTTTTACATCCATTTGATGGATTTGTAGACCATACACGGCAGCCAAAGCAATTAGCATCCGAATAGATGTAATTCTTGTGACTGGGGCGTATGTATCAAAATAGTCAAGGCCTTCCTTTTGTCTAAATCCTTGGACCACAAGTCTTGCCTTGTACTTGTCAATAGTACCATCATCTTTCAACTTCCTTTTGAAGATCCATTTATATCCCAATGGTATGCAACCGGGAGGAAGATCCACCAAATCCCATGTGTGGTTATTCAAAATGGACTCAATTTCACTATTGACAGCCTCCAACCAATATTGAGCTTCAGAAGACTTCATCGCTTCTTCAAATGTCTTTGGCTCATCTTCCAACAAAAACGTTAAGAAGTCGGGACCGAATGACGTAGGCACCATTTGACGTTTACTACGCCGTGGCTCATCAATATTGGAATCACTTTCCAATGAATCATCCCGAGGTCGCTTGGAGCTTTCTCCAACGACTACATCCTTATTCCTATACGGAAATATGTTCTCAAAGAACTCTGCACTATCAGATTCTATAACCGTATTAGGATGGATGTCAGAGATTTGTGATTTATAGACCAAAAATCTATATGCTTTGCTATTATTGGCATAACCAATAAAGATGCAATCTATCGTTTTAGGTCCCAATTTGACCTGTTTCGGTTTTGGAACTCGAACCTTTGCCAAACACCCCCACACTTTGAAGTAATTCAAGTTTGGTCTTTTACCTTTCCATTTTTCATACGGAATGGTTTGCGTCTTACTGTACGGTACTCTATTGCGTATTTGTGTAGCAGTAAGAATAGCTTCCCCCCACAAATTCTGAGGTAAACCCGAATTTAGGAGTAAAGCATTCATCATGTCCTTCAAAGTTCTGTTCTTCCTTTCCGCAACTCCATTTTGTTGTGGGGTATATGGAGCCGATGTTTGGTGAATAATTCCATTTTCTAGACATATTTCTTCAAATGGAAATTCATATTCACCACCTCTATCACTTCTGACCATTTTTATTTTCTTGTTGAGTTGGTTCTCAACTTCTGCTTTGAATTGTTTGAATGCATCAATTGATTCATCTTTGCTACTTAGCAAATATACATAGCAATATCTAGTGCTATCGTCGATAAATGTTATGAAGTACTTTTTCCCACCTCGAGATGGTGTCGACTTCATGTCACAAATGTCAGTGTGAATTTAGTCCAATGGTTCAGAAGTTCTTTCAATCGACTTGTAGGGATGTTTCGCAAACTTTGATTCCACACATACTTGACATTTAGATTTATTGCATTCGAACTTGGGCAACACTTCCATGTTTATCATTTTCCGTAAGGATTTGTAATTCACATGTCCCAAACGGGCATGCCACAAATGATTTGACTCAAGTAAATACGCGGAAGAAGCGTTATTATTATTAATAGCATCGTTCACGGTAATTACATTGAGCTTGAAAAGGTCATTATTAAGATAACCTTTTCCTATATACACATCATTCTTGCTAATTACAACCTTATCGGAAACAAACACAACCTTGAATCCGTGCTTGACAAGAAGCGAGGTAGACACCAAATTCTTGCGAATTTCCGGTACATGGAGGACGTTGTTGAGGGTCACAACCTTGCCCGATGTCATCTTCAAGACAATCTTTCCATATCCCTCGACCTTGGCTGTGGAGGAGTTTCCCATGAATAATTTCTCCTCCGCCTTAGCCAAAGAGTAGGAAGTGAACATCTCTTTGACTGCACAAACATGGAGGGTAGCGCCAGAGTCTATCCACCATTCTCTTGGATTCCCTACCCAAGTTACATTCAGAAAGAACGGCACAAAGGTCATCCATATCCATATCATCAACAATATTAGCTTGACCTTTGTTCTTCTTCTTCTTGTGGGTCTTGCACATCGAGGCTTTATGCCCTTGTTTCCCACACTTGAAACAAGTACCATTAATCTTCTTGTTACCATTGTGGTTCTTTGTGCCGGAAGAACTTGGAACAGAGTTTCTCTTCCTCTTCTTTCCCTTGGAGTCACTCTCCACAATGTTTGCACCAGAGATGGTTGATTGTCCACGGCTCTTCTTCTCGGCCAACCTATTGTCCTCTTCAATCTTTAGACGGACAATTAGGTCCTCAAGCGTCATCTCCTTACGCTTGTGCTTTAGGTAACTCTTGAAGTCCTTCCATGCGGGAGGCAACTTCTCTATGAAGGAAGCAACTTGAAAAGTTTCGTTAATAATCATTCCTTCATTAAGAAGATCATGAGTAATTACCTGAAGCTCTTGGACTTGCGTCACAACGGCCTTGGAATCAACCATCTTATACTCCAAAAACTTAGCCGCAATGGATTTCTTCAATCCTGCATCTTCGGCCTTGTATTTCTTCTCTAGCGCCTCCCATAATTCCTTAGAGGTCCCTATGGTGCTATAGACATTGTACAAAATGTCATCTAGACCATTTAGAACATAATTCTTGCAAAGGAAGTCAGAATGTTTCCAAGCTTCAACTGCAAGAAATCTATCTTTCTCTGGCACTTCCTCGTTAGGATTTGGGATCTCTTCTTTGATGAACTTTTGAAGTCCCAAAGTAGTGAGATAGAAATACATCTTTTGTTACCAATGCTTGAAATCTACACCGGAAAACTTGCCGGGTTTCTCCGCCGGTGCAAGCAAGTGAGTAGCAACTTGAAGTGGAGTACTTTGAGTTGATGTTACCGGATTTGGGTTCTCCCCATTTATTTCAGAACCAGAAGACATCTTTGTTCTTCACTAATTTCCTTTCTCTAGAAATAGAAACCACAACACGTATTAGTAATCACTAATACCCACGGGTAGAAAACCGAAGAGGTTTAGACTCGTTCGCAGTAGGAAATCACACTCTTTCCAAAGAAAGAATAATTCTATATGACCACAATATATATCACAACAAAATTATATTAGAAGTAAGAATCCACAACATATATAGTGGCAGAACTATTTAGAATCAGTATATAAACAAGAGTAGATATATATATACCTGAACCAGAAAGTTCAGTGAAGTATGGCGACAATTAACAAACAATTTGATTAATTAAGTACAGAACCGAGACTCGAATACAAACATATATTAACGGAGACCTAAAGCATGCAATTTCAGCCAAACAAAAGATCATAAACATTCCATCACCAAGCCGACGAAAGCAAGAAGGATTATGCTGATTGATTAATAATAACAATAGTAACGGTCACTCATAACCATTAACCACAACACCCTGATTACTAACCACTGATAATCACGAGGCAAGGCATATATATATAATCAGAAAATAATATATATATATATATACCGAACACAAAAGCCATAGTCCAGAAGCAGAAGTATTTGGGTAATCCATTTAAATTGCATCATCAATTAATCACCAATCAACAGATTTACAAAATGAACAGATTTCTATATCAACTATGTGAAGCAAACAGTATACGAGAATCATTACTGAATAAATTTCTTAAGATTGTTATGGAAAACGTTTCACAAAAGTATGTTTCTTGCCACACAAGTCATATATAGAAATCGACACATGCGTAAACAACGCCCGAGCCAATAGAATTCACTATTTCTCCTTAAGGAATTTAGTTCCCCTCTACGGTACCCAAGGTTATTGGAACTATTCCTCCCAGGATAGAACGGACGTACCTTTTCTGGCTGTACCGGTACTTGAAACACCAGAATCCGACGAACGCAATGATCGGAGAGAAGTCACACGACTCTGTTTTTCTTTATGAGTTTGTAGAGAGGAAATGCAATGAAGAATGAAAAATTCTTTTATCTTTTGGCCATAAAAAATTTCTTGGGAAAATAACTTGTGTAGAAAACAGAGGGGGCAGGTGTTTATTTATAGACAATGAAGGGGTGCGAGTGAAGGGATGTGACCCTTCAAGTGGGTGGTTACACCCCAACCATTGCATCGGTTCGCCATAGTAGTTGGACCGGTTGGTTCATTCCAACCGCCACATCGGTTCGATCCGATTTGGTTCAACTTGGTTTAACCAATAACTCACCAACTACTGGCTTCTTCCCCTTTTCATTCTCATTCACACCTTTCAAATCCCAACAGTTAGAGCATGAGCACGGGCACGAAATAAATGGGTCAGCCCGGCACGAGCACGAATAATTTATGGGTCGTGCCGGGTCTAAACTTCATGTGCACTGGCATGGGCACGACATGGTATATAAGTGGGTCGTGTCGGGACTAATGTTTTGAAATTTTATTGAGTATAAGAACGGGCAAATTTAGTTCAATTAATTGACTTTAAACCATATACCAGGAAACCGGATCGTACCGGCCGGTTCAACCGGAAATTGGACCAAAAGCGGTACGGTGGGCTGAATGTGCTGATTTTACCGTGCCGACCGGTTTTTTCGGTTTGACCGGTTGAACCGGCCGGTACGATCCGGTTTCCTGGTTGTATAATGCTCTATTTGGTTCTTTTTTTGATGGATTATATTTTTTATACTATCGCATTTCATTTCTCTATCAATAGTGAAAAACAGTATTTACCAATACAAAACGGTTGAACCACGGTCGTACCACAAAATACCATACTAGAAAGGAATCCGGTATGATGTCCGGTACGGTTTCCTTTACCATGCTTTAATCTTGTTTTAAAACTATTTTCTACATATAGAAAATAATGTATTCACGATTAATTTGCCAGATGGACCCTAGAAACGATTTAAACGGGCTGGATCAAATGCTTTCAAAAAGTCCACATAACCCAAATGGTAGTCTGGGCTGCTGGATGGCCTAGGCCCGCTCTTAAGGCGGTTCGACTTGGGCTCAGAGCTTTGAAGCCCTCAGCCCCTCAGCCAAAAATCCCTTCAGCGCATCATCGTAGTTGAAAAAGAAATAATATAAACAAAAATAAAAGACAAAAAAGATGATCTATGAAGAAAATTGCCAATTTGCCATTGCGCAACTGCTCTACTACGCGGCTTCTTTTCTGATCGACCACAACAGCGCCACACAGATATTTTTAATTTCCCCTTTTTTCCCTGTCTCTTTTCCGAAATCCCTCGTCTTCAGTTTCCTTCGTGCCGAAGATCCGAACCCACTCCCCGCAGCGCCGCGATTTTCCGATCACGATCGCCGGACCATGTCGATGCTCGACGCCTTCTTCAGCAACAAGGGATTCAAAGCTGCAAAATGGTGAGCTTAATCTTCCGTGTGATTGCTTGAAAAAAATTTCCAATTGAATCTCGTCGCCGCGGGAACGGGTTTTAATTTGTCGACGGAAGCAGTGTTTGTTTCCCGGGGAATAATGTTGTGGCGCGAAAGCGAGATGGCGGGAGTTGGATCCCAATCTCATTGTAGTTTAGAACTTTGTGTCTGCAAGTGGAGATTTTGGTGACAATTGGGATTGAGGTTTTTGGAGTTCGGATTGCCGTTTTTAGGGGGTTTGGGTTCTCTACTTCTATATGCTTTTTTATGGATCTTTGTCCCTCTTTTTGTGCGATCAGTAAAACTCTGCTGAAGCTGACGATACCGCGGATTAAGCTGCTGAGGAACAGGAGAGAGGTTCAGATTAGGCAAATGCGCCGTGATATCTCTAAGCTTCTAGAGAATGGACAGGAAGCTACTGCTCGGATTCGTGTATGTTGCTGCTTTCACTCTCGGCTTACTAAGATTTTTCAGTTGGTAAGGTCCAATTGGGGGGCTTCTTTGCTTAATGTTGTGTGGATTTCAGGTTGAACATATTATCAGAGAAGAGAACATGATGGCGGCTCAAGAGATCCTTGAGCTCTTCTGTGAGCTTATTGCCGTTCGGCTTCCGATCATTGAGGCACAAAGGTCATTCCTTTGAATCATCCCTGAAAGCTGGTTGCTCATGACTTGTGATTTTGCCGAAGAAATTGTGTTTTGTAAAAGAATTAGGACTATATTAGCTGCTAGCTTGTCGCATAGGGAATTTTAGAAACTGTGCTTTGGCTTTTCAGTAGATTAAAGCTATCCTGAGGTTGCTTCTTTTGAATATGTTCATCAGTACAGATATGCCCAAATAGCTTCTATAGTGCGGTATTGAATGATAGGATACATTACATTAGGATAGCTAGTTTCTGTACTTGGAATCATTCCTAGACTAAAATGGCTAAAAAACTTGGAACTATCTTCAGGGAATGTCCTTTAGATTTGAAGGAAGCAATATCCAGTGTCTGCTTTGCTGCACCAAGATGTGCCGACCTGCCAGAATTGCTGCAGGCGCAAATGCTGTTTGCATCCAAGTACGGAAAAGATTTTGTAACTGCTGCTACTGAACTCATGCCTGATTGTGGGGTTAATCGCCAGGTTTGATAAGCTTCACTACAGACTGTTTAGTAACAAGATCATAGGCATATATGGTTCTCTTGTTAATATGATATGATTTTGTTTTTTCTTCTCTTCAGATAGTAGAGCTTCTATCAGTTCGCGCACCTTCACCAGACAAAAAACTGAAACTCCTCAAGGAAATTGCCGAAGAACACGAGCTAGACTGGGACCCAGCTGGGTCGGAAGCCGAACTGTCAAAACCGCATGAAGATTTGCTGGTGAGTATTGTTGCTCCTTCTGCTACGTTCATATTAGCTCTTGTGATCTTACATTTGATACTTTATTTTCAGAATGGCCCTGCACAGTTTGTTAGTGCGTCTAAGCTGCCTCCTCCGGATGAGAAGCATGGCGAAGCATTGAGCTCTAGTCCCGTGGGTGCTACCTATGAACAACCTGACACTGAGTCCAGTGCTGATGAGCTAGATTTCCCTGAAGTCCCCAAGGCCGTAGTAAGGCCTAATACAACTCCTGCTGCATACGTACCAGATATGACCCTACCTACAGAACCCACTCTACGTACAGAATCCATTGATCGGGATACGTCTTCAGACAGTCCGCTACATGGCTCCCATTCCAAGCATGAGGTCGTATTCGAAGAACTGCCCACGGAGTCCGAGAATCAAATTCTCGATTATACAGAGGGTGCTTCCCAGGAGAAACAGTATTTGCCTTTCTTCACACCTCCACAGACATCATATGCAAGTGCACCTGCAAGACAGTATAGTTCTCCACCGTCCACCTCAAAACCCAAGAGTAAGCACGACATAGATCTGCATGATATCCTAGTTTCAGCTCAGGCAGCTGCAGAGACCGCCGAACGAGCAGCAGCAGCAGCCCGCTCAGCTGCAACGATCGCGCAGGCAAAGATCAAGGAGCTAGCCAAGCTCAACAGCGACAAGTCACTTGATCTTGAATCCGACAATCCTTTCAACACCGAGCTTCACGATCAGTCTGCTGCCTTGGGAAACCTAAATCTCGATCATCAGCTCTCTTTCGGCGACCTCAATGGTGCGGTGTTTGACTCTCCAAGGTATCACAGAGAATCGTCCGGTCCTGAGCTGAATCGGATCACGTCCATTGACGAAGACCCTTACTTCTCTTACCCTAACTTGTTTGGGTCTCACAGCTCGAACCATGGATCGCCGTCTGCCCATTTTGTTTCGGACAGCTCGAGATCGCCACATTAACTCGTTCCGAGCTCTCCCCAGGTATTCGAGGATACACTTCTGTCTCTGGTGAGCTATTTCCCATGAAGTAGTACATTTGTATGATCATGTGGCTATAGTTCTCTTCTCTTTCCCTTTTCGCCTGTAAAGTAGTTCCATGGCTCAAAGAATCTTCTACCATCAATGGCTGCTTTTATGATGTCTATAGCTTTTAGCTTTGTGAAACTCCAACTCAGTTGTTGAGACAACTATCATGGGCTTTGGTTTATTTGCTTGAGCGGGATTTGGGTTGGTTAGGGTTAGGGTATAGGGATTTGTACAGAAGTTGGTTACTTGTGTCAGCTTATTGCCTTATGTTGAAAACTTCTCCAATAAACCACATCTCAGAAGGCGTTTGCTATGCAACTTCACATCAGTTTGGTATATGCGTTCATCTGTTAACACTTAACAGTCAGTAGCTCCATTATTGGTGAATCTCTTATCAAAATTTCGAGCTGGTTAATTGTAGAGGCTGGCATGGTCCGGACACGATACAAAATCGGATATTAGGACATTATCGGGTTATAGATAAAGGGAAATTGGGATCAAAGTCGGATTAAAAATATAGTTGATTTGATTTGGTTTAGTTTGATTTCGAATTACTCAATCAAGTCCGATTTTATCAAATTTGGTCTACAAATGTAGACGAAACGTTGTCCGATACTAGTTGATGGTAGAAAGATGGAAGTAGAGGAAGGTGACACTTTGTAAAAACAATCTTTTAGGGGACATAAGGAATTTGTGCTCTCCTTTCCTTCTATACTTCTACTGGATTATGCTATGTGGGTTTCTCCTTTTCCTTCCTAGTTTCGTTGTGATTTGATGAAAGTAGTTTTGATTGTTGGTTTCGCTTGGAAGGCAAGAAACAACACCAAAATCGAATCTCTTTTGGATCACAAACTAATAATTGGGCTTTATTTGTCAAAAAGCTACTAATCAAAGTTAGTGGCCAACCTACTCCCACCATATTTCCTAATATGTCCAACTGCTTTTTAATCTTGTGATTTTACATATAATCCATCCTAATTTCAATCCTTTGGATCAAAATGTTTTTACTCTCGGAAAATTCACAAAGCCACTTTCATAAGTATGAGAAGAAAATGAGTTTTCTTTATTTAACGGTCAAATTTAACTAGGTTTTTTGAAGAGGTTATGGTGGCCATCTTTTATCAATAATGTATCTGCCTCGTCAACGTCGTTGTTCCCGCCATCTCCAAGCCATAAGAATAGAATTTACTTAACGGTTAGCTATTTACAATAAACAAAGTAGAGACCATTGTAAATGAGAGATGCTCTAATAGTTAAAAAGATTATCCACTCTTAGATATATCGCGAGTGCCTGTGGGTCATCTCTTTGCTTTCAACTTTCTCCTTCCATTTCATTTTTTGTGACTTTTGGATGAAGGAATTGATTGAGATAATGAGAGAGAGAGTCCCACTAAGACATCCAAAACTCCTTTGCAAAAGCTATTGATTTGGATACTCAGCATCAAAGATCATATGGAGAGTAGAGACTTAGTCTATTGTGTATATGCATATACATGGGATATGGAGGGGCATCCTATTTCCTTTTCATAGCACATGATGGAGGACTCTTGATACATATATTGGAAGAAAAGGTGATATAATATTCTCCACTCAACATGCAACTCATTTTTCCTCCTTACTATTAGCTAATAAATAGACAATATTAAGTTCCATATTCCAATTTTCAGTTCTTGTTAATTTCAAACAACTCCATTTGTATATCTTTTAGTGGGTGAGGATCCCACAACCCTAGCATTCTCGGTCAATACGATCACCAATTAACGATACACACTTTGTTGTGATCGCCATTATGTGTATTCATTATTCAAGTAATCCCTAGAAGGAATCAATTATTAAATTGACTAGCTGCCACACATTAAGAAGGTAACGATTGGATTGGATTCGGCTATACTATTATATAGTTCGTAGTAAGAGCCTATCTAACAAAAAGATTTTAACAGTCACACATGAAAAATAGCAATTATGGTAATCAATTAACACGAGGCACACCTTCCACCCCATTTTTACACCCTTAATGTATATGAGGTTCTTCCACCTCAAGTCTACTTGACTAGCATCAACATTAATCGTTGATCTAGCTTTCTAATGTGCGCCATAAAGGTTGTCTTTTCGCGAAGTTGAGATTTCTCAATTATTTTTATAACCGAAAGACACTTCTATAAAATCTCGAAACAAATGCAGATATGAATATGAAACTTCGCTAGGACGAAAGAGTTTCCCATCTTAACTAGACAACAACCTTATTGATAGCCAACTATAGGCCTCACATGCATGTGCCCTAAAAATACTACAATTAAGAAATTAAAGTCTCTAAACCCACTAATAAACACAATTTAATTACTAATCAAATATATCCACCCATCCATTCACTATATATACATAAACCCAACCCACATAGTCATGATATGGACATTCCCCCACCTCCCTCTAGCATCCATAGATATTCTTCCCATCACCATGAACAAAACCAAACGCACTTCCTCTCTCAACACCACCGCCACCATATTCTCCACAAAGCGCAACGTCGCTCCTTCTCCTCCTCCTCCCTCCACCGCGGCCGCCGGCGGCGGCCCCTTCTTCGAGTTCCCGACTTCCCCTCAGAAGCTGGCATGGGGAGAAGGGATCATCCACTCCGGCCACCCTCAGCATCTACTCTACAACGTCGACCTGCCGGACCTCTTCACATGCTCCGGCTGCAAGGAGTACGGCTCCGGCAAGAGCTTTGCCTGCCGGCAGTGCGATTTCCGGCTGCATGAGTTCTGCGCCTTGGCTCCCCCTCGCTTGAAAGCCCATCCCCTCCACCTCCAGCACCAGCTATGGTTCTCTTCCAAACCAGGTATATATAGACTGTATATCAATTCAACATTAGATAGTTAATCCTAATTAGTAATAAGCAAACTTGGATGAGATTTTGATCGATAAATTGAAGATCGATAAACATATCGCTCCAACGCAACGGCGGATCCAACACATAATAGAGTACTAAACGACATTTGAGTCTACTTTTAAATAACATTGGATTGAATATCTACCGTTGAAAAATTCATAAAGTATTACACTAACTTTACCCACAAGAGGGTTAGGTCGTAGCTCAGGGTGGCCTCCCTTTAGATCTGCCACTATTGATCTAGTAGTGATACAATAAAAAAATAATAATTTTGAGATGACCGATTCGGATTCCAAAGGACTCCCTCGTCTATCATATTAACAAAACCTTGATAAGTAGGAGAAATAACACTGTGGAATCACTTTGATACTTTCGCTAATTAAGCAGGACACAAAACTTGGAGCTGCAAAACCTACAAAATACCCATTTTATCATGTCTGATAAGAATCATACCACCATGATACGATCATATCAGGAGTGGTAAGACACGAGTTTTGTAGCCCCTAGGTTTTATATCGTAACCCAAATCTTGGGGAAAAGATATGTTTCAATACACATAACTGCAAACCCTACAAAACTCTGTATCTTACCGCCCCTGATACGCATCATACTACCATGATATGACCATATCAAGATTTATATGATTCGTATACAGAGTGATAAAAAAACACGAGTTTTGTAGGTTTTGTTTGTAAAAATGTATGGCTTACCGTCCCTAATACGCATCATACTACCATGATATAACCATATCAAGATTGATATGATTCGTATACAGAGTGATAAAAAGACACGAGTTTTGTAAGTTTTGTAGCCCATAATGCAATATGTCCATTAGCTAACGATGATTCTATGCTCTCCAATGCAGCACCAAAAACCGGAATCCTCCAAAAGGCCAACAAGTGCGACGTGTGCGGCAAAGCCACCAAAGGCTACACCTTCCGGTGCAGCGCGTGCAGCTACCACATGCACCCATGCTGCGCCACGCTCTCCGACCACATCACCATCTCCATCCACCCCCACCCTCTCAAAATCCTCCCCGCCGCCGCTTCCTCCTCCGCCGCCGTCACACTCTCCACCCCCGGGAACAACGGTACCGCCACCTCCCCCGCCGCCGCCGCCGCGGCCGTGGTGCTGGACATCAGCGGCGCGTGCGGGGAGTGCAAGAGGCGCCGGGCGGGGCGTGTGTACAAGTGCACGGTCTGCGACGGCTACTACCTCCACGCGGTGTGCGCCAAGGACATGGTGAACGGGCTGCAGGCCAACGGCATGAAGGGGAAGGAGAAAGCGGGCAGCAAGATGCTGGGAACGGCGGCGCGTGTGGCGTCGCAGGTGGTGATCGAGTTCATTGGTGGGCTCATTGATGGGCTTGGTGAAGGGGTTGGGCAGGCCTTGGTCCAGAGCGTTACGGATACTAAGGCCCTGACACCATTGAGTAATACTAAGAAGGTGGTGGCTCCGGCTCCGGCGGCTGCTTCTTCAGGTGGCTGCTGTGGCGGAGGCAGAAGATAATTAGCATGATTGTGATTTGTGACAATGATTATTATTATTTCATTTGATTGGTTAGTTACCTGATATATATTGAAATATATAATGATATTTTGTGTGTATTATGATATTGTACGTGTGTAATTATTAATTAACGATTTGGGTATCGTAAATAAAGATGGAATTTGTCATGATTTTAATGTTAACAAACTTGATATTAGTTTAAGATTATAGTAGTTAGCCTACAATGTGAGTTCTTTGTTGTTTAGAAAAAGTAAAAATTTTGCAATGTGAAATTTTCAATTCCCAAAACTAAAATTTTCTCCTTAGTAGATTTATATATCTTGATAATGTAAGAGATTAGCTAAATCTTGGGGTTGGGGGGGGGGGGATCAATTAATTTTTTTCTCGGAGGGAAGGCGATTTTTTCCATCCCGCGCAGCTTAGGGTTTTCGCTTCGCCTCCATGTCGGCAGTGACTGCGCCGCTGGCGAGGGGTGGCTCGGACTGTCAGATGACGCCTGAAACCATTGTTGGACAAAGAAGGCCTCCTACGGAATCATCTTCCCCGAATCCAAAAGGGGATCGTGAGGCGCAACAAACTAAGAAACGAGCGAAAGCGTCCATGAACGACTTTGTTGATAGTGAGTGTGGGGATGAAGGTCCGGAGGACGTAAGCAAAGAAGCGCAACGTGATAAGGCCCCTCAACCCCACAACGGCCCAGCTAGGGGGAATGGAGCGGCAACGGCACGCCGGCTGTTTGGCGGTGCTGTACGAACTGACGTCTGGTGCGTAGCAGACTCAGACTCTGAAGATATTGCTGAAACGATCAAAAGAGAAGGCCGGGATGATGGTTTTATGGGAGAGGAAGACCCTAAGTTCCCCTCTATCCACTTCACTACTGCCGAAGAAAACTTATTTCGTCATCAGTATCGATCCGCGTTGGTAGTGAAAGCACTTGAGAGAATGGTGTCTTATACCCTAATGGACAGGCGCCTACAAAGCATATGGGCAAAAACGGGGGGTGTACAGGTTACTTCTGCCAAGAACGGGTATTTCCTGGTTAGATTCACAAGCGGGGTGGACTATGAAAGAGCGATCACAGGAGGGCCCTGGTTACTAGGTGACAACTACCTGACAGTGCACCAATGGACTCCAGACTTTGACCCGTGTGAACACAAGATATCATCTACCCTTGTTTGGGCGCGACTACTACAGATTCCAATCCACTATTTCCATCCAGTGGCGGTCATGAAGATTGGGAACCGTATCGGAAAGCCCATCCGTGTGGATCAGGCTACTAGTACGGGCGCCAGAAGTGATTACGCTCGAGTTTGTGTTCAAGTTGATCTGACAAAACCGCTGCTATCGCAATTCAATATAAACGGTAAGAAATACTTCATTCAATATGAAGGACTGGAGAAGATATGCCTGCAATGTGGAACCTATTTTAACCGGACTCGCTGCTACTGTACTACCCCCATGGTGACTGAGGACCAGCCGATTGAGCGGGAGGAAGTCAGCCAGAGAGAATCACAACTTGTTGAGGAGAAGGACGCCATCTACGGTGAGTGGATGATTGCAAAGAAGAAGCCGCGTGCACGCCTGAACCATACTTCGAAGGGGCCTGCAAGAGGGAGGGAATCCCAAAAGAAAGGGGGAGCGCCGAGTGGCTCCCGGTACACATTTCTAGATGAGGAAGAGGCTACTGTGAGCCACCCTGACCAACACCAGGCATCCCCTACTCTCCCCAGACATGATTCACATGGGAAAATATCGGGGGGAAAAGGTGGTGGTAGGCCGGAGAAAAGAAAAAGGATTGAATTTGGGTGACAACTGACAAGCATGCAACTTCACGTGGGCAAGGGTCACAAAGCCATGCACGACAAAGTGGAACCGCACAGGAGGAAAGGCGAAAGGAGGATTAGAATGGGAATCATGCCGTGAATAGCCCCTTGACTAATGTGGTGCAATCATCGGGTGAAGAGTCTGTGGCGATCTATGAAGGGCATGCGGAAGCTAACGCAGAGAGAGCGACGTCGGGCAAGGAAGGGGTGGTAGCTGCAACAAATCGGGCACTTCAATCACCTAAACCCCCAGACCCCTCTGTCCCATCGGAGGATATGCTACTAGATCCAAATCCCTTGGGTGCGACGACAAGGTCAGTTTTGAGTGCGAGTTTGAAGGAAAGCCCCATTGATGGGGTCTCTCCCGCTCAGAACTAGCTGTTGTGTGCAGCGGGGGCCTAATTTCCACGACGTTTAGATGATCAGTATCTTTACTTGAAACTGTAGGGGAGCAGGAAGTAACAAATTCTTGCGGGTCTATAAAGAGTACAAGCGTAAATATAATCCGGGGATACAGTGATTGTTGAACCGCGGATTAGTGGTGATAGAGCGGAGAAGGTCATTGAAAAGATGGGCTATGATAGTAACTTAGTAGTAGATGCGGTGGGGTTCTCGGGAGTCGGCAGGTATCTGGTTGCTATGGGACTCCAACCTATGTACAATCAATGAAACCGATCGATCATCACAGTTTCTCCATGTGAAAGTCGTTGTGGGACGATCAGCGTGGTTTCTTACAGCTGTCTATGCAAACCCTGCTCTGGTACAAAGAAGAGAGCTCTGGCAATCTATACGTGATATAGCTAAGATGATGACAGAGCCTTGGATGCTAGCGGGAGATTTTAACTCCATCCTGCAACCGGGTGACAAGAGGGAGGAGCTCCATTCGATAATAGTCGTGCGCGAGAGTTCCAAGATTGTGTGTTGGACGCGGGGCTCGTGGACTTGGGTTTTGAGGGACCACCCTTCACATGGTTCAAGACGGGGGTTATGGAGCGGCTTGATCGGGGTCTTACCAACCTTGCTTGGGCAGCTGCATTCCCGAACACTGCGGTCTACCATCTACCAAAGATTAAGAGTGATCACAAGCCACTCCTCCTCAGACTCAACCCAAATTATCAATCGGCGGGGCCCAAGCCTTTTAAATTCTTGGCGGCATGGCTGACACATGAGGGTTACTTAGACATGGCTAAACAAGCGTGGGACCGAGGTAATGATTTGCTTTCTTCGGTGGCAGCTTTCGTGGAGGATGCTACGCCTTGGAATAAAAACGTGTTCGGGCACATTATAAAGAGGAAGAACTCCCTGATGTCTCGCATTGAAAGACTTGAGAGCAGGGGCGGAGCTAGGATTTAACGATCGGGGGGGCCGAAGTTTTCGTAAAACGTTATCGCAAAAGACTAAAAAAATAGTTTTGTTTTATTATAACCACAACAATAAATACATTAAGTTCAATATAAATAAAAATTATATAAATATAATAATATATTTTAATATTGTCATTGTATCGCGCGTTCTATTTTCATAACTAAAAATCAAATATATATAAATATTAGCATAAGAAAACAATTACTGTTTATATAGTCTAATAGTTACAATTGAAGAACTTAATTGATAAATTTGAAATTAAGGAATTTAAATCATGAATGAAGTTATTAAAGGGGAATAAAATTACAAATACTTCTCATGTATCTCGAACTGTCCTTAAAATTGAAGAATTTAATTGAAATTATTTTATTAAAGTTTATGATTAAATATAATTATAAAAGTTAATATGGCTAAATCGATTTATTGAAGTGCTTAATTAATTGATTTCACTTAATGGATTCTAACGAAGAAACAAAATTGTTTAAGAAAAGGAGGGTAAACAGAAATAAGGAAAAAAAGTACAAGTTTGCTTCTCACGACCATCGAACCAGGGAATAGAAGCTAGTTTCGGAAAATAATCCCCTCAGTTTCCGTTAGACTAAACCAAGCTCGTTGTCATTCTATTGCACGTCAAGATATCTAATAGTAACCTTTAGTTTATAGGTATAATACCGAACATTTTATACGTAACTTTCAAGATTCTCGGGGGGGCCGGGGCCTCCCCGAGGGCTGCTGTAGCTCCGCCCCTGCTTGAGAGCAAGGTGGGTAATCGTTTGGCGGAGGAGAACCTAAAGAAAGCAAGGGACGAGCTGGAAAATGTTCTGCTACAGGAAGAGCTCTTGTGGTGTCAAAAAGCCAACCTGGATTGGGTAGCCTTTGGGGATCAAAATACAAAAATTTTCCACTCCAAAACTATTAATATAAGGCGTCGGAATTGGATAGCGACTTTGAAGAATAATGAAGGGGATTGGATCGAGGATCAACTGACTCTAATGGAGTTAGCTCGACTGTTCTTCACTCAACTATACACAGATGACGGACGGTAGATCACTACAATCCCAGCGGCCTTTACTCCCTTACAGGCAGAGCTTTGGGCGCCGCTGATTGCACCAGTGACTCATGAGGAGGTTCTTAATGCAGTGCGAGGGATGGGTGCACTTAAAGCTCCCGGGAAAGACGGCCTAAATCCTTTCTTCTATCAACGATGTTGGAATATTGTCGGTTCGGCAGTTGTGGACTTCGGGCAGGCTGTGTGGCACCAGCCTTCCCGCATCAAGGAAGTGAATTCTACCATTTCGGTCTTGATACCGAAGATTGCCAAACCTATCCTCATAGAGCAATTCCGTCCCATCAGCCTTTGTAATGTCAGCTACAAAATGGTCACTAAGTGCCTAGCTGAGAGACCCAAACCTCTGATGCCAAGCCTGGTGCACGAGACACAGACAAGCTTCGTTCCTGGGAGGCAGATTACTGATAATATTTTCATTTTGCAGGAAGTGCCATTCGATGCGCGCAAAGTCAGGCAGGGTGGGTTGATGGTTCTAAAGATCGACCTGGCCAAGGCTTATGACCGCATCAAATGAAGCTTCGTTAACGACACGCTGGTTGCAACAGGGATTCCCCAACAGTTTATCGACGTTACGATGAACTGTATCTCCTCGGCAACTATGCAGATACCGTGGAATGGCGGAGTCACGGAGGCATTTACACCTTCAAGAGGGCTCCGTCAGGGCTGCCCCATCTCGCCATACCTTTTCACCCTGTGTATGGAAAGGTTAGGCCATCTGATTTCGGCGGCAGTTGTAACATCCCAAACCTTTTCCCGACAAGATACTGTCCGCTTTGAGCCTCTACACCCGCACGGATTTCAACTTGGGGTGCAATTCAAGGTGACTTCCCATAAGGTCACCCATCCTTGTTGTACTCCACACTGAGCATGTTTAACTTCGGAGTTCTCACAAGAACTCTTCCATTACACCTCAAAACGCGTCTTGTCAGTTAAGCTCGGTTTCCTACTTATGAACCATGGATCTCTCCCGTGCTTTGTCGATGTGGGATTTGCCTAAGGTGTTACATACACTCCCCCTTGGGACTCAACGCCCTCGTTGAGGTTTGCCCCACCATCGTTCAAGAGGGACGCGGGGAGGCTCTGATACCACTTGTAACATCCCGAACCTAATGCACTAATGCACCGGATCCCATCAGAACTCCGAAGTTAAACGTGCTTGGGCGAGAGTAGTACTAAGATGGGTGACCTCTTGGGAATATGTAACACCTTAGGCAAATCCCACATCGACAAAGCACGAGAGAGATCCATGGTTCATAAGTAGGAAACCGAGCTTAACTGACAAGACGCGTTTTGGGGTGTAATAGAAGAGTTATTGTGAGAACTCCGAAGTTAAACGTGCTCAGTGTGGAGTACAACAAGGATGGGTGACCTTATGGGAAGTCACCTTGAATTGCACCCCAAGTCGAAATTCATGCGGGTGTAGAGGCCCAAAGCGGACATTATCTTGTCGGGAAAAGCTTCGGGATGTTACAATCTATGATGCAGGTGAGCTGGAACGACCTGCCGGATGGGTGGGTGAGCTTAAATATGGATGGATCGGTGATACTCACTCAAGATAGTGCTGCGGCAGGGGGAGTGATCAGGCGGAGTGACGGACAGATGATCTAGGCCTTCATGTCGAATCTAGGGGGAGGATCGATTACCCATGCCGAGCTGGCAGGCATCGAGCACGTTGATATAGGCGAACCCTTCAATCCACACGCATCGAATGCTTCTGCAGTCTATCCGACGCTTCTTGACGTTGGATTGGGAGATTACCATCAAACATGTCTTTCGGGAGGGCAACTTTGTGGCTGACTACTTGACTTCTATGGGTCATTCCCAACCGGTGGGCTTACATATTTTTGACACGCCAGACCTGTGGTTGGGGTATTGATTGTATTACGATATTATTGGGGTTCAAACCCCTCGTTTAGTCAATAATTAAGGGTTGGAGCGCCCCTTAGCGCTCCATTTCCGACCAAAAAAAATATATGTTGATAATGTATAGTTACAATTTATTGTGTACAAATTTTTTATTATACACAATACAAACTTATCATTTACAATGCTAAATGCTAAACAAGATATAAATTTTTACTATTTCATATGTTCATGCAATTAATTCCCCGTCAACATACACATGGTATGAGATTTTTCATTCAATCTTTCGGGTAGAGATTCACGAAGCTCCTACTGTCGAGCCCAAATTCGTTAAAGAGTCTCTAAAGATGAGCCGAGGCCCAAAGTCAGTGAGTGGGCCCAAAATACAACACGAAACTCCCCCGTTTATCCATTTCTCCCGAAGAAGAAAAAAGGCGGGAAAAGTAGCAAAAGTCGTGCTGTGCTTCTTCAACCTGATCCATTTTTCCCCCAGCAATTTCCAATCTGCTTGACTTTACTTTCCCCGCAGCAACTCTGGCTGTTTCCCCCATCTCTCAAAATCCGATCCCTAACTTTCGTGTTCTCTCTTTCTCCCCACAATCAGTTTCCTTGCTTCCATGGATGGCGAATCTCCTCTACCACTAGTCCCCTCGAATCCTGACCGATCGACGACTCTTCTTCCGCCAGTCTCTCGCGCTGAACATCGCTCGAACACAAGAGCTTCATGCTATCCTCTAGTCTACTCTGGCGGCGTCAGAGTTTCAAGAATAAGCACGAGGTGTTTGTGAGCTTCAGCGGAGAAAGACAATCGCAGGGGATTTCTGTCCTTCTACAAGGACGAAATCAGAATCTAGGGTTTCAGAATCGCGGTCTTCGTGATCTACGCCGATTCCACCTGGTGTCTCGACGAGCCTGCTTCACATCCTCCGTCGCGGGAAATCGAGAAGCCTTACGAGTCATTCCGATTTTCTTCGATGTGGATCCAATCTGATTTCAGGAAACAGAAGAGAGGAAGAAGTCATAAGCTCCGCCGAAGTCTTCGTCTGCGACGATAAGGTGCGGAGGAGATCGGAGAGATGATACTTTTGACGGAAGTCGCTAATCTCCCGGATTCGCCACCGTTCACTACGGGTAATTCGATGTTGATTAACTGCGCTCAATGACCTAATTTCCCTATTATCCTGAAGCTCGATTTGCAAAAATTGAGTTATACTGCTCTAGTACTTTTTCTCCGCCTGTTGGATTGCTTGCTGATTTGAGCTCTGTTTGTGAATTGACGACTCCATAGAAACGACTCCATGGAACGAATTGAGAGACTCTGCTACTACTACATATCCAAGCATCACCAGCAACATTAATCCTCTAGTTGGAATGGAGGGACGTGCAATTGCAGTGATCAGCTTTCTGTGTCTATATGCTACTCCGGATTCCATCAATGGCAATGATGTTCGTATGATTGGAATCTATGGCCCATCCGGCAGCGGGAAAGCCACCGTCGCCATGGCCGTTTACAACGCAATTCTCTCGTCCAGCACTTACATTGCCAGCCTCGGGGAAAGCCTCCACAACACGGATAAGGCTGTTTCGATTGCAGAGAAGCAGCTGGCCTACGAAATTGATGGTGAAGGTCCTGAAGGAGTACAGTACTCTGTCCACTCTCAGCACCTATAGTTCCAAATCAACCTGCTGCTTGCTCCGGCTTGCAAGGTGTACGGCTCCGGCGAGAGCTTGAAGTGTTAACAATGCGATCTCCGGCTGCATCATGAATTTCTTTTGGTCCTCCACGTTTAAGAGCCTCATCCCCCTCAACATGGAGAGCTAACTCTGTTTCTCTTCCGGAACAGGTGTGTACCGCATCAATATCACTAGTTGCGTCTTTTCCCCCTATTTACGCAATTAGTTGATCAGTTGTCGATTAGTGATAGTTTGGAGAATAATTGGGATTAGAGGGAAGTCTTTTGCTTTATAACTATTGTGATTTGGTTAGGAAGATCATTAGCTAAAATCTCATAATTTTCTCTAATCGAACCAGATTAGCGGCTGATTCAGTAGAACTACCAACCTAGTTACAGCGGCGGTTCAGTTTATTCGTTTGGACGATTAGAGACGGAACAAACGGTTTTTTAACGGTTTGATATAAAAGTAGATGCACCACTCCGGTTTGACTAGTCCGCTGGTTCAATATTTTATCCATACAAAAGAATTCTTTAATGCAAAAGAATTCTTTATGTTGTCCAATATGAACTGCCAGTCTGCCACCCTTATTACTAACTTGAATTTAGTAAAAAAAAATATTATTTCTTTTGTGAGATAGTTTGAATGATATGTTAGAACATTCAGTGATGGATGATATAAATTTGAAATTGTTTTATGGTTAGGTTCTCAATTAGTGTATTATACATGTCTTTCGCGCGTGAATGGTTATCAACGGTTAACCAACAGGTTTGTTATAGTTAACTGCTGAATTATAACCATTAACATTTTTGGTTTAGCATCATCCGGTCCGAATCTGAAAATATAGTTGTACTTATCATTTGTATATTTTAATTTCTCCATAAATCCCTCTTCTTCTTCCTCATTCAGTCATTCTTAATCTTCCTTCCCAATCTCCAAGCCTTTCTTAATTCAACCTAAATCACAAACACTAAGTAGTATACTGCACATTTTAGTTTTTATTGCCGTATGAATAAATTATTATAAACACGTTTACGCACATGAATAACGTCAGTCAATGGTTGGTGGAGGTAAAATAACGTCACTCATGGCAGGAGACCTGGTTTTGACTCCACCACCATGGTTGTCACGCAGGCCGGCGTGCCACCGGTTGTACTGGGTTCAACTGGTACCGGTCATAAAATCGGTGTGACACCACCGGTATGACCGGCATGATCGATATACGAATCTCTAAGTAAAATGACTTTATTTTAGAGAATTTAATTAATAAAATTTATTTTATTATTTATTTTATGAGTATAAAAGTTAAATATTGATATTATTTGTTGGATTCAAGTATAAATGCTTAGGTATTGACCGTTAAATGTCATGTTTAAATATGAGGATTTATAATTTTATTTGTAATATTGACCGGCATGAACCGGCACAAACCGGTATGTGCCACCGATTGAACCATTCCACTTGCTAAACCGGCACACTGTCATAAACCGGTTTGACAACCTTGACCACCACCCGTAGTTCCGACAAAAGTGAGGTAAATCGCGCCGCGGCGGCTTATGGGATTTAAATCATATTAAAAGAAGCCGCGGAAGGCGGCAGCCAGCTTCCCTGAATTGCTATATATTTTCGCTCCGAGGGCCAGCAGAGCAATCGACCCCCTCCATTTCCTTTCTAGTTCCTGTCCGCCGATCATTCATTTATCTACTTCGCCTATGACAGTATCTCGCCCTGAATCTCCGAGTTCTTCTTCTTCTTCCTCCTCATCGCCATCTGCGGCAGCTGACGATGCTCGGAAGTACGAGGTGTTCGTGAGCTTCAGAGGGGAAGACACCCGCCGGAGCTTCACCAGCCATCTCTGCGACGCGCTCTCCTCGAAATTAGGTGTTGCGCTGGTCTACAAGGACGACTTCAGCCTCGAGAGAGGCGCGTCCATTGAGCCCGAGATCCAGAGAGGGATCGAGGATTCCAGAATCGCGGTCGTCGTCTTGTCCAAGAACTACGCCGATTCCAGCTGGTGTCTCGACGAGCTGGTTCACATCCTCCGCTGCCGGAAGCTCAAAGGTCACCGGGTGATCCCGATTTTCTACGAGGTGGATCCGTCGGACGTCGGGAAACAGAGGAGGATCGGGGCCAACAACGGCTTCGTGGAAGCTGTTGGCGGAGACGACGAACTTCTTGGCGAGAAGGTGGGGAGATGGAGAGATGCTTTGGCTGAAGTCGCTAATATCTCTGGTTTCACTACTACTGCCTACAGGTAAAGCTCTCTATTCACTATTGAGCTGGAGAGATGCTTCATCTCCATACAAGAAACTCGATTCATTTCTTTTAATTTCTCTGCTTGATTACAGTTCGGCTTGGATAGGCAATGGTTCGGCTTGGCAAAATCTTATTGAATTGATATTTGGATCGAATTGGTTTAGGTTTCCCTTCCATTTGGGTATGATACTGGGGTTTTCAACTTGTGATCTTACTTGCTATTTCCTTTATTTTTGGTCCTTCCTACCCATCTTTTATAGTCAAGATCTTGTTGGTTCCCTTTTCTTGTATCAAATTGCTGATGAGCTTATATGAATTGAATTGCATGTATAAATAAATTGCAGAAATGACTCGGAAATGATCAAGCAAATTGTAGGGAAGATATGGGAGGAACTGAGTTCCACATTCGCGAGTATCAGCAAAGCTTTGGTTGGTATGGATCAACGTGTGGAAGAAGTAATCCGCTTGTTACATTTGGATGCAAATGCTGAGCGGGATGATGAAGATAATGATGTTCGTATCATTGGAATCAGTGGAATGGGAGGCAGTGGCAAAACCACCCTCGCCATGGCCATTTATGACACAGTTCGCTCTCAATTCCAGTCCAGCACTTATCTTCCATGTGTGGGAGAAGCATCTGACACTCACTCGGGGATTCTTCAACTGCAGAAGCAGCTGTTCGGCGAAATTGCTGGTAATGCTATGATGTTAAGTAGGGAAGAAGTGGCTTGGCCGAAGGTTGGAGGAAAGGAAAGGCTAAAGAGGGCATTTAGAGGGAAGAAGCTGCTTCTTATCGTGGACGATGTCACCCACCAAAAACAGCTGCAGCACTTGGCTGTGGAGCGTTCTTTTTTCGGTTTAGGAAGTCGTATCGTTATAACCTCCAGAGACCAACACCTGCTGAAGGCTCAGAAGGTGGATTCTGTATACCAGACTCGATTGCTGGATGCAAATGAAGCTCGTGTGTTGATAAGCCGGGAGGCTTTTGAGCAAGATGAACCGACTGAAGGTTTCAAGGAGTTGTGTGAGCATATTATCAGTTATGCCGGCGGGCTTCCCTTGGCACTGGAGGTGTTGGGTTCTTTGCTAAGTGGGAGAAGTTCTAGTGAATGGAGAAGTACAATTAAAAAACTGAAGAAAATCCCACCGGGAGGAATTCTAGAGGTACTTCAAGTGAGTTATGATGCACTAGATGAAGAAGAACAAGAGATATTCCTAGATGTTGTGTTCTTCTTTCATGGTTGGCGTCGAAAAGAAACTGTGATCCCTATACTTGAGAGCCTCTACCTAGGTGCTGAGATCGGGATAAGGAACCTGACTGATAAGGCACTGATAGAAACTAGACTGAAAAGATTCTCCACGCACGATTTGTTAAAAGAGATGGGGAAATCAATTGTCTACTCAAAAAGTCCAAATCACCTGGGAATGCGCAGTAGATTGCAGGGGTATGAAGATGTTTGTCATGTGCTTACAACAGAAACGGTGAGCCTTTGTGCTTTGTTTCATCATGCCAAAAGTTTTGGCCTTGACTAACATGGTTCTGCGCTGGTCCGAGCTTTCTTGCAGGGAACTGAAAATGTGAAAGTTATATCTTTGCTTCCAAGTCAAAATGGCCAGAGTGTAATAGACTGTGGCGGGGAAGCCTTTACGAAGATGTCCAGTCTAAGATTGCTGGCTTTGTCAGGTGCACAAATCAAGCAAGGACCAAGCTGCCTATCTAATGAGCTACGAGTTCTGGTTTGGAAGTCGTACCCTTCTGAATCGCTGCCGCCTAGTTTCAACCCATGCAACCTTTTTGTGCTGAATTTGTTAGACAGCGATCACCTGAAGCAACTCTGGCATGGAAGCAAGGTGAGAGAGAGTTTATGTACTTGCCTATATGATTAATCATTGTAGTCTTATGTTTTCTGTTGCTTTACATGAACTAACCAATACTATTTGTTTTTTCGGGTTGATTGCTGTGAAGACCATGTTGCATCTAAGAGAGTTGTGGCTTGACAATTGCAATAATTTGGTTGAGATCCCAGATTTTGCCGAAATGCCTAACCTCGAGGTTCTGAATCTTCAAGGGTGTGGATCATTGCTCGAGGTTCCCTCATCATTTGGACATCTCAAAAGACTTGAGATGGCAAATCTGAATGGTTGCAAGAGCCTGAAGCTCTTCCCTACGAGCATTGAAACAACCTCTCTGAAAATTCTGAGCCTGAAGGGATGCACCAAGTTGAAGACGTTCCCAAGCATTCATGGCGATATGGACTATTTGGCTGAGCTCCAACTCGAAGGTATTGGGATCCAACAACTAGATTCGACGATCCAATGTTTGGCCGGGCTTAAGAGGTTGATTCTTGACAATTGTCAGAATCTCGAAAGACTTCCCGACACGGTGGTCTGCTTAACTTCACTGGAAGTGCTATCTCTGGATGGTTGTGGTAGCTTGAAAGAGTTGCCACCTTCGCTACGATGTTGTGTTCGCCTGCAGGAACTGTCAGTGCAAGGTTGTGTGAAGCTTCGATCTTTGCCCGAGCTTCCGCAACAGATTGAGAGGGTGTATGCGAATGGTTGCAAGTCCTTGGAGTGGCTTCCTGATACATTAAACTTTCGAAATGGACTGAATATACAGTGCTATGGTTGCCTCATGTTGGATCAACCTCAGAAGTCAGCTTGGAGGATACTCAAAAGATACCTCCAGGTACACATTCTCTTTTCTCTATTTCTCCGACAGTTGCACTGTCTCGATTCTATGTAAAATCTCGATACTGACCAACCATGCTCATATACATTCAGGGCATTCCTCATCCGCAACAAAAGTTTTCAGTTCTGATTCCAGCTGGAACTGACAAAAATGCGTGGTCGTACCATCGAGTCCAGCGGTGCTTATCTTCGATCGTGATGGGGACGATGATGCAGCGCCCTGTTGGTGATAATGACGATGCTACATATTGGATTGGCACTGTAGCGGTTATTAGTTTCCGTGGTAGTGACATCAACCACGAACCGACCACCAGCACCATCCGGAACTGCAATGTCTGCTCTTTTGTTACCAATTTGGGAGCAGTGGCTCTACCAGAGCTACCACATTCTGGACGAGTAACTGACAGTATTTGGTTGACCTACATTCCAAGGGACGCTGTCCGGTTGTACATCGGAGATGGAATGGAAGAGGATTTCGAGGTGCGCGTTCATGGAACGTGCCCGCACTTGGAAATCCAGAGTTGTGTCAACAAGAACGTCTACACCCACGACCTACATGGGGATGTGGGTATGCCTGATGTTGACTTGGCGATGTCGTCGTTAATTCCGTTGATGACAAGGCGTTTTACCATCATGAAGAAGCGGAGCTCTCCTCTGATATACGACGATGATGATGACGCTGAGGCAGTTCGAGTATTTGGGTATAAAAGACCGAGGTTTTGGTAAATGCCTTCCTTTCATGATTGCACCGTTTTTTGAAGGCGCAACCAAGTCGTTGGAGTGACCCTCTCTTATATGCGTATAACTAGAGGTGGCAAATGGACTAAATTTGTGGATTTGGTTTCGTAGATTCCAGCATCGAATTGGGATGGATTCGTGTGTACAACTTGTAATACAACATTGGTGCAGATAGAGAAATGTGTAGCAGGAAAGAATGTAGAGCCAGGATTATCAGGGTGCTAGAAACAATACAGGGTATTCATGTTGTATGTGTTGTCGTTGAATCACTGAAACAAATGAAACAAATCAACAATACAAGGAACCAAAATGGACGGTGTGTTCATGTTGGTGGTGTTGTTGAATCACTGTGAAACTAGAACTCTGCCATCAAAATTGCACACTTCGATGGCTGAGATCATGCAAAGCCACACAATACAACGTCGTCATCAACTCTCGCTTATCATAATCCTACTCAGTTCTATAAGAAATTTAATTGCAAAGAGCTCGTCGCATCTAAGCGACCATTAGAGCAAACTCCTAATATCACACTCTCAAGACTGTGATTTAGACAGTGATAAAAAAAACACTTCAATGCGAGTTAGCTGCAGCCAGCAGGGCAGACTATACAGAGAACACAAAGCCAGAAAGTTTCATCATGTAAAAAAATACAGAAATGGCACCTTTCACTCACTCTGAAGCAAACCACCTTTGTATGGAACAATTGGCGTCGCACAAACAGTTATGGAAGCCAAAAGAGAACACTCCACTCATAGGCAATTTGAGGTTCGAATGCGATACCTGCAGTCTAAGGTTCCCACTTCCCACAGACTAACAGGTGATGTAGTAAATGGGTTGCAACAGTGAATCGGCAATGCCTTTTTCAGTGTGGTCTCTCTCGCCGATTCAGCTGGTTGGCAGTCTCATCACAACCTCTGATGGAGGTCGCAGGGTGCAAACCATTTCTTTCGTCTTCCCAAAATATACCTGCAGTGGCAAAAGCATTTGATCAAGGATATTAGTCAATTAATAAACAGCTGTTCCCTTATAATAGTTTTAAGACGTTAATGTGCATGATAGTCTGTCACTAGGGCAAATTTACGAAGATCCAAAATCACATAAAATTGTAAACTGAGATCATAAAAACCCAAGACTTTGGAGGACAACTGATTCCATAACAAGATCCAATAAAGTTCATCTCTCCAGAATCACGAAACTGAAAAGGTTAGTCAACATTTATTCTAGAAACCGAAAATGAGACGATATTTTCATATATGGGTAATGAGCTATGGCCAGAAAAACAAGAAATAAGTAAATGCCTGCGCCGAACATACCTGATCCAGAGAGTTTCTGAGCTTGCCCTCCATCTCCTCAATCATCTTCCCCATGTTACAAAGGTGGCCATCAGCCAACGGGAGATCCATCCTCATCTAGTCAGAAAGCAAAGATAAAGTTTGTGAAACAATTAAACAAATGTATATCTCTCATTCCAAGACTTGCGGAACAGGAGGACCCCAGAACAAAACTCCTACCTGCCGCCTAATTGATCCGGATAAATTAAACGTGCCGGAAGACTCCTTGTCAGTTGTCAGGGACAGCATCACGGTGCTGGTTAAACAATAGCGGGTAGTTTCATCTTCTGGTCCAACCTAAATAACCAAACCATAGTTGTAACAGGACGGATAAATAAGGACAATGTCGTAAGTATCAAAATCACACCACCACAGAACCCATGGAAGTCTCTACCTCAATGACATGAATGGCTTCCCACAGCCCTTCCTGCAGGTATCCCCTTCTTCCATGTGCTGTCCTAGCACCATCTTAATACTCACAATAGAATAGATAAAACAAGTTAGATGAGGAGAACTGGGTTAATACTTAATACTACTTCATTTATAAAGGGGTGGTTGCACCTAACCTTTTTTTATCAGAAAGCAAGCCACAAAACCTTCGTTGTTATCCTCCCACAAGTAAACAGATGAGATTCCGCCTTCGTAATACCTACCAAAACTTACGCGGTTGATCAAACTGCTAAACAATTTCACAAAAGTAATAGAAAACAGAATGGCATGGCGATTTAATAACTAGATTCTTCAATATGGAAAAATAAGTTGACATAACTGAAGGAGGAAAAGGGAGGAGTCTACATTCATTTGACACTGAAAATAAGTTGAAACTTGAAAGGGTATGGAAGAGATCATGAAAAAAAAAACAGTTGAATCAAAGACGAGGTGAGTAAAGGACCTCACTGGTCACGATAAATGGCGAAGACTTCATTTGCTTCAACCTCCAGTTTCCTCAGCTCGTCAGAAGGAAGGAGTGCATCTCCCAATGGGGGATGGTATTTGTTTGACCATGGTGACCTACAAGACAACATATGATCCCAAAAATCATTCACCTAAAAATTTCCAAGTACATGTACGAGAGCAGAAAGGGGTGAAAGACGATATAGACAGGAATGGCAATGGGGCAGGTCCGGGGCGGGTTTCTTGGTACCCAGACCCGCCCCGTGGCAGGTCGGGTCCAGGTCGGGTAATTGACCACGGGTCGCGAGTCGGGGCAGGTCGACCCAATGGGTATGCAATTTATATTAAAAATATTAAAAATATTCGTTATTTTTATTATAAGACTAAGAAAACAAACAATATTATGAAAATTGCAGTTAAATTATTGGAGAAATTGAGGTTTTTACTAATTTACAACTTTCTTCTAGCTAAAATATGATGCAATAAAAGGAAAATACTAAGTAATTTGACTAAGATTACATGTAAATTAGACAAGAACGGGTCGAGAATGGGGCGGGTCAGGACAGATAGGGTCGATGAGACTACCCATGCCCGCCCCGCCTACGGGGCGGGTCGGACCCGCCCCAAAACAGGTCAAACAGGTCGGGTAACACGGGTCAGGTCGAAATTGCCATCCCTAGATATAGAGAAAGAACAACAGATTCTAAGGGTAACCATTTAGCTTCAATGACCGAACATCACTGAAGGCAGATAAATACAAACATACCAAAAATGTTTCTTCCCTATAGATACAAATAATGTTCATAAACAGAAAGTTTAAGTCCTGCAGGAACCATAGTAACATATTAAGCCTTTCATTATCAGATTCTCGAAAGGTCAAGCACAACTAAGATCTTTGATGTGCCGGAATAACATCATTTCGGTAACCAAAGAGACTTGAGTCAGGATTGACATAGCTTTACTGAGAGAAAACTATCCTGGTGGCTTATTCAATAAGCCTAACTACCATCCATAAAGGCCAATCACAAATGTATGCAACTAACACAAGTTGTGGTCCTCATAGGATCCACAGCATTGAATCACGCTCGCACAAACCAAAAACAAAAACAAGTCTCCAAAAAGCTGCCAACATTACAGTCCGTACACTAACAACAGCTCACTTCAGACATCCAACACCTACAGTTCTAATAAATGAAGAGCTACATAATACCGACAACCATAAAAGAACTAGCAAGGGTACCTGTAGGAATCAGCATCTCTGTTGTACTCACACAATATGAACTCCTTCCCGCTCTCGGAATCACATAGAACCTGTAATTTCCCCTTCTTCAGTTAGCCACCTTTGCAAATTGAAACGCTGTTTCCACATCACATAAAAAAAGAAAGACGAGCTGGAAGTAATAACAAGCTAGGCAATTATTCCGTACACAAGAACTCAATATGCTTTCACCAATCATCCACTCGGAATAGCCGCGAGCGAACGATCACCGAATGCAAGATGAAACAAAGAGCGGCAAAGCTGGAGGAACACCGCAGTGTTCACAAAGCTCATCTCAAGCAAGAACTGGAAAAGAAACAACCTATAGCTGCAGTCGGGCACAAACATCTACATACTGGTAAAATTCACAGCAAACGCCGCAAGATCTCCCCTAACGAACACTGATTTAACTCTTCTTCCTTCATATATGAACAGCACACAACGACTCATTCCGGATTTCCGCTCCATTTCCTCACCGTCGTTTTCTCAGGAAAACATACGGTGGAGTCCAGGAGGAGAAACAGCAAACTCAAACATCATTCGTGCACACAAAACCCTAGCGATAGATAACAGAATCGAAAATCATGGAAACTGCCATAGCAGAGAGAGAGAGAGAGAGAGAGAGAGAGAGAGAGAGAGAGATGGACCTGAAGAGGCTGATCGACTTGGGAGAGGAGATCGGAGGAGTGGTCAGGCAAGAGGCTGACGAGAGCAGAGAGCGCGGTGACGGAATGCTTCGGAGGTATCCTTCTCATCAATCCTAGCGCCGCCTCCATTCTTCTTATGCCACTGCCGTCCGTTCAATAGACGAATGAGAGAAACTGCCGGCGAACGAGAAACGCGTCCAGATAACTGCGAGAATCGACTGGCAGGCAAACCGACGATTCTTTCTCTCTCTTACTCCGACGCTCTTGATTTTGAATTCTTCAGATCTTTCTTTCGCTTTCTTTTCGGCAAAAAAAATGAGAGGGAAGAAATGGGAGTACGAGAGAGAAGGAGATGATGGAATTGGAAGAAAGAAGAGAGCGTCTCTGTGATTTTTTTTTATCCGACTTTCCCTCCACACTTCTCCCAGCGACCGAGCGCAAAACGACAAAAGATTTTATTTTTATTTTTATTTTTATGGGCTGACCGAACCCGTTTTCTAGTCGGTTGATGATTTGCTCCGTAGTTATCACGTTTTTACTTTTTAGTGAATTTCTCTTACATAATGTTAGAAATGTTAATATATTGGTTGGAATTATAAGAATAAATTATTACTCATGAATAATTGTGAATACTCAAAACCCGAACGAGTATTAGCATAGTTTTAATTTTTTATCCGTTTCTCGTGTAGGTATGGGTGAAATTCGAACTACATTGGATACGGTTACGGATATGTACTATCCGCCCCCAACCCATTATCCACAAATTCTCATAAGATTAACCCGAACCAGATCGAACTAATTGGTCAAGGATTAATGAGTCACCCATTTTACCCCGATTTAGCCTAAAAATATAGAAAGAGTCATTATACTGTACTTATTCTGATAAATTATATTAAATCTCATATAATATATGAATTATAATATATAATATTCCACCAAAATAATATATCATGCTTAAATCCAACATATAATGAAAATTCACACACTTATATAACATATATATTTAAATGTTCAACTTACGATTCTAAAGATGGAGTTAGACTAAAAAATAAAAATAGGCGCATTTCACATAAAAAAAATACGTAATTAGATCTTCAACCCGATACTTTGTAACAATCGACCCGACATGTACGTGTGGCCTGTTACCCGCGGCTCAACAACCTTGAATAAAACCATCCTCGAACAACATTTACACAACAATCAAGACACAGAACCACATCATATCATAGCCCAGTCTGCAGAGGGGAACTCTTATTCCAGTTGCAGAAACATTTAAAATGCAAAAAGCACAACCAAACCATAGCCTAACATATATAAAAAAGGACAGCAAGTCCAGTTCTTAGTTCTTTAAACGTAGACATCCCAGCTATATGATGAAAACGTTCCCTTCATCCATAAAAATGCGTCTAGTGCTTCAATACAAAGTTCAATCAGACTTCCTCCACCCAAACACAACCCTTCTTCCGCAGATGCATAACGAGATTCAAAAATGTTTTCGTCCTTGAAGCTTTGTGTACTATAAACCTCCCTTCCTGGAAAAGGGAAATCGAGACCGGTTAGAAGCAAGATCGAATGCAAGTAAAACTTGCAGCGACGAACATCAACAATCAAATCAACCTCTGGAGTCGGTATGATTTAGCACTACAAATTTATTGGCCTATACCACAAATCTATTTGCCTTTCTTTTTGGAGAAAAGGGCTCGGGATAGAGAAAGGATGAACAGCAATGGAGGAGAAATTGGCCGCACCTGAAATGAAGTAGCGAATTTCTTCTTCTAAGCACTTAGCAGCAGGGAGCTCCGCATCCCGAGCCGAAGGTGGCCCCCCGCCACCGGCTCGCCTTCTGCTGGTGCAGGCTCTTGTTCGTCCCTGCTCTCCTGCACCAGCAGGACAGTAGATTTGGCTGATTGCTATTCGGAATCGTACACGTCCCCGTCATCAGAAACCTCGTCAAACGACCTCATGTCAACCTGGTAGCGCAAAATGCCTCCAATGCCACCAAACCCTCTGCAGAACTGGGACCCTTCCTGGGACTTGTTGGTGACAAACTCGAGTGTGCAGCCGAATCGCTTGTACTCATTAGCAAACCATTCCAGCAGAGGCATCTTCTCCTGAACCTCGAGCTCAGCGGGGTTAACAGCTTCCCTAAAGCTGCTTTCGTTCGTCTCTTGCTCCTTGGTAAAATGTTTGATTACAATCTCGCCAGTTGCAATGTTCTTCAGCTCATACCTGTTAACATCCAGGTTCTCCCAAACAATGAGAATCTCAACAGCACCCATATCCAAAGCTGCCAAAGTGTCATCGACACCAAACACATATTTCCCAGTATCTTGACTGATCTCCTCAAAGTACTTCCCAATCAGCCTCTTCTCCTGAATAAACTTCACATTGGAGAGAATCTCTGATGACAGCTCGATTGCCTGATTGAATCCATTCTCCCCTCCGTAGGACACATCCACCACATTCAGAATCTTGACCTGAAGTCGAGCGTCAAACATGTCAGACTGACTCAACTCAGTCTTGAAGTCAGCAGAACCAGCCAGTATAAGACCCGAAACATTAGGCTGACTTGTTGAAGGATCAATGAAGAACTGTGTCGCCAGCTCAGCAGTCTTCCTTACATAATTGTGGCGCTTCTCCATCCGGAGCCTAGCAAATCGAAGGGCAGACTGCCCTCCTCTTCCGTGCTTCTTGGGCAGGTCGACTGAGAACTTATGGAGGATTTCTCGGGTGTTTCCACTCAGTGTTCCAAACAGGGTACCATTACCATCCATGACAATGAAGCCAAACTTGTCATCAGACTCTAGAAGTTCGTTCAGGGCTTCAGTGTGGAACTTGTTGTCACAGAGGTAGAGAGATGCATTGATTGGCCTGAAAGGCTCAAAGTCCATAGTCACCTTCTTCTCCTTCCCATCATCAGTGACAATTGTTCCGGTGTAGAGCACGAGACCGTTAGGTGGGACCTTGTTGTAGAGTTTCAGCCTTTGCTGAGCAGACGTGATGGCGCCCAGAACAGATTGACGGTTGACCCTGCTCTTGATGTTGGAAGCAGTTCCGTACTCATCACCAAGCATCTTAGCAATACGAGAAATTTGGTCACGGGGAGGTATGACGAGGGAAATCATGCTTGTCCCATTGCCTCTGGCAGCTTCCAGAGACTTGATGAGCTTCTTGATCTTCCAGATCTCAATGTTCTTGTCATCACTGTCAGCCATCGTGAGAGATCTGAAACAAACCCTTGACGTGTCAAACAGTAATAAATAAGAAACCCAGAGAATTCTTGACAAAGAATTAAAAGTAGGAAACCAAGTATGCTGCAACAGAGCCACAGAATGAATAGATACACAATTGCATACAGAGAAGCTATGAGCGTCCAAGAAGATCACTAATATTCATTCCATTAAAACAACAAGGTATAGGATCAGTTAAACTCGATAAAACCAAGAAAAAGCAAATTGAATCCATGGTTTACGATGACATTTTCAATGCATAGGCCAGAAATTCAGAATCTAAGAGTACAAATCAGACGCAAGACAAGCATATCGGCAAATCCAATGACGATAAAGCTACGGATTCATCAACAAACCCTACTCGATTTCAGCTATGCAAAAAAACGCTTCCAATCCTAATCCTTCTGCTTCCGATTTCTAGATCGATGAACGTTGCCATGCTTCAGTTTCTCACAAACTGAACAGCTCGAGAAATCCACCGGAATTACCCGATTCACATCATATCAACACAATCTAACATGGAAAAACCGAATCCAAACATAGAATTGACAGATTCGAGACATGGAAGAAGGAATTACCGTAGATTCTCTGAGAGTAAGAGGATCCTTCTCCGCGACGGCGAGCGTTTGGCGCAGAGAGAGGGGGCGAGATGGAAGAGAGAAAAGGAGGGTCACGCAACTTGAGCTAGGGTTTCAGGAATGACCGAGAGGCGAAAATTCTAATAAATAACTTCTTTTTTATTCCTTTTTTTGTTTTTTTCGAAGATATCCTATCTTTTAGTATTTTTTGTACTAATATATTTTTTCCCCTTTTACTAACGCTAAGATTTGCTAATACGTTTAGACAAAATCTCATATCGATAAAGAAATGAAAGAGATTTATGATTTATAAATAAGAAACTACTACTGACAACATGCGTTTTTGTTGTGAAACAAAGGAACTTTAGTTAAAACTATGAAATTAAACACGCTAACTATGGAGCAATGAAACGATGGGCGATCTTTCGGAAAATTATATTGATATGCTCTCCAAGGCAAAAAACTTACGGTCTAAATCCAAAAAAAAAGACAATATGTTGGTCGGAAAAAATGTCGAGATGTTACAAGTGACATAAGAATCTCAAAATTTCTATGTGTCTTTCTTGGATATTAGTGGGGCAAACTTCAATGAGTACGTTGAGTCCCTGAAGGGAGGTGTACATAACACTTTAGACAAATTTTACATCGACAAACTATGAGAGTGATCAATAATTGATAAGTAAGAAACCGATATTAACTGATAAGATGTGTTTCCGATGAAGTAGATGAGTTATGGTAAGAACTTTAAAGCTAAATGTGCTCATAGTGAAACAATGCATGGATGGATAGCCTTATGTAAAGTTATCTTTGATCCACCTAAAGACAAAAATCGTATTGCTCTAGACCAAGATTGAATGATGTTACAACGTTCTTGTTAGGTCGGGCTATTATCATGTGGAGTGTTTGCTGGGGTGGATTTGGAGTGCAACCGAAGTTCAACAAATGTATAATGACGAGACTAAATCAAGCATAAGAATCCGATTCACGTTGAAGGTTTTCTCCCTACAATATTGTTTAAAGCTTGATCTACTATGCTTTAAGTTGTAGGCACAAAGCAATATGACAAGCACACCTTCTTAAACTCTCTTTACAAGAAGAAATCGGTCCTCACAATCAGATGAAAAATCAATAGATAAGTCAGTGGAAGTTTGAACCAAAGATAAATAATTACATAATCTCAAGGTTGGAAGATCAGACCCTGTAACGTAGAGCGCACATGAACGTGATCAAGAACACACAATCGTCAGTGGGAATTTCTCTAACACCACAGTCCGCATAGAGCCCGCTGTCCATGGGAATTTGGAGTTTCGCGTCGGAGATTGGTGCTTAAATCCAAATACACCTCAGATTGCCACCTTAATCTCTGAGAAATCTTTCCTCCCGGGGCTTTTATGTTGGGACTTTTATGAACGAGGGTAAACGTACGATAGTTCGAGACAGGGTGACTAGGATTATGATGGAGTCGTGAACTACGTTCACTTTTCGTAAAGATTATTTCCACCCTCAACAAGCCTAAGGTTACAGGAAATTTCTTCGTAGGATAAAACTATCACCACTTTAGGTTCCAGGTTTAAGTACCTAAAGTATACTCAGAAGTTAATAGGAAGAAGGGAATCAAGTTTTTGGTCTACTTTGCCATTGATCATACGCATCATATTTATAGTGATTGAAACACTACACTGAAGCAATGCATTGCTTCGCTTCATTTGTGATTTTGGCGGCTAATTGCCAATCCAAAGCGTTGCTATTATCAATATATAACTACCACCATTCATGAATCATTGTATTGCATCACTTTTAAGATGAATAATGAGTCCATGCATGGTAAATAATCATCACGTATTGCACCTGTACCCATGGGGTTCAAATTCAAAATGATAGTGCTTCATGCAACCGTTTCAAATAATTAATTATATAGCGGCAGTCTTGCCACTTGATTATTTGAGTACAAACGGTGTAAAATTTCAACTATCAATCTTTAAGTTCGTTCTTATCCATAAGGTTATTCTTATTCATAAGATCGTTCTTATCCACGAAAATGCAACCATCACTAAAACAAAGGGTCTTTTCCTTTCATAGATTTAGAATATTTGATTTGGTTAGTCTAACCCAAAATCAATTTGGTCGATCCAACCACAAACCGGTTTTATCCGGTTCAACCAAATTTCCAACAATTTATCACCACCACCGGTAAATAACCGGAGAACGGCCGACCGGAGGGTTAAAAGTTAAAACTCCTCTCGCAACTCCGTCATCAATTTTCTCAAATCTAACAGGGCGAATTCAAGGAACCCTGTTCATGATTGGCAGACGACCTCGGTTCAAAGGGCCATCACCCTCGTTCCAGAAATCCTCAGCTCCTTCCTTCATGAACCGATCGGCGAGCGCTTTGATTTGGTCTCTCGGAGCCATGGGATTGTAATTGGAAGGAGAATCGTTGCTGTGGCGGTGGCGGGTAATCGCCGGCGGCTAGTTTGGCGCGGATTGAGGATCGGATTCTGGCCTGGTAGAGCTGCTTCTCTTGGTCGAGGAGGCGTTTCTCATTCTCCGAGGCCTTCTTCTCGTGGAGGCGCTTCCACTGCCACTGAAGCGAACAAAGAGGCGGGTGTGAAGTAGGTGGTCGGCAGCCATAAGGGTTGGGACGGCGGCGATAGATGAACGGAGATGGAACGGCCGGCGGTTCCTGACGAGCTATCGAAAGCAGAACGCGGCGGCGAAGGGTGAACGAGAGAGTGGGAAAAGGCGAAGGTAGGGAATTTTATGGGCTCACTGGACGGATGTAAAGGGCTGGAGGTTCGGTTATCGGTTACCGGTTAACCGGACGGTTAAATCGATAACCGACGGTTACTGGTTAACCGATAACCAAAAATTATATGCTTCGGTCGGTGGTCGGAGCTCATGATAGGTAATTCGGTTAACCGAGTAACCGAAAATTGGTTATTTGGTTAACCGACAATAACCGAAAATAACCGACCGACCACCCCCCTCAACAAAACGATGTGAAAATACCCGGTATGAAGTTTATAATTTTATGTTGTTGAATTTGACACATTAATTTGGTGATTTAGATGTACAAATGTAAGTTAGAACCTTTCATTTTAGGCAATTCTAATAATTTTACCCGGTTAAAATCGAACCACCATCATTTTTTCGGTTATCTCGGTTAACCGACCAACTAACCGATAACTGACCGGTCGGTTATTGGTTAACCAAGGCATTAGCGTCGGTCGGTGTTCGGTAGGGGGAGATGGTAGTTCGGTTAACCGGTAACCGACCAATCGGTTATCGGTTATAACCGAACCGAATCCACCCCTATAATAAATGTAAACAGAGCACATAAATGATATTGGGCTTTGAAAGCCCAAATTGGTAGAAAAGGATCTAACAGGAAGAGCTCCACCGGTTCTTTTTCGTCTCTCACAGTCCTTGGAACGGTACAGCGAAAGCTCGAAACTCTGCTCTGGTCTTCAGGCTTCGGTCTCGTAGTTCTCTCGCCGGCGGCGATCTCTCCATCACCTAATGGCTCCGGCTGGGCCCCGATCCGGCGACGCAATCTTCGCTAGCGTCGAGCGCGTGGTAATATTAATATTTCCTTCTTTTCTCCCTCGTTTTTTTAGATGCCAAAACGGGGGATTTGTACTGTAGGTTGTATGTGATCGATCCAGTGGGTTTCTCGGTTCCGGAGGGTTTCATTTCTCTGAGTTTTTATCTGTTTGCTTCATGTTTCTGGTTGATGATTGTATCCTGAGGGCTTAGTGTTTCCTCGTAATTTTCTGTGGGAATTGGGATCGGAACTGAGGAAATGTTAGCTCCTCACTGTTTCGTCGCTCAATTGTCATTTAGACGTGAGACTGATGTGTTCAAATGTGAATTCTGATGCAGAATGCAGAGCTGTTCACGCTTACGTATGGCGCGATTGTGAGGCAGTTGCTGACAGATTTGGAGGAGGTTGATGAGGTCAACAAGCAGCTGGATCAAATGTAAGGGTTAAGTAAGGATGCTTTGTTAAAGAAACTCCTTATCACGAGAGTGGCTTTAAGACCTTTGATTTTGCGCGACTTGGAGAAGTGAGCTAAAGATGAATTTGGAAATGAGTCTCTCTGGTGGCGTTTTCTGTAGGTCTAATTCTCTAGTTACTTGTGGTTATTGTTGTCGCCAACGATTGTAGAAGCTCCTCTTAATGGAAGCTTACTTGTGTCTTCGACAAATGGCCTTTTATACAGAAAGTGGGAAGATGGAAGTGATTATTTGTTTGAGAATTCTGACACTAATTTATTTGTGTATGCTTGATATGCTGTTAGGGGCTATAACATTGGGATTCGGCTTGTTGATGAGTTCCTGGCGAAATCTAATGTCTCTAGATGTGTGGACTTCAAGGAGACTGCTGAAGTAATTGCAAAGGTTAGGGGCACTAGTCTCAGTAATGTTTGTTCTATGTAGATTGTGTTACTCGTGCTTAGTGACTTAAAAAAATGTTGTATAGAACCATGATGCCAAGAGAACTATCAGTAAATTTATTTTGGATTGACCAAAACCACCTCTTCATTGTGGTTGTTTCTTCTGACTGAACTTTGTAAAACCTTACTGCTTCTATTCAATAAGGAAATTTAAGATGTACCTACATCTGTAAGCCGCTTGGTATTGATTCAGTAATGAAAAAAGCTTCCCGTTCGTTATTCCATAACTTTTGCTCTTGTAATTCCTTATTCCAGTTAAAGCATTGCCTTACTGCTTGTTTTTCTTTGTCAAGGAACCATCTTTACCACCTAAAAATTCTGTCTCTCAGCATACTGAATTCCATAAGCTTAACTTCGTATGTTTACAGTTCTGAGTTGTTATTTCTTGACTTCCTATAGTCTGGCTAGGTGCCCTTTTCATATCTCCCCTTCTTGTTTTCCTTTTATTTTTCAATTTCAAGTGCATAGCGAAAGTTCTTTTAGGAGATTGATACTTTCTTTGTGATAGGAACTGTCAAAGGCATCCCAATATCTATGACTGCCCAGAAGTCGCATATAAGAAACATTGGCTAATAAAGCTTTTTTTACAGGTGGGTTTTAAGATGTTCCTTGGAGTTGGTGCTTCTGTAACCAACTGGGATGCTGAAGGGACATGCTGCAGCATCGTTTTGGAAGATAATCCTCTGGTGGACTTTGTCGAACTTCCTGATACTTGTCAAGGCCTTTACTACTGCAACGTTTTGAGTGGAGTCATCAGAGGAGCCCTAGAAATGGTTAGCGTACCCTCCCGTGCCTCTCTCTCCCTGGTCTTTTCATCATCCTCTTAGTCTGTTTACCTCTCTCCCTTTCCGTATAATGTTTGTATATGTTCATGTTCTTTAGAGTTATCCTTTTGGTACTTAGGACCTTATGACTTGAAGGGTTTAGCACCTTGGCCAGAGCGTATTGATTAGAGGCCCCATTAGCAAGAAGAGTGAACCAGCTTATGTGCAGAATTTTTATAGTTGGCCTCGGAGTACCCTTCAAACTCTTACCGAAATGCATTACTGATTACCACGAGACTGAATTGATATTTTCTTCTTGTGGATATATATCTATATTTGCTTGCTACTATCTTTATTTTTTGTTCCAGTACATTTTACAGCACATCTCATATGTTAAGTGAAAACGATGGTCAACTTAAGAGTTAAAGGGTTATTTACCAACCTATCTCGTGCATTTTGTTTTGGTTCGTTGTATTGATACGTAGTGTTCTGTTTATCTTCAGGTATCCATGAAAACAGAAGTCACATGGCTTCGCGATGTGCTCCGGGGCGACGATGTGTTTGAATTGCAGGTTAAACTTATAAAGCAAGTTCCAGAAGAGTACCCATACAAGGATGATGAGTAAACATCCTTGCTTGCCCCTCCCTGGCTGTTTATACACTTATAATATCCTCTTTTTCCCCTGTGTTTTTTTTATGCTGGAAGGAGGAATTTCTCTGTTAATGTTAAAAATCTTCTGCATCTCCGAGGCTACAACTTCTTGTACCTGGATTAGATCACACTAGATGACTGTGTAAGCTTGTTTAGCAGTTGATTGAGCATTTCTTAAATATTTCCATGTGATGCCTATAGCGGAGTAGCCTATTTTGGATTGTTATCCTACTCTATGGCAAGATTCGGTTCATTTAGATTGGAATCGTCTTTTGGATCGAACCGAATGGCAACAGGATCGGACTAAATCAGATTGAAAGCACTCTTCTTGCCAAATTTTTTTATTTGGGAGAAACGATACTACAAGTGCGATTCGCGCACTTCAACACATGAACCAAAGGTTGAAAATAGCCAACACTACAATGTCACAAAGAGACTTACAATGGCAAGATCTTGGAGCCATGAAATCCAACAAAATGTCGAGAACTAGGAACACTGGAACAAAATCCTATCGAAGTTGAAATTTTACAGTAGTGGCCTCAATAAAGCCTCATCTTAACCCTCGAAAAATGAAGGGGGAAGAGGAGGAAGAGCAAAGGAAAAGACTAGGGCTTCTCATCAGAATTCAGATGCCAAATCCATCCGTCGAGAGTTCTGAGTGGGATGTTTACTCGTACGAAGTAAGCTGTTACAAAATCACTAGATGTTCTTCCTATCTTTAGCTATTGGGGGTACAGCAAACTGGTTTGATCAAACATAAATACAAGTATAAGCACTACAGATGAAACTTGGGTCAGAGGGGGCATCAACGGAGTAAGAGAGAAATGGCATCAACAGGCACAACCACCACGTTGCTCGTTTTCGGGGACAGCGTCTGGGATGCTCTGGAAGTATCTGGAGAAAAAAGAAAAAAAAAAAAAAACGAGACACGAAACGAGGATTAAGAAGATTCAAATTCAGTTGCTAAATCAAATGCAGGGAAAGGGTTGAACTTAATGATAGTTCTCGTCAATCAAAGATGTACAATTCAGAAGATTCAAATTTTCAGAAAAATAGTTACTAATGAATTTTGCATATGGGGTGGTAGAACCTAGAAACTGCTGACCAACGAGCCGACACAGTTCCAGGTTCAGCATCACTAACTCAGCATATTAATTTGTGCAGCACCACTGCATTTTCACAAGTGAGCTCAAGCCGTTCTTGAAGCAACGTCTAAAGAACTAAAGTCGGTGTTCTTGGAACACTTGATTTGTTTGCATGACTATGTAGAAGTCTGAAGAACATGGTGAATGGCAAAAGCAGCTGGCCCCATAGTATCTGAAGCAGCCAGGAAGTTTCTAGCAACTCTTAGACCAAAAGCTAGCTGGCTACCTAGCAGAAGATATATCCATCTTCACGAGTTATTAGAGATCAAGGAAAAGTATCAGTTCCCACCTAACTTTTATCTATCGACAATGAACTTCTAAATATTTCTTACTCTTGGTCTACCGGATTAGTCCCCACGGAGATAAAAATGGATCCTACGCCCACACAAAAGGGACCTGGTACCTGGGGCAAATGTAATTTTACAAAACCAAAGCAGAGATGGTGCAGAGAGCTAGCCATCAGTAGAAATTTTGTTCTTGTCATCATAGATATCTGAGTGAATCTAAGAACTTTAGTTGCCCAAATACCCAATCTGAAAGTTCTTCGTTCTTTTATGTGGTTCTGTCAGAGCCTTAGTCTATAGTTTGTTCATGAAACTCGACAAACAACAACATAACTAGTTAACCTTAAATCCTTCTTTGTTAGCTAGGATTATACTAAAAATGGAAAACACATTATGACTATGTGATGCAGACAGGTAATAAGAATAGCACTGAAACTTACATGTCCTGTTCATGCTCATTGGCCAAAGCAGCTTTAGCGATGCAAAAAAATGCTGGGTCGACATTGTAGTCCTCTTTTGCTGATGTCTCAAAGTAAGGTATGTTTCCTTTTGCAGCACACCATTCCTTTGCTTTCTTTTCAGAAACCTACATTTGCCAGCAATTAGACAAATATCCGAGAGACAAATTTAACCAGCAGAAAGAACTACATGTTGTCCTTACCACTCGGCTGTTTCCACCATCTACATCAATCTTGTTTCCGAGCAAAATAAATGGAAATGACTTTGGATCAGCCGGATTTGCCTGGTACAAATGATGATGATCATGCCACTTATTAGGAGGGGGAAAAACATCACTTTGCAGCACTGGAGCAAAACCTTTAGAAATAAAAGAGAGCATCCTAGCTAAAGGCGCAACAGTAGCAGGATCTGATACAGCAAAGATAAACATCAACATTTACACTTTTATTTCCACAATCCTACTATCTTAATGCTTGGCAAGTAAATGGCATCTCATGAATGCAATGTGTTTGACAAGAGCCTTATCATAAAGCTGTCATATGACTTGGAAAGTGGGATTTTCAAACTGGCCAAATTATGTCAAGACTCATAAAAGCTTCAGAACTTGAGTGTTTTCCATGTGCATATCACTGTATCTGATATTGATTCTGATCCATTAAAAGAGCGTCAACCATCTGCCCTTGAACTTGAAAGAATCATGATTATTCTAGTTTGACTCAGCATTGAATCCAACATTTGGGATTAGTACAGTCCGGTTGCCGCTTCCACGAAATGATATTTCTCCAATGCTAGTGATGGGAGGATTGTGCTACTCAAACCCTATCATTGACTAAGTGACTGGTTCACAGAAATCTTATAACGGTTTGAATCAACGATAACAGGTAGTATATTAGGACTAAGCTAACATAAACCACAGCAGCAACCGAGGAAGAAGAATAATAGGGGGAAGGGAGGAGATGAACAAACCTGTTTCAGAAACTCGTCGTGCCAATTCTCGAGACTATCGAAAGAACGCATGACATTAACATCGTAAACAAGAACACAGCAATCTGCGCCTCTGTAGAATGCAACTCCAAGACTCTGAAACCGCTCTTGCCCTGCCGTGTCCCATATCTATCCACACACAAGAATTCAGCATCGCAATCAAACCAAAAGCAACCAATCCAAACCTGCTCCAAAAATCGAGATAGACCACAGAACTAGAGTCAGGAAGGATAAACCCACTTGAAGCGTGACAAGCTTATCATCAATTTGGAGTTCTTTGGTCACGAAATCTGCACCGATTGTAGCTTTATACTGCTGGCTGAATTTATTGTGCACGTATCTAGATTAGAAGCTCAGGAAACTCCATTTTTCACAAACTCCTGAAATGTTATCAATTCCCTACGAGCTAGTATTTTTCGAGCTAGCTGCCAATATTCGATTCAACCAAAATTTTCAGCTCTCCACAAATCGCCATTTCCAGCACCGTGGACAATTTACACAGCAAAAAATTGAGGATTCAAACAATTACGACTCACTCCATCAAGAATTAAGCTGAAACCAAACAAACCTTGCAACTATGGATTTCAAAAGGACCTGATCTCACGTGTTGACCGAATAAGCAAAAAGAAGAGGAGAATTAAATAAAAAGGAAAAGGATACTGATTCATCAACGACGTCTTGCCAACCCTAACATTCCCGGGAGAAGAAAAGGATGGAAATGAATTAGTCATGGTCGTAACAGAAAGAGAGAGAAGCGAAATCGCTCGAAGATTGAAAACCCTAGAGAGAGAGAGAAATCCAAAGAAGCCGTACCCACTGTCGCCGAGGACGATGACCTTGAGCAAAGTACGGCGACGTCCTGACATGAGGCCGGAACCGGAACGAATTAAACGGCGTACTTGCGAGTTGCAACCGTTCGACGGCGAGAGGGAGGAAGTGGGGCAAAAGATTTTTCAAATTTTTTTACGAGGATTGCTAATTTTCTATCAATTAAGGAAAACCGACCGAAACCACTAACCAGCAAGAAAAAAAATAAAGGAGAGAGGGAAGAAGACGGACGGAGGAGACGACAAGAAAAGAAAAGAAAAGAAAGGAGCGCCAATTTCGATCTGCATTTCCCCCAACTCCTGACTATTTACACTTTTACTACCTAGTTTCTTTCTTAACCCCATTTCGGTCTCTAAAGATAGATTGTCACTTTCCCATTGGCTTTTCATTTTTCAACCAACGTTCCTTCTTCTTCTTCAGTTCCCGTTGGACCAATGAAAAAAGAAGGGTTAGGATTAGGTGACTAAGAGGGGGTCACATGACCAAGTCAATCTCAATCCTTCCACCTTATTAAAATTCAATGGTTCAGATTAATACATTTTAATAAAGGACATTGTAGTAATTATACAAGTTATTTATTTAATCATTAAAATAAAAATATGTTGGGCCCACAGCTAGCCTTTTCTTACGGTGGCTTTTTTACGAAGAGAGAGAGGAGGGAATCATTATTCCCGGCTATTGTGGGAGAGAGAGATAGAGCTGATGGGAATTATGTAAGAGAGAGAGAGGAAATTTCTCGGCGGGATTTTGTGATGTTTGTTGACCTATTTTGTAATGTTTGTATAGATTCGTTTATATTGTTTGTCATTTTTAGTGACATTTTGTACGGTTAGTATGCTTTGTACTGTTTTTCGGTTTAGTTTGTAATGTTTGTACGCTTTATTATTATGTAATGTTTGTCAGGGTTTTTTGTAATGTTTGTAAACTTTGTTATTTTTGTGCACCATGTTTATCATTTTTGTTAACCATGTTTGTAATGGTTCTTATGTCTAAAAAACAACCTGGTTGACTTTTGGATGGAACTCCTCTATATAGGGATGGAGCCTCCAAAGTCAACCCGGGTGTTTTTTCCACTTCGTATGGATTGTTGGTCTAGTTTGTCATTTTTGTCCACCATGTTCGTAATGTTTGTATGTCTAAAAAACAACCGAGTTGACTTTGAGACGGAGCCCTCTATATAGGGATGAAGCCTCCAAAGTCAACCCGGGTGTTTTTCTAGTTTGTATGATTTTTTGGTCTAGTTTGTCATTTTTGTCCTCTATGTTTGTATGTCTAAAAAACACCCGGATTGACTTTGGGAAGACGCCCCTCTATATAGGGATGGAGCCTCCAAAGTCAACCTGGTTGTTTTTTCTTTTTGTATGGTTTGTATTGTTTGTCGGTCTAGTTTGTATTTTTTGTACAGTTCATATGTTTGTAATGTTTGTATGTTTTGTCGCTCTAGTTTGTATTGTTCGTATGTTTGTATGGTTTGTACTGATTGTAAGTCTGATTTGTATACTTCGTAATTTTCCATAATACCCAAACTACCCCTATCATTAATTAAATAACTCTTCCCACTTTTTAACCATCAAATTGCTATATCCAAATTTAAGGGCTGGGAGGGACTTAGTCGAGTGACTAAACACCCTCCAGTCACTCTATCCTCTCTCCTTTTCAACCAACTTTCCTTCTTCTTCTCCAGTTTCTGTTGCTCCACGTCGTCGTTTGACAGGCTTGTACTGGATTTTGAAGAAAAAGAAAGAAAGTCACGTAGACAGCCAGGTGGACCAATCAAAAAAGAGTTGTGGGTTCTGCGCCATTGACAGTTTTGACCTTTTTATGCCACGAATTCGGATGCCGCCACAGGTAGTACGGCAATATTACTTCCTCTCAAAAGCTTGCTGGATCGCTCGCGGGTTCAAGCCCAGCAGTATTTCCACTGGCCCAAGCCCTAATTCGATCGGCAAATTCGTAACTCTCCACGCTAATGGCGGCGATTAAATCTTGTTCCGCCGGCCGCTTCAAAAGCCCCGCCATTTCCCTCCGCCAAGCCAGCGCCGGCGGGCGCATCAAAATGCCCGCCTTTCCTATCATTAATCTCAGACCAGGAATCAAGCTATCAGCATCCGCCTCCCGTGCAATCAAGTGTGTGTTATCGGAGTTCCTGGCTGTGGCTGATCCGATAAAGGACTCCTCGATAACCGTCGAGGGTCTCCGACAATTGGATGACGGGGGCGGCGGCGCCGACGATGGTTCCGGAGAAAATGGAGGGTTTCACGGCGGCGGCGGCGGCGGAGGTCGCGGTGGCGATGACGCCGCGGAGAAGGAGGTTTGGCCCATAATGTTACTCGCGGATGAGGATGTGATTAAAATGGCGGATGAGGTGCGGGGCCTAGAACTTCCAGCTTATATGCCGGAAGCTGCCGAGGCCGCCGGAATCCGAACCCAATTTCTCCTTAATCAGATGATGGCCGATCCGGGTTTCCTCTTCCATGTTGGAACAAAGGTTTGTGTCATTGGTGGTTTTTGAGAATGAATACATCATGTTTACATAACTGGGTGTGAGGTTTTCACTAACCTTTTTTGGGCCAATTCGTGGGGATGGAGTGCAGGTAGTAATTGGTTCATGTAGTGCAGCAGTTGCTGAATTTGTGAAATGGGGGAAAGATTTATGGTCAAAGCTTGAGATGTGGAAAGCTTTTGCTGCAATTACAGTAAATGTTTCTGTAGTTAATATGCTAGCTCGAATTGGGAAGCCTTACACAGCTTGCTTAGTCCCTCCCAGTACAGAGGAAGCTTGTGCTGCTCTTCCCAGCAGGTTACTACTACTCCACTGCTGTTTGTTTCTTTTGATATTCTACACTTCATGCTGAAGTCTTGATTTGCTAAACGATATGTTTACATCACTTGCAGTGTTGTTGAGGCTGGAAGGCCGGGACATAGATCCTCATTGATGCAGCAACTGGCTACTTACTTCTATAAGGTATTTGATGATTGAATCCTGCTACATTTGTGTGGACTGAACATTCCTTTGCCTTATCCACGGCATTAACTCGATCTTAGGAAAGAAGTTTGGACTCGATTCTGCTGATACAAGCGTATATTGTTGTTTCTCGGTTCAGGGTTCGTTGTATGGTTCAGTTGCATTTGGGTGCGGATTACTTGGTCAGGGCATTGCAAATACGATCATGAATATCAAGCGGTATTTTTACTCTCTCACACATACCTTTCTACTGTTGTGTAGCTTCATTACAGCAGAAAGCTGTGGGTTAGCTAGCTCATGCTTCAGTAGCCTTCTCCGATCTTGATATTGTGAATGATTTTGTTGTGTTTTGGATAAATAGGAGGGTGATGAAGTTAGAAGAGGACATCACTGTAAACAAGTCGGAAGAGGACATCCCTACACCACTTCAAGTCGGAACTGGCATCCTTCGGGGTATGTTTTGTGCCTGTCTTCAGTTGCATATCATAAGCAGAGAGTCTTCTTCATTTCATCTACATTGCTCACTTTCGAGTCGATGTTGAACATTCGTTTCAATGCTCTCAGGTGTGTTTCGCGGTGCATCTTCCTGCACACCGTACCAAGTCATCAAGGGGATGGAACGAGTTGTCGAAGCTGCATTGCCATTGGTGAGGCAAGCCCCTCCTCTCCCCAACCCCTCCACCGTTGGAGTTCCATTCACCTGCAACATCGCCAACAACATCAACGGCGGCGGGATTGATGGAACCCTGTGTTTACTTGTTATAATTTTTGCTATATTTTGCTTAGTATTAGCATTCACAGCTGTACTGCTGTAGGGGGTATTGTCCTGCTGTTTAGTGGAAGGTCAGTTATGTTATTTAGGGTTTCTAGGTCATGGTACCTCTTGCCACCCTATTAACACTTTTAATGGTATTATTATATAGTAAGAGTAATGTCTATTTTTTATCCAATTCTTTTTCAGATTCTTTCATATTATCTAAATTTATCGAAATACTAAGAATTAGTCAAATGTTAACTTCCAATGAGCAATTTTGTTAGTAATATTGACTTGGCAACATGATACTGACTTGGAAGAGACTAGGGATGGCAATGGGTCGGGTCGGGGGCGGATAGCGCATATCCGTTACCCTACCCAATGTAGTTCGGGTTTTACCCATACCCGTACCCATACCAGAAACGGGTAGAAAATCAAAACCATGCCCATACCAGTTCGGGTTTCGGGTATTCACGGTTATCCATGGGTAATAATTTCTCCTTATAATTCCAACCAATATGTTAACATTCACACGTATACTCACATTACGTAAGAGGAAAAGTACGACAATAATTCACTAGAATGACGAAAATTAATTAAAACAACGTAATTTCATGAATATATTATATTTATATGCTAAATATAAAATATTATAGAGAAAAATAATGATTATTTCTAGACAAAATAGATATGCATATGTATAATCGGGCGGGTTCGGGTTGGATAGTGAGATAACCATGCCCACCCATTACCCGCAACATTCGGGTTTGGGTTTTACCCGTACCCACGAAAAATGCTTCGGGTTCGGATTTTACCCTACCCGATTAGGTCGGATTCGGGTGGATATCCACGGTTACGGATATTTTTGCCATCCCTAGAAGAGACACATGAAGGTCAACATTTCAAAACTTTAGTATTTTAACTCAGAAAAGAGTTACAAAATTATTAACGATAATGTAAAGATGGCTAATATTTTGATGCATTATGAAAGATTTGGCTAATTAATAGAATTTTAATAAATTTGAATAATATAAAAGAATCTGAAAAAGTTAAGATAAAAAATAGACATTACCCTTATAGTAACTACTATTTCTTTCATTTTCTCTTCCTCTTCTCCACATAGCTTTATTATGGTTTTATATAAAAGTTACGGTCTTGGTACATGAAATTAATAGATCTAAATATTTAGTCTCTAAAATTAATTTTTTTAACAAATAACCCTAATAAATATTGATGAAAAATTAAGTTTTAGTTTTTAAAACTTGTTTTTACATTTTGATATCCAAACTTTTAATAATTTACAAATAGATCCAATGTTATGGTATGTTTCAAGAAACTTGTGATATGCTTTTCGAAAGTTGTGTATATTTCTTCTTCCCCTTCGCCCCTTCCTACTTGTGGTATACTTTGTTAAACTTGTGTTATGCTTTAATAAACTTGTGGTATGCTTATCTCCTCTCCACTTGTGATACGTTTTAATGAACTTGTGGTATGCTTCTCCTTCCTCCTTCATATTCTACGTTGATTTCATGAATGTTCATATACAAATTACAGTTTAGTACCTACATTTAATAGATCTTAACTTTTTTTCTTACAATTTGAAACATGAACTTTTAAAAGTTTACGAATATGTCCATTATTATGGTATGTTTAAGAACCTTGTGGTGTGCTTTATAGGACTTGTGGTCTACACATAATATAATACGCCGAAGGTAAAAACGGGAGCTCCATATCAAATTTCCTGCAACGAGAGTGAAAGTAGGAAGGACATTTTAGTCTTCACAATTACTTTTTTTTATTTATTAAAAAGACACGTACTGGGATTCGAACCATGACCATTTTAAAGAAAAGCTAAGATCACAACCAATCACACTAAGTACATTTGTTGTATCTTTCTAAATTAAAAACATATAATAGCAGGGAGGAAAAAACCCTTTCCCCATTTCAAATTCTCTGCTCGAGGAGCGTTTGTAGGAAAGGTAAAATAGGGAGTGTCAATTTTTTTCTCTTTCCTCTGTGGAACGGGCCAACTTACAGTACACATGCGAATTTAAACGGGCCCAGGAGTGTCAATTTTTTTCTTTAAGCCCTTTTATTTCTCTGTTGTGATAAAATATATATGAAAAGGAGTTGAATGCATGGTATCTAATGAGCTAATCGCTAACCATAAAATAAAAGAGTTGAATGGGCCTGACATACATGGGATTTGGCCATCAAGTGAAACAAATGAACATCATTGGTTTGTCATTCTAAAACAAGCTATTTTCTCTGGCATAATATATATTATGCTATTATTCTATATCTTATTGGCTAAAATATAATGTATTTTAGAGTTATTCCATTGTTCAACCTCGACCAACCCAATTAGTCTAATTTTTATCATTTCAAATATATATTTTATAATTATTTGATATCATAATGATCAAATTATAGTGTATTTTATAGGGAGTCGTTTGGTATTTGTTAGTAAAAAACTAAACATAAAAGATCTATTTAGTTATTTTAAACATTAAACGATCCTAAATATTTTCAGTTCCTTTTGAATTTCTATGGTTTTATTCCCGAATAAGTGATGTGCAAATGGCGAATTGTAGTCGTCTCTTTTCTTTCACTATTTTTTATTTTCAAATAGAAAGTTTAAAAGTAAAGAATAATTAGAATTTGGCATGGGTCGGTCAAACAGGCTGAATTTCAAGTTTTGGCCCGTTTGTTTTATGCATTGCAAATTTATTAGCATGTTGATGGAAATGGCTTGGAAAAAAGACATAAGTTGTACCTTTGCAGAAATGTCCTCAAATGTTTGAATGCATTGTGAATCAGTTTTCGTGACTTTTATGATGGTGTATGTGCTTGACGATTGCTCGATGTTGTAACTGCTTAATTTGAGAGTAAATCTTTTGATTTTCCCTATGAGTTGTGATACCAGTTCTGGTGGTTGCAGCATGTTGTCGTTGTTGGCCTGTAAAAGTTGTTCAATCGTGATGCTAAATACCTTTCTTTCTTTTTTAACAAATTGTGTAGTAGTTCTATGAAACAGACCACCCATGAACGCGACGCTTATTATGGTCTGTTCTTACTTCCGGTGGTGAGAAATTGTGAATTGAGAATCATATTCGCCTACCGCACTGTGTCTGGCTGGTGGCTGCTTACTGTGCTCTCTAGAGTTATGAAATAGACTACCCATGAACGTTACCCTTAAGGGTCCATAACTTTGCGAAAAACCAAATTTAGGCAATCAAAGGTGCTGGATGTGTGATGATTTTTTATGGCTTAATTGTTTGTGAATTGGATATCTGCTCTTTGTATGATTAGAGGGGATGTTTGCTTAATAGAATAATATATTTTAATTCATGTTTATTTTTAACATGACCTTTAGTAACTCAAAACCTTCGAGACACATATCACCTACTGCATTGTATCATTTTCCCTGGGTGCTTGCTGTGTTGTCAAACTTCTTTGCTATTGCTGCTGCTTTAAATACTAACAGGGGAGTTAAGAACCCATGAATGTTTCCGTTTGACACAAACAGGAGGAATTGCTTCTAAATCGTGCACTAAAGATGATTGGAGGAAACATTTCTGTTGCAGTTGATATACTGGAGACCAGAACAAAAGCAATTTATCACATCAAAACCAACCATATGAACTATTAGCATTGTTGCTTTACTCTTTTTTCGTGGTTGAGTCTCCTTCAAAAATTTTAGTTTGATTTTAGAAAATTTTGCTTCTGTAGTCCTGTCTTGCCACCAACGCGTTCAGTAGATGGAGATGGCAGAGGCGAAGGCTATTTTTGTGTTGTTGTTGCTGGTTTAGGGATCGGTTTGTGAAGAAGAGGGAGAAGAGAGGGGGAAAGGGAAATGCAGGAGAGGGGGGTAACTCTTTTCTCCGACAAAAATGGAGTGAAGAAAGGAATTATGATCAGTAAGAATATGGTTATCTTACATAACGGTCTCTATTCTGTTTGAAATGAGCTTGGGAGGCAGTGTTAAAGACGAGCTGCAACCAATTCATAGTGAGAAGAGAGCTATGAACTGTGATCATGTCTTATTTCAAGTTAGAAGGTAGTTTCAGTATAAGGATTATTTAATTTGACAAGTTGTTTCGTCCATGATTCTTGGTAGTTTCAGTGCCATTCTAGCCATTGTTTAGTCTGTAATTTTTTAGAATTGATGTGCGAGTAATGACTTTCACTTAGCTTCAACTATTATGTGTGTATTTATTGGCATGTGATAGAAATCTCTTTTCCTTTTCTTTGAATTCAGTTTCATACTCTAATTGTATCATTTGTACATAGGCAAATCATGCTCGAGATGACAACTCGCTAATATGGCTGGTGCAAGGAACGAAAGCCATCATTAGAATTCAGACCGACAACGGGGAGGAATGCCCAGGACTAATTTAATGATGATTGATGATGGTATAATAAAAACTGCAGTCTGCATCAACACCCATTTCTAGGCCTAAGTAAAGTTATTCAACCCAGAACTCTGCTTAGCACTAAAAATTTCCCTCGCCCAACCTTGATCTTGTTTGACCCACTTCTGAAGAGTCAAGATATATGACTAATCCTCTCCGTTCGTATTTTCTTATTGACTCTTTCTGACCCTTTAGGTTAGGACGGGTCGGGAAGAATCAGATTAGTGGGTTGGTCCTAATAAAGTGGAATCCCAATCCCTTCATTCTCACTTGCTTTCTCTCCCATTCCACAAGTGGGTAACATACAGTAGTCTTGCATGCGGAAGACTTGCAGCTGGCAAACCCAGCTTTAGGTACCAAAGTTTATCCTTTTACTTCGTTCTTCCATTCCCATTTTGGTTTTAACCTTTACCAAATAATTGGAGCTTTGTTGGGGTTTTTCGAACCTATTACAGAAACCAAAGATAACTCATGTATGCTACATTGTTCGTTATCTTGACCGATGCTCTTTACTGGTGAATGAGTCTTCTTTCTTTGTCGGTGCATCATACTTTAATATTTTATAACTGTTTTGTGAAGTAGAAATTGTAGTGGTATAACTACGACAAGATGGTAAGTGGTAACTGAGAAAAAAATACCAGCTGTGATTTGATCGGGCCGTGGAACGATGTGGAAGATTACTGTGATTTGGTTGTTCTCAAGTTATTCTTGCCAATGGGTTACTGAAAGTAGTTGGTCAAAGGTCGTGGCTTTATTTATTTATGGAGTTTCTGAAGGTTTTGTGAGGCAAATATACCTTCCTTTCTTAATGTAGATATATAGTAGGCAATTATGCGTTCCTTTCTTAATTAATGTACATATATAGTAGGCAATTATACGTAGTTGTTGGATGACCCATATATTGCTAGAACTTTCGGATGGTTGAGTTGCAAACTCTTTTGGGCCATCCGGACGAGGGATTATGATAATTAGGAATTTATATGTAGGATGTGTGGCAAATAGTTTGAGCCCCCTCCAATTTACTAATGACTGTTCCAAACCCAAAATTGCACAATAGCTCAATTGTTGGGCGTGAATTAAACAATTTTGTATCAGGATTACAGCTTTGGAAATGTTAATATAGTCAACTGATTCTCCTGAGTTTTGTGTTAGAGCTTATGAACTTACAGGTGA